AGCTTCACGTTCCACCTGCAACACTTGCCGTGGCAACGTGCCTCAGCACAGACAAAGGCACGAGGTACTCCAGGCACCAGAGTACATGCTGCAGATGGAAGGCCCGGCACATTATTGGATCGGGCCGATGCCATTTCGGTCACCTGCGCTACCTGCGTTGCATGCTGGGCGAGTGCAGCGGGCCAGGCGCCGCTTCTGTGCCGCTCCAGGCGCCGCGAGCGCTTGTGGGCCGGACCCTCGCAGCCGCCCACGAAATGCAGTCTCACAGATGTGACTCAGGGCGGATGAGGCGGCAGACGGCAGGACAGCAGGAAAGGAGGACGGCAGTGCAGTGCAGCGCCTATCTCTATCTGCAGCCTCGGGCCATGTTCCTTTTGACATGGGCCAGGATGGGTGTAATGAGATCGAGAGACGGAGTGGACCGATGGGCACGCTGATGTCTTGGCACGCGGGCAGTAGAGAAACAAGCTCAAGGCGCCCGGAGAAGCCGGGTGGGATGACGTTACGTTGCCAGACCCGCCAGATCTGACCAGCGACCAAAAGCATGTGTAGGCTCGATCTGGTGATCTCGTGCTAGGCAGTCTGGTTGAATGCGGCCAATGGCGCGAATGGGCGAATAAAGAAGTGAGGCAGACTTGAATAGGCCGTGCCTGGATGTGTTCTACCGTTTCTGTTCAAAGCTACGCACGCAGCAGTGCCCTCTTTCTGCTCTCCTCTCTGTCCTCCTCTTCCCCGCGTCTGCTGCTAAGCGTCTACTGCCCAACAGGCTAACGGTCTCTGCAGTCCCAGCTCTACCCCGTGACCTCTGACCAGCAGCTCAGCTGATTCACCGAGCCCAGTCCACAGATCTGGTCGGGGTAGGCAGGGAGATACGGACAATGAAGCACCCCCCCCTAAACCCTGAGCACAGTGGGCACCTTACGCTCCAGGGTCGAGATTTGATATGGTTTGATTGATAATACTCTGCCACTGGAGAACAGCTGACCCACGGAAGGTGCGGCGTCTGGAGGCAAACCCACGAGCCCAACGGGGATCCATCGGCTGGCTCTGGCCCGTTCGGCCTTCAACAGCAGCATACCTGGTCCTTGACGGATTTTGACGAATTTCGCGAGTCTGACGAATTCTGCACCAGGTAGACAGGACGAATCTGAGGTCCTCCTCGATCTCGCTGCAATCCCGCTTAAGCGGCCTGCAGGGCCGAAGGGGGAAGCACGGACCGGCTCCAGGCATGCAGCGCTGCAGCGTATGCAGCGAGACGTCTGAGGGAGAGGCAGCTGGGAAATGGCGAGCAGCTGTCCAGCAGAGGAAGCGAACAGCACAAGAGCGCAGCAAGCGATGCAAGACATACAAACCTTATCCTCCGGAGAAGGCATGTGGGTGTCCACGACTGTCCGCTGCCGCCGCCGCTCGGCGCTGTGGCTAGACTGGCGGCGTGACGCATATAGTGCGTCATGTGAGTTGACGCTCCAAAGCGTTGCGGCGACTAAGCCTGCTATGTGGATCTGGCTGGTGCGCGGTCCGACTCGGGGCCAGTTGGGCCGTGTGGCCGTGTCCGAGGGCGACGCGCGCAACGGTCAGCTGTCGGGTTAGGCGAATGGCCACTGGCTAACTGGGCTAGGCTGGGCTGAAATGGAGGCCGAGGGGGTGGCCGGGGTGGCCGGGGGAGGATGCAGCCCATGTCCGACGGACGGCACGGTGCCCTGAGACGAGGAAATCAGATAATGATGCCACTGGTGAATGCATCACGCACGAGAGTTCAAGTCAGTCTCAGTTGGTACGTAGTCACGGGTGTGGACTTGGTGCGAGTGCGCGAGTAGTGGACGTTGTCGTCTCTTGTGTTCTCGTCCGAATCCGAGTCAGGACCCAGAGTGTCTTCAGGACGAGGACTTGCCATTCATATCTCATGTCGAGATGCCCTGAGCGAGGGTCGAGGAGGGTCGAGGTCGATTCCTGAGCCCCGTCCCTTCGTTCCCTTCGTTCCCTTCGTTCCCTTTTCTGGCCCTATCGTCCCTGTTCGCTACTCCCTAGGGACGCTAGCCCTGACAAGACCTTGCCTCGACGAGGGAGTAGAACCTATAGACCGCGTACCGAGCGCACCCAGAGTACCAGAGAGTACGGACAGACTGCAGGACTACTGCAGCCAGGAACGGGTACAAGCACTGCTGCCCGGCTTACCTGTGCGCTCTTTGCAGCAGCTTCCCCACACCGCCTGCAATGCCCTTATCCTCCACGGCCACGGCAGATTAACCTGGGCCCTCGCGGCCCTGGGCCCAAGGGCCCTCGGATCTGATTCCTCATCGAGCACCTAAGCACCTAGCACCTCCGACTCTCTGACTGCTATGCACCCAACACGGCACTGGACCAGAGGGGCAGATACAGAGATACTGCCTGTGCGGCCGATTTGACCCGCCGCAGGAGAGAGAGTAAGGGGCAGACGCAGCGAGACAGCGACGTAGGGAAGGGGGGAGGGAGGTACTTGGACGCGGTCGGTCGCGCGCATCAGCAAGATACGAGCGAGTTACTTTATCTCGAGCACGGCCGCTCGTTTCTGGCGCCTTTCCCCACGCATCGACGATCTTTGCATCTCGCCACCACCACCACCACCAGCAACGCCCTCGCGCCCTCGCCAACTAGCTACTCTTCAGAGTTGCGCAACGAGAAGTGACAGTAACCTCGAGTCCGAGCGTCCTTCCGCAACAACCAGCCCGGCGTTGATCCAGCCCAGCCCAATCGACCCAAGCCCCACCCCCGTACCCCCGCACTTGTACCCCTCCACCGCCCGCGCGCGCCCATCCGTCAGCCGCCCGCCAGCCAAACGCCTCCGCCCCTTCGTCATATACACTCACTAGTCCGTCGTCCAACATCGACAGGCATCGTCAAGTGTATCCAGACATCTCTCCAGGACGACTCCTTGTGCATTTAGTTTGTGCATCGCAGTACCGCAGTCCCACTACATCGACTTACGTTGGTAACTGTACCGAAACCTTCGTTCGCCCCGACACCTCCCAGCCAACTCTAAAAAATCTCGGTACACCAACGGGAGTGCCGAAGCCTGTGCATCCCATCCCATCTGTCAAGCACATCGCCGAATAACCTATCGGCCAAATTCCATACCACCTCGTCTCGCCCTCTACTCCCCTTCTACGCGTCGCACTCTGTCGTCGCGTAACCAGCCTCTGTTCGCATCGGAATCACTCTACCAGCTGATTCCCGATCGACAAGTCAAAGTAAGCTTCAAGCTCTACTCTACGACCACGTTCTACCAGTAGCTCTAGCAGCACTCGTAGTTCGCGCTAAGCACCCCTCCGTGTCTCTCTCTGGACTGGAGCCTATCTCGGATTAGCGGCTGTGCTGCCTTGTCCCTGTGTGTGATTTAGAGTTGAGTTGAACATTGGCGAGGAGTGCGTCAGCGCTGCTTACCTGCGTACCCAAACGTGAGTTTAATCCAATTTGATTCGAATAGCGTATCCTTTGCTATCCAGGGTGGGCCCGGCTGCAGCGGCTCTGTCTTCCTCCTGCGTCCTTCTCTTCCGCTGCACGGCAGTCGATATCTCCTTCAGACAGCATGCACGGCGGAAGAGTGGGCATTGGAGCAAGCTCTACTGCTGCTCTCCGACGTCGTCCACCCACAGTGCCCGCAGACCCCGGTGCTGCCGGTGCCCGCTCCTGCCTCTCCTCTACAAAATAGCGTCATCCCGGTGCTTACCATTCCCAGCTTCGAGTTGACGAGGATATAGGCTCATACGCTTGCCCCGATCTCTCGTACCTCTCGGTTCCTTGGTACCTCTCCCACTCTCCATCCCCTTGCTTCCTTCCTCGCGCGTCTTGCATCTTCCGCTGCCGCGATCGAATATAGCCAGCAATAACGCTCCCTCCCGTCGACTTTTTGGTTCCTCCTGTCCATTCCGCTCTCTCGTCACCACCAAAGACTAGAGCGCCGTCAAGCATAGAACCAGGTCCACCTCGGTCAACTATCTCCTTCACCGCGCGCGACACATCCCGATCTCCGACATCAACAAGTCAAAGATAGACATTCGTGTCCGTTCGTCTTGTCGTCGCCCACCTTTCTCATTTAGCAGAACCGTTACACCCCGACACCTCGGCCTCGCCATCACCTGCCTGACCGTTGTCACCCTCCGACTGTAACGTTCACTTTTGTCTCGAGTGACCAGCCCGTCTGGAAAAACTGTCTGCATCTGCACCCACCGACCGAGTTCAATCGTTCACCATTTCGACGTTTGTGCAACACCCCGTGAACCCCCTCTCGAATCCCCTCAACATGACGTCCCACATGATCGACGGCCCGTATGCGGCCGCCCACGACGCCCGGGATCGCCGTCAAGACGTGAGTACCAGTTTCGTGAATCCTTTCTTCCTACCTTTCCCCCATTTCTCATGTGTTGCCGCCCAAGCAACGAACCACTTTGGGAGTGGAAATTATTGTTGTGGAAGGGACGTGGTAACAGGCGGCAGGCCATGTCCCCTGATTAAAGGGTGACTTGCCTGCGGAGTGGACAAGCGAGGAATGGCCAGAAGAGAAGACGAGGAGGGTCGAGAGCAGAGGAGATCGGGGGGACAGGGAAGAGATTGCGGGTCTGTGCATGGGGTGGTCGACGGTCAGTGCTCGCCCGAGTGGCCATCCCTTGGACCGGACGCCAGTCGGCACCATTGTCTCAGTCGTCATCCGAGTTCAAAGCTCAGCTGCCATTGTCATGCCATGGTGCATGCACACCCGCATGACGGTCTGGCAGTCTGTAGTCGGACTGGTGGTAGGAGGCGATGTCCCTCGGCCGGAAGCGAGTGTTGGATGAGCGCAGTGCACACACACGCACCTAGCTCAAGCTCAATACAAGCCAGTCGCGGACAAGGCAGATCATCACGCGGTGGCGTGCGCAACCAGACTACAATCTCGGTCCGCTTTGCTTGCATGTGTGTATGAGTGTGCGTCTGCATAACGCACTCGCACTCGGCGATGGTGACCACCACTTGTCAAGCCTCTCATGCACACCCACTCAGCCCTCGTCATCGGCAGTCGTCTTATCACTGCCCTCGTCCGTGTTGTCCGCCTTGCTGGCCATGCGCACAAACCTCTTTGGCCAGTGCACAAACCTCCAGACACACGATCTCTATTAAAGTCACGACTCGCTCCCTTCCCTGGGGCCTCTTCCCTTTCATCATCCTCTTTCCTCTTCCCCCCTCACCCCCGACTATCCCATCTCCGCAAGAGACGTTCTCTGCAAACCTGGAGATCCTCTCAACTCCCCCTCCAACACCGCGCGCTTCACCTTCTCCCCACTTGGGGTCAGGTTGATTATCTTCTTCGTCTTGCTCGCGTTTTCTCTTCTTTCGTCGCTTCCTCCCTCCGACTAGCTTGACTTTCATTTTGCTTACACCTCCAACAGTACCCGAGCCAGCCCTACACCCTTCCCCCCGGGTCTCCTCCTTCGTCCTCGTCCCCCTTCGCGTTCAACTCGCCCTCTGTCTCGAACCCGAACTCGTCCAGGACCGCAACCAACATGCCTTCAGAACAGGTCCCTGCTACCGCCGACTACTACCAGCGCCCGGCCGCTCCTGGCGCCGCTCCCAACGGCGCTGCCAGCTACCCCAACTACGCCGGTAGCCACCCGATGGCCTACCGATCCAACAGCGAGACCAACCGTGCCCCTCCCCCCGCTCCTCTCACCCGTGTTCCCACCTACGCGATGATGCAGCAGCAGCCCAACAGCGTCGGTCAGCCGAGCCCGACTGCCACGAGCCCCTACTACCAGGCCTCTCCTCGCGGCCCCGGCGGTGCCTACGCTGCTAACTCTCCCCGTACGCCGGCGTACTCGCAGGGCGGTTACTACTCGCCCGGCTACAGCCAGGCTCCCCAGGCCCTCGACATGCCCCGCTCGCTGTCGTACCCCAACTACACCAGCAACCCGTACACGAGCTACCTTCCCAGCATCTCGACCCCTACCCTTCTCGCCCCCGGAGAGCAGCTCCCGCCTCTGGCTCGTCAGCACTCGACCAACTCGATCAACACCCTCGGTCAGCCGATGTACGGCGGACAGTACGGATCGAGGCTGCCCCTCCAGGACCGCCCGTTCAAGTGCGACCAGTGTATTCAGAGCTTCAACCGCAACCACGACCTGAAGCGTCACAAGCGTATCCACCTTGCTGTCAAGCCGTTCCAGTGTGAGAAGTGTGGCAAGTCGTGAGTACAGATAAGATACCAGATAGTGTGGTGGTGGCGCAGAGGGCTGACGCTCGAAACAGATTCTCGCGCAAGGACGCGCTCCGCCGGCATTGGATGGTTCGTGGCTGCCGTGGCGAGGAGGGCGCGACCGCCCCCATCACGCCTGCGTACCCGCTGAACAACCCGCCTCCGGCCCTGTCGCCGTCGACCCCTCCCGCTACCAGCGACAAGTCGACGCCCGCGGGCGCCAAGCAGGCGCCGTCAAGTTCGCTCTACGGCTCGAACACGATGTCGTTCTCGCACCCCTCGGCGCCGCCTCCCCTGACGTCGCTTCCCGCTCGCCAGTCGTCGGACCAGCCGTCGCAGATCATCCTGACGCCCAACGACATGGCTGCCCAGCAGCGCTCGGCCAGCGACTCGTCTGCCAACGGCGAGTCTGTCGTCATTGACCCTGCTCTCAGCATGGAGAGCGGTGCCTTTGGCGGCTCTGCCAGCGCAGGCCCCGAGGGAGACAAGAGCTACTTTGAGCTCATGCGCAAGCAAAACTCGATGGGCGGTGCTGTCCCTGACAGCGCTGTGTCTTCCACCTTCTCGCGCTATGGCGCGTCCCCGAAGGACGAGTCTGCCCCGGCCCGTCACCACCCCTACCGCCGGACAGGAGGACCTCTGCCGTCACCCTCGATGCACAGCCCCCTCGCCCAGTCGTTTGCCCACCAGCAGCAGTCGAACCCGAACCTGCTTGCGCCGATCAACTCGACGTCCATGTCGAAGCAGAGCTCTGCCGACTCGGCCGACCCGCAGTGGGGTTCGCAGAGGTGGTAAAACAACACTCCTCTCAAAAAACATGTGTAACCGACATTCTCGTGTAACTGTTTTAATCCGCGAACTCTTTCTCAAAGTGTCATCAAGCAAGTCTCTCTCGCGCGCGCAACATTTATCGTCTTGGGTTTTCTCTCTCTTCGTCGTCTGGCATAACATCTTCCTTTTCTTGTGTTTTGGTTCGGTCTCCAACAACAATAGGCAACAGCAACAATCCCCTCACTCTCGTTTCTTTCCAAACGCAGCAAGCAAACAGCATATTATATACTCCAGCATTTCCGATCAAAGGCCCAAACAGCAACCAGCAGCAACAACTCATTAATGCCCACCATACACACACGGCATCCTCCCCCTCCCCAACCTACTACTCCAGTAACATACATGATTCGTCTTTTCTTTTGGTTCTCGGATAGTCTAGCTTCTCTCGTTTTCTTTCTAAACATAGTTCAAGCCGGTAGTTGTTGTCTGGAAAGGAAACAGCAATATACACTGTACGCAGCAGTTGTATCGAGCAGGGCTCAGTACAAGGAATGCAACTTGTGAACGAAACGCGCAACATCGAGCGGCGCAGCTGCGAGGTGTCCAGATTAGATAATGATTGACCACTGCAAGTTGTCTGGTGCATGCTCCATACTCGATAGCAGACAACCAACCTCCGGAGAGAGCGGGGCACAAGGAGCGGATCCCCGTGCGGAACTCGGCAATGTATCTCAACTGCGGAGACAAGACCCCGCTCACGTTATCAAAAAGCAGCCAAAGCGCCTATCGACGCCACGACCAACGTCCACTGCGCAGCGCATATCGTTACGTGTCGTCGCAGATTCATTAATTATGGCTGGGCTGGGGGCGCATTTGAGCGAAGACTGCGGATTCTCGTAATACTGTCAAGAGGTGGCGCATCGCAGGTTTTGGGAGATACGTGCCTCGGCGACGGAGGAGGGTGTGGCGCAGCGCAAGTCTCCGTCATCGGCGGAAGGCGGTCTAAGGGGTTAGGATGAGGGCACAGGATGTGTAAGGGGTAGGACTTGGGATGGCGCCATGTCTCTGCGCAGTCTCTGCATTAGTGAGGTTGTAGGGTTTAAGCGATGGAAAGAGACTGGAGTGGCGCTCTGCTGGCGCCGGGCGTCAAGCCGACTTGGCGCCAGGCTGCGCCGCGGAACGCAAGCACGAACGGGAAGAGACGGGCAGGGAGGCGCAGGGAGGCGCAGACCAGTGGCGAGTGGCGGGCGAGTGGCGCCGAGGAACGGTATCTTGTGGACGGAAAGTTGACAGGGGACGCATCTGTCGGACAAGGAGAAGGATGGAGTGGGGTCGGAGAACCGTGCACTTGCTGTTCCTTACTTACCTGTCCATTCTCACCAGGATCTACTGTAGTAGGGAGTGCAATGCTGAGGAAAGGGGGCTGTGGAGAAGGCGGTGGAAGGCGTCTGGCGTTCAGGCAGACTAGGCGCAGAATGGGGGCTGGCTATGAACCACCCCGTGATATCTATGGTCATGCGCTCAGAACTATCACGCGGACTGCAGAAGGCACAGGTCCGTTCAATACAGGCTGCAGCACACAGGCACAAGGAAAGTATGTCATCTCGTCGGACCAGGTTAGCGCTGGACCAGGTCTCTGGAACAGGGAAAAGGTCCAGGACGACTGAGTTGCAGTGCAAGGTTAAGCTGTGACCTGGACGGCTGGACGGAGAAGTGGGTCGCTCAGCGCCAGCGCCATTGTCTATCCCACCCTCCAACCCTCCAGCCTCACCCCGCCTCACTCAGCCAGATGGCGTCGGACTTCGGACATCGAGCACGTCCAGAAAGTCATGGGACAATGAGCCGTTGGGGAATGCGCCATCGCTTCCCCGCCCTGGTCTCCGCCCATGTCTCTGCCCATGTCTCTGCCACGTCTCCGTGTCCCACTCTCTCATTAACCTTGTCATAATCCACAAGGCCCAGATTCTGGGCTCTGGCGATTGCAAAGCTCGTGATCGTCTGTGTTACTCTGAGACATGTCGCCGGGGGTCATCGAGACTCGAGCTGGGTGAGACATGGGGTTATGGTTATGCCCGAAACTTACTATGGCCGATGCGGAGACCGAGCAGCAAGCACCAGCCAGTGAGCAACGGTTAGAGCATAGTGGACAGCGACGTGGGGCGATCTGGGGATGGGAATGGAAGGAAGAGTGGGTCGGCGATCAGTGGGGAGGTGGATCGCTAATCCGATATGCCGAGTGTTCCTCCACGACGCTGACACCGCGGATCGACCGAGTGGACCGTCGATGCCAGACACATTGAACTTCTTGCCAGACACGTTCGCGAGACGGAGCGGCTTCCTTGGCTTGTGCAGATGAACACGTGTGTGCTCCATGCCTCTGTCTCAGCGATTGCAACGTTGTCTCACAGTCACACCGTTGTGGCACTCGCTCAATCCTCACACTCATTCGGTCCTCCATCCTCCCCACGACACTCAACGTTCATCACACCCCTCTCAAGTCTCCAAATGCTCAGACTAGCACGCACGCATGCAAAAACAGATGCGTGGACGACTTAGGAATCGAACCAAAGACCTCGTCAATTATCCAGTGCTAATGACGCGCTCTACCAACTGAGCTAGACGCCCGGGATCCATGGAAGAGGAACCGAGGGCGGGGCATCGCCGGCGCTGGCGGCGCTGACGCCGAGGGACGCTACGGACGGCTTTGTAACGGTAGGTACGGGATACTGGATGGCTTAGCTATGGTCAAGTGAGGGGGAGGTGGGTTTTGAGCGAGTTGGACGGAAGCTAGGACGGATTGAAATCAATGTCCACCGTCTGGATACGGCGCATCTCCTGGACAACTGTGCGGGAAGCCAGTTCCTCGCTTGGAAGGGTCTGAGCCTCTGGACATGAGAGCCTAATACTCCGGCCCAACACCTCTGACGCAACTCCCAGCATACTGTGCAAATGTGCACCAAAAGGCCGGAGGATCATGCTGCAGAGTGTGTGTTTTGAAGGGCGCACGGCGTGTGGCACTCATCAAGATTTTCGTCATTTCACTCCTCGACCTGCGGCAAGTCACCATACCTGCCGTCTTGCCTCTTTGCAAATCCCAACCACACTTGCCATGCATGCAGCAGATCCCAAAAAGCTTCGCGTGGACGACTTAGGAATCGAACCAAAGACCTCGTCAACTAACCACTGCTAATGACGCGCTCTACCAACTGAGCTAGACGCCCGAACACACAAGAGCTAAGCGCCAACACCGCAGATCGGCGGGGCCGTCGGCGCCGGCGCTGCAGCATTCATGACATGCCCCATAGGCATGCAATGGAGGATTAAAACTGGAGGACACGGGATGGTGAAAGTGAGGACGGAGAATGCGTGTTGGGTCCAAAGACATCCTCAAATGAGAAGGCCTTGTCGAGATGGAGACGTGGTGGCATAGCTGCAGAACAGGAGTAAGGACAGTCGGCTCTGGAAAGGTCTCCTCTCTCTTTGTGTGAGAGGAGTCTCGACAGTAGGGTAGAACACATCGGATTTCCCAGCTCAGCGACGACTTGAGGGGTGGCTGTCTCAGATGAGCGCAGAGAGTGGCAGTTTCGAAGCCGACCATCATTTATCGATAGCCTTCCAGCGCGATAGTCAGAAGACTTCTCTTGACCTCCTGCAAACGCCATACATGAGCGCGCAGGATCCAAAAACGTATCCGTGGACGACTTAGGAATCGAACCAAAGACCTCGTCAATGCTAGCGAGATGCTAATGACGCGCTCTACCAACTGAGCTAGACGCCCGGATCCACGGCGCTAAGCGCTCGGCGTCGCGGATCGGCGGCGGCCGCGGCGCGGTCCGTCGTGAGCACCACAACGCGCCGGAAGCGACAGAAAGACGAGAGCGCCGAAGCCAGAAAGAGAGGAAGTAGAGAAAGAGAGAGACAGCCGTTGGCGTTTATGTCGAGAAAGGCTGGTAAATCGGCTGGGTGTTGGCAACGTGGTAAGCTTGCCAGCGAACATACCTCAAGAACTTGGAGACACAACAGAGACGGCTCCCTCATGCTGAAGGGTCTTTGTAACACTACCACTGAAGTCCTGGCAGGCGGTTGCCCACCCCCCGCCAGCGGACGAGCCCACTGCGGCTTGACTCATGGGGAGCAACTCGGTGTGGCACTCTTCCTGATTTGCGATCATTTCACCTCTCCACCGTTGTGGGCTCACACTCAGTCTCCCAACGGGCTTAGATTGTGTGCACATGAGCCTTGCAGCGTCCAAAAAGCGATGCGTGGACGACTTAGGAATCGAACCAAAGACCTCGTCAATGCTAGCAGATGAATGCTAATGACGCGCTCTACCAACTGAGCTAGACGCCCGAACTCGCACGTGAGGGCGGGCGCGCAGCGCCGAGGATCGGCGGCGCGGCCGTCGCTAGCCCTGAAGAGCATGGATTCACAGAGTTTGGCAGGTATGCGAAGGAGGAAAAAAGAGAGAGAAGGCGCCTCTGATGACCAAGGATGTGGAGGCAGGTGGACCGTGGTCAGACTGAGGGGTATTAGCAGACTGAGGGGCGGAGGAGCTATGGAAGGGTCTTATCGCAGGGTATGAGGGCTCAGAGCACCTGAGATTGCAGCGACAGCTCGCCTCTATCTCGTATCGCTGCCTCACCTGCTCAGGCCACGCCACCAGTGAGAGCGTAAGCCAGAAGGGCGCAGCTGATGTGGCACTCCTCGGGTACCTTGGGCATTCTGCTTCACCACCCTCACCGAGACGTCGGTGCTCAGTTTCGCGCCTACTTAGTCGTTCAAAACCTCGTGTGCATCCCCGTGAGCTCCAAAAACGTACGCTGGACGACTTAGGAATCGAACCAAAGACCTCGTCAATGCTAGCAGATGAATGCTAATGACGCGCTCTACCAACTGAGCTAGACGCCCGAAGCTTTACGCAAGTCTCGGAGCTCGGGGCGCAGATCGGCGGCGGCGCTGGGCGCCGAGGGGCGCGGACGGCGACGTGAGGGAAAGAGTGTGACCAGAAGAGGGAGCGGAAAGAAAGGGCAGGTATGGGGTAGCTGAGATGACGGTTCACGGAGTGGAGAAGATTCTTGGCGGGCCACGCTGCTGGGTGATGAAGCAAGGGCGTTTGCAATCCGGACTTGCCACTCCCCGGCCCTCGTCGCATTTCGCTGGATCGGAGACGCTGAGTATCATTGAAGACAGTTGCAGTCAACCGATGACTGCTGCGCTGTGTCTCAGAGTGCGACCGCCGCGCTGTGTCTCAGATTGTGACCACCCGGATGTGCGACAACTTCGCCGTTCGCCTGCCTCCACCTCTAAACCTCTCCTCCGTTCTCCGGGGGGACCACCGCTTCACCTTCCCAACGATACTGAACGCCTCACAGACTCCCGCAGAGTCGAAAAAGAGTGTGAACTGGACGACTTAGGAATCGAACCAAAGACCTTGTCATAATCCACAAGGCCCAGATTCTGGGCTCTGGCGATTGCAAAGCTCGTGATCGTCTGTGTTACTCTGAGACATGTCGCCGGGGGTCATCGAGACTCGAGCTGGGTGAGACATGGGGTTATGGTTATGCCCGAAACTTACTATGGCCGATGCGGAGACCGAGCAGCAAGCACCAGCCAGTGAGCAACGGTTAGAGCATAGTGGACAGCGACGTGGGGCGATCTGGGGATGGGAATGGAAGGAAGAGTGGGTCGGCGATCAGTGGGGAGGTGGATCGCTAATCCGATATGCCGAGTGTTCCTCCACGACGCTGACACCGCGGATCGACCGAGTGGACCGTCGATGCCAGACACATTGAACTTCTTGCCAGACACGTTCGCGAGACGGAGCGGCTTCCTTGGCTTGTGCAGATGAACACGTGTGTGCTCCATGCCTCTGTCTCAGCGATTGCAACGTTGTCTCATAAAGCCCTGGACGTGCGCGCGGATCGGCGGCGCCGGAGGCCGCGCTCCGTGTCGAGAGAGAGCTGGGTAACAGGACAAGGACGAAGGAGCACGGCGGGGCGGTGGTGGAAGAAGTGTTTGAAGGACTGCGGGGGTACTCCCATCGGAAATTGTGGTGTGGCAAACGTAGGGACGGCACGTTTACTGTGTAGGATACCCGGGTTGTCTAGGAACTGATTACTGGGCGTACGAGGGCTGTAAAGAAGCTGGCGGAGCGCTTTGGTCCAGTTCGGGCGGCTTTAGAGTGTGCTCGGTGTCCCCGGTCCGTCTGCTCGACAGCAGCGAAAACCCCATGCCCACTCTCCCCGAACCATAGTCCTGGCGGTTCTTCCTGGACAGTTTTTCTGCAGCCACCGGTACAGTCGACGCCAGCCCTGTAGCGAGCTTTCATCTCCAGGAGCTTCAAATAGACCGGCGGAGGGCCAAAAAGTAATCGTGTGGACGACTTAGGAATCGAACCAAAGACCTCGTCAATATTAGACAATGCTAATGACGCGCTCTACCAACTGAGCTAGACGCCCTCCGACGATTATGTCGAGTCGTAGGCGTCCAAGTCACGTCCCACTTGTTACGTAATCAGTAAGTGACTCGGAGGTGCATAGGCGCTGGAGAGGTAGTATGACGGCGAGCAGTGGTAAGGGGAGACTCAGCTGTCACGGGAGACTGCACATCCTGCGTCGTTATGACCCCCGTGAGAGGTTAGGGACGAGTCAACAGTTTCACGCCAGTGGGTTGCCTTACGTGCCAATCCGACTTCACAGACGTCAGCCACGAAAGAGATCACAGTGATATCACGGTGATACCACGATCTCTTGGCGATGAACAGGATCGGACGATCCCCGATCATTCTTGGTCGTGCGTCGCCCTTATCTGATTTCGAGCTGAGACAGATTTTGACGAGGGATAGAGTTTTACACGCTGCTGGTGGGTTGAGGAAGCTGCGGTGAGAACGTACCGCTGTGTGTCACACGTAGTCGTACCACAACGTCGTCACTTGACTTGTGGTCATACGCGATGGCTGTGGCACATAAGCTGCGCCCATCGCTACTGCCTGAGATCCGCGGATCTAGTTTGCAGCACGCAGTCGATCTTTCTCGCTGCTGGTTACCGTTATTCCTGCCGAACCTGCAGTCTGCCGCCGTCGTCTCTCAGCATGAGTGTCTGTGAAACTGTCCCTATCCATGTCGACCGCAATCTCCGATAAGATCCGGAAGCCAGTTCAGGAAGAGGTGATATAAGCTCAGCGATACCCCCATCACAACCTCATCCGACAAACTTCCAAGCCTCGCATCGACTGGCAATCTTGTCCCCCTCGTAGCTCCTCCCTTGTCCGGTCCGACTCCTTCCCATTCGACCACCATGCGCCTCTCGCTCACGACTCTCCTACTCCTGCTCGCGACTAGTATCCTCGCGCAGGACACCGCCGACGTTGCAGGTGAGAACGACGTCATGGGCGGCACGGACCCCACCCCGACCGACGGGGGCGAGGGGGATGCCGCACCCACTCCGGCCGCCGACTCTGGTGATGCGACTGACACCGGCGAAGGTGGTGGTGGTGGTACCGGCAGCACGGGCGCCGACGACAACTCGCTCGAGAACACCAAGGACCTGACCCAGCCCTGGAACATCACCTACTTCACTTACCCGACGCGTAACAATTATTGTGAGTGTACCTTTGGACTTGAGATTCCAACTAGTTCTGCCGTCCCGTCATGCTCACCGGCACTCGCTGCGCTCGTGACTTGCGCTGACACCAGGGGTCAACGACAACGAGAACAAGGCCACCTGGGCTCCGGTCAACGTGGCAACGAACCTGATGCTGTCGCACAGCAACACCTCCATGCTCCCACAGCGCATCATGCTGCAGCAGAACATCCCCGGCGGTGTCGGTACGTTCGCGACCAAGATCACGGGCTACACGCCCGGCAACAACTATCTGCTGGTTCTGTCGATTGCGGGGAACCCGGACCGTGAGTGATGCGAGCGTCGCAAGCGGACCCCAGGAGTGCGACGTACGCTGACAACGGCAGAGAAACTCGCCCAGTCTCAGGGCTTCTACATCAAGGCGAACGGCACGGCCGCCCCACAGCAGGTCACCGCTCAGGGGAACCAGGCGACTGCGTCTGCAGTCTCCAACGGCGGCAGCACGCAGCCCGGGTCCGGCGATCCGGCCAAGATGCAGCAGGAGAATGCCGCCCCGTCTGATGGCGGTACGGGCAACGGAGCCAGCGCCTCGCCCAACGCTAATGCTCCTGCAGGACACTCAGCCGCTGAGAGGGTTGGTGTCTGGACGGGCGTTGGGGTCGCGATGGGCGCTATGGCGGCCGCGGTTGTCGCGCCTCTCATCCTCCTCGCATAGGTTTCCTCCGAGAACACTGCTGTGAGATAGTGAGAACGTCAAAGACTATTAGGATCAAAGTTAGTATTATAATAATGAGACATGCACATTGTTCAAAGTTACATCCTACGCTGGAAGAGCACCTGCTCGTCCTCCCTTCGCGCCATCCGCCGCGGTGGACCTCTTCCCAGGCTTCGCCGCCTTGCACCAACTCGCTCCGCTCACTGATGCTTACTTCTTCTCCTCGTACTCCTTCTTCCACGCGTCGTACTTCTCCCTCATCTCGCGGTTCTTCTTCTTGTACTCCTCCTTCTGGGCGTCGGTGAGCTCATTCCACAGCTCGCCCGCCCTCTTGCCAATATACCGGCGCAGCTCCATGCGCGGCTTTCCGTCGCTGACGCCGTCCTGCACGAGCGTCTTGGCCTGCGCCTCCTGGGCGATCTTAGGCGTCATGTCGCGGAGGAACAAGAAGAAGGGGCCAATCGGCCGTCCGGGGTTACCCGGGGCGTCGTCGAGACGGCGCTTGAACGCCTCCTTGCCACCCGGCGTCAGGATGGGCCTCTTGCGGTCCGCCTGAGCGGCACGCAGCTGCTCCGGAGTCAGGGAAGTGTACCACTTCTCATACGCCGCTTGGGCGGCAGCGCGGTCCTTCTTCGACGCCTCGGTGTAGGTCTGCACCTCGCCGTAGGGCAGGTCTCCCCACGCCTTTCCGCAGTCACGAGCCAGGTCCGTGATCTTCAGACGACCGTTCTCGGGGTCGAGATAGTTCGAGCGGTTCTTCGAGAAGTAGTCCTGGAAGAAGAGCGTGTACGGCGACGCGCCGCGCTTGGGCGGAGCAGGGTAGTCCTCTGTTCTGTTAGCGATACACGAGGGCACGGGGTAGTTTGAGAACACCGTCTGTCCCAAATGTTCGAGTCTAGACAGCGGATCAAGCTAGAATAGCTGATCCGACATCGAGAAACCTCCATCAGACGACCAGAGATCGTACGCGGGAGATACCGCACATCCGCTCCCGGCAAGCTACTCACTCTTCTTAAGGACGATCGGGGAGGTAGAGAACGCGCGCGTCTCGACGCGGACAGCGGCCAAGAGGCCAGATCGGAGGAGGGACATTGTGGATGTGGTCGGATGGCAACAGTGCAATCTCAAGCGCGAAAGATTGTTTGCGCACGGCGACTGGTAATCTGAGAGGCGTGCAATCTGTGAGTGCAAGGAATGACGTTGGGCCGCGGCAACTGCCTGATCGGGAAATATTTCCGCAAATCACAAACCATGTGGCAATCAAGGCCTCATTAGCCTTCATTACGATCCTCATTTAGAAATCATTTGGATTGGTCATGCTGTTGCGCTGTTGCTCGGTGACGCACGGAGAGGATCGAGAGGGAAGCGACGGGTGAGGCTGGCTGCCTCGCAATATGCAAGTTATGCATGAACGGTATGGTACATATGCGCAAGTGATTAGGTAGTCGTACAAGACAGTAAAATCTATCGCGATGGCACGGACGTGCCGGGAGTTGCCGGCGTGGGTGCCGGTGCAGGCACTGTCCGCTCGGACTTCTCATTGACAGGCTCGAGCTTCTCCGTCTCGGGTCTCTGCTCTGCGGGCGGCGTCGAAGGCGGCGACTCAGGTCCCTCCTCATTCTCCTCCGGCGGAGCGCTCGTCGCCTGGCTCTCTCCCTCTCTCTTCGCGAGGTGTTTCTCGCGCCACTTGGCACCCTTGAAGCTGACCAGGATGAGTCCACAACAGGAACAAGTGAGGAGACCCGCGAAAAGGGTGTAGAGTCCACCGTCCCCGATAGCGTGCAGAATAGGCAGCGCAATCTGGCTCATGACGCATGCACAGATACCGCGCACCATGGAGTTGTTACCGACCGCACTCGAGGACTTGCCCGGGTTCGCGTCAACGAGATAAGCCAGCGTGTTGGAGTATACGAAGAGGATGGAGAAGCCGCCGAAGAAGAGTGCGACAACGGGACCCGCAATATGCGTCTTGAAGTCCATCGTCCATGCGTACACAAGGAAGCTGGCAATCATGAGCGGCATACCGCTGAAACTTGCCTTCAGGCGCATTTCGGGTGTCGACTTGCCGCCGTTTCGGGCTGTGAGACGCTTAAGGACACGGTCGCTGATGCGTCCTCCGACGAGGGAGCCGGTCATGTTTCCAATGCCAAAGGCGAGGATGACGAGACCAATGTGGAGCGGGTTGTAAGAGTAGGGAGCGGCCGAGAGCGTGACGGAACATGTGTACACGATCGTATACTGGGCCGCGAAAAGGAAGCCGGAGCAGATCAGCACGACCGTGTTGCTCGGCACGCGCCAAATGCTAATCATGACAGGAAGGGGGTTGACGTCTCTAAGCGTCGGGCGGTACTCTGCTCCCTCCTTGTCCTTCCGATGGAGCCAGGCAGGCGTACGCCGGCGCCACCAGCTGGGTGCTCCCTCCACCTTGCCCGTGGCCGCCTCGACATCGGTAGTCGCCTCCGTGAACGCGGGCGTGACGACGCCACTCGTCATCCTCGAATGCGGCGCTGTCGTAGCCGGTGTCGGAGCATCACTCGTCAGGCCGCGGGACAGTTTGCGCTGCCGTTTCTTCTCGAGCTGGGCTTGATGCTTCAGTTCTCGTTTCAGCGCGTCCGTGATCGCCTTCTGGTAGATGCGGGACCGTTCCTTGCGCCAAGTGTCGGGGAAGAAGAGGAAGGCGATCACCATGCAGAAGCCCCACACGGCGAGGAAGTACTGCGTGCTTCGCCATCCCCATGCGTTTCCGAGCGCTCCGCCGATCAGACTTCCCAACGAGGGTCCCAGCATCGGCATGGCGTAGAAGAGACCCATCTTTCTTCCTCGTTCCTTCACCTCGTACATGTCGGCGAGGGAGCCGGCACCAGCCGACAGAACGGCTGAACTGCCACACGCCACAACGATTCGCATCCCGATAAGCACCGGCATGTTTGGTGATCGCGACCCGATCGCTGTCGCCGCCGTGTAGAGGATGAAACTGGCAATGTAGACGGGTTTCCGGCCGATGATCTCGCCGATACTGGCCCAGATGACGGGAACACCGCCCTGGAACAGGATGAAGAGGGACAGGGACAAACCGATCTGGGCGTCGCTCGCGTGCAGGTCGGTCTTCACGTCGTCAATGACGGGGTTGTAGATCGAAGGGGAGATCATCGGTGCGAGCTGCCGTCAGCGTGATTCTAGAGTGCATCGCGACATTGCGTGCTCGCTACCCTCCACACATCGCTCTCCGTGGACGTTCTGCGCCGCGGTGCCTCTCCCCACATAACACTCCACACCCGACACAGCCCAGCGCCACAGCTACTCACCACCGCAAACGACATGAGGTACAGAACCACAGTCTTCTTACGATTTGACCACTCGCGGGGGTCGTCGTCGACGGGCGCGTGCTCGATGTCGATTACAGGTAGCCGGTCGCGGTTGTCGACCCTGTCCTTCGCCTCTGCCGGCGGGACGTCGAAATGCGCATGGTGGGAGATGACGGGCTGCAGGGGGAGGCCGTGGTCGTTGTCCGAGGAGTCGATGGAGGGCCGCTTCTCCCGCCCGTCGTAGTCGCGCTCGTCGTCGGCGCCCATTGCGGCGGTAGTGGTGTGTTAGGATCCAAGCTCGTGCCCACTCTCGAGTCCGGGGCGGAGAGTCTTTGGTGCGAGTCTGGATGAACGCCGTTATTGCCCCACGGCGTTCCTGTTACGTCGGTGTGGATTACGTCTGAACAGCGCAGGCAACGGTCGTTCTCGGTCAAAACGTGTTTAAGAGGTATGATGAGGAGACATCCTTAGTCAGCTGCTCGCAACCTTGTTGGATACCGGCATGCTGTGGTGGTGCATCGAGTTAGGTAGGAGGCATGTGGACTCGATATATTTTACCGAACCCCTGGCATGTGGTCCCAACTCGATCAACGGTGAAAACCGACAACTCCTAGATAGGGAGGGGCGGACCGTTGACCGAATCTCGGCCGAAATTTCACGTGGACCGACTGGTCACGTGAGGAGATTGTCTCTGTGAATCTGCTCCCGTGCGATTCGCCACCCGGTCCCGGTACAGACCCGCATTTGGTTCCGCTGGACGACGCAACGAGGCAATGTCGAGCGCGTTCCCAAAAAGTCGGGGGGGTGGAGGTCATAACATTCGAGATTCCCGATGTCGTGATCACCATGTCGTACCCCGACGTCCAGCCCTCCAAGAGCGTCGCTGACTATGTTATCTCTCGCTCACAGCTCCACAACTGCCTCTATTCCCCCCTCTCTGACACTCTTGGACTACCACTGAAAGCACAATGACTGTCGACAGCGACGTCCTCACCCCGCAATACTCGCCCGAGCAGCTCGAGCAGATCAACAAGGAGCTCGATGGAAAGTCGCCCCAGGAAGTCCTCGCCTGGGCCATTGACAACATTGACGGCCTCTATCAGACTACAGCCTTCGGACTGTGAGTTGCTGTGGCTGGGCGCGGCATAGCTAATAACAGTACTGGTCTCGCCGCCGTCGACATGATCTCCAAGATCTCTCAGGACCGGGAGGAGACGCACCTCGTGCCCCTCGTAAGCTATCAACCACGAGCTCAGCTGACACCAGATCTTCCTCGACACGCTGCACCACTTCCCGGAGACGCTCCAGCTCTCGCAGAACGTCGCCGACACCTACATCGCTCCTCTGCACGTATACCGTCCTCCTGGAGCTGAGACGGCGGACGAGTTCGCTGCCAAGTATGGCGAGAAGCTCTGGGAGACGGACGAGGCGAGCTACGACTACCTCGTCAAGGTCGAGCCGGCGGCGCGGGCGTACAAGGAGCTCGGCGTCCGTGCCGTGATCACCGGAAGGCGGCGAAGCCAGGGTGCCGACCGTTCCAACCTCGCTGCTGTCGAGGTCGACGAGCGCGGCCTCATCAAGGTCAACCCCCTCATCACCTGGAGCTTCAAGGAGGTCAAGGACTACGTTGACAAAGAGTGAGCTTTGATACACTAGACCAGCAGCTAACGGACAGGGGTGTGCCGTACAACTCTCTGCTGGACCAGGGCTACAAGTCGATCGGCGACTGGCATTCGACGGCCAAGCCGGACCCGAATGCGGCGGATGCTGGCGAGCGCTCGGGACGCTGGCAGGGCAAGGCCAAGTCTGAGTGCGGCCTGCACACGAACTACTTTGAGATGAAGAAGAAGTTTGAGGAGAAGGCCGCCGCCCAGGCTGCCGCGAACGCTCCGGTGCAGTAGACTGTTGATATTTATATGTATTCCTAGTGCCAATGTAGTGTCGACTGTTATCGGCTAAGCAAGTGAGGAGCCCAGGGCCAATGACTGACGCTCCGTTTGGGTTAGGGTGGAGGCCGTTTATCAGGCAGCCGAAATGTCAGCCAGCCAACCAGCCACGATGACGCGTTGAGTCGAGCAAGTTTTCAACGCTGATGGTTGTGCCGCATGCTGCAGAGGTGGGAATGCACAATGCATTGTCTGGTATGGAAGGAAGAGAAGTGGAAGGAGACCATGAGGAGTGTGTGAAAGCAGACGCTATCGGGCTTATCGCTTTGTGTGGGTGTAGCCGAAACTGGCTTTGGAGTGTCATTGCGATCGGCACACGTTCCTCGATTCCAGATTCATGACATCCCTTCCTTGCGTCCGTTGTTGACACTTCCCCACACCCTTCCAACTTGCATACACGTTTGCTACGTGACAACCCCCACTCCATCCGACCTCTTCGTCCGATATCTACTCGGTCCTCCCTCCGACTCATCCTCTGATCGACCCTCCCCCATTGTTCGTCGCTGTCGTCACTCGATCCGGCAAGCACCGACACCGCGTACTCCGAGTCGAATCGATCGGAGCCGGCGCAGCTTTCATCCGCTGAAAGCTGCAACTCCGCTCACACCGCGCCCGTGCTGGATCACATACGCTGATCCCAGTACAGCGGTCTGAGCGACAACACTAGCGCATGGTCAATCTTCACGCACACTATTACCATGGCAACGTCAAGGCGTTCCGCCAGGAGCTCGACGGCACCGCTCCGCCCCCCGCTGCTCCGCGCAGTGGCGTCAACCCGTCGAGCGCGTCTGGCGGACGCTCCTGGACCCAGAATGGCTTCGCCCAGGCCACGGTGAAGGCGGACCCGAACGAGCGCGACGCTCTCGGAAGAACGTGAGTACCCCACCGGTGGCTTACGATGGACAGGCTCGGTGGCGACAAGCCGAATGCTGACAACAGCGTTCTCATGTTGGCAGCAGCGAACCCGAGTCAGCAGGCTTACGGCTTCTTCTGCATTCTGCTCCGTAACCCGAACCTCTCGGTGAACCTCCAGGACTACGAGTCGGGGTACACGGCGCTCCACCGTGCGCTCTATGCCGGCAACATCCGCGCCGCCCGCGACCTGCTCGCGCGCCACGACATTGATGTCTCTGTCAAGGATTCGGAGGGCTTGACGCCCTTTGACCTTTTCAACGGCACTGTCGACGGTACGAACCCCGGCGCCGAGGAGACGGGCACCGATCTCTTCACCTGGGGCGTGAACCGCAACTATGCGCTCGGCACTCCGGACTCGAGCGATAAGGCGTTCCCGGACCGGATCAACCTGCTCACGCAACGGCAAGCGAGTGACAACCCCGACCCCGCGCAACGATTCTTCAACGTCGGCGTCAAGGACATCAAGATGGGCAAGCTGCACACGGCTGTCGTCACGACCGAGGCGCGCGGCAACCTCAGCCTGTGTGGCTTCGGCAGCGGCGGCCGATTAGGTCGCTCGTTGCACAGCCAGCTCGCTCTCGTCCCGCTTCCCGATCTCCCGCACACTATCGTCGACATTGCGCTCGGCCAGGACCACACGCTCGCGCTCACATCGGGTGGTTACATTCTGTCATGGGGCAACAACCGATTCGGCCAGCTGGGCTACGTGATTGACGCCCCGGAGACGCCGAACCCATTTGCGAAAGATGGGGACGAGCTAATCCAGACGTCGCCGAAACGCATCATCGGATCGCTGAAGAAGGAGTGGGTGCGTGGTGTTGCTGCTGGCCGCATGAGCAGTGCGTGCTGGACCGCCGACGGCTTGTATACATGGGGCACAAACCTGGGCCACCTTGGATACGAGAAGGCGGGCACGCCTCTGCAGATGGTTCCCCGCCGTGTGACGGCGATCACGCAGCCAGTCATTGATGTTGCGCTGTCCGACTATGCGATGCTGGTACTCTTGGACAGCAACGAGGTGCTCTGCTTCCACCACGACACACACTTCAAGATCAACTTCAGCAACCCACCCAAGTCGCTCAAGGCACCCAAGAATCCGGGGCAGGTCACTCTCGACCCGAACATCTGCAAGGTCACAAGCTGCGGACAGACGTTCGCGACGCTCTCCAAGAAGGGCGACGTGTGCACGTTCACCCTGCCGCACCCCTCGGAGGAGGCGACCAAGGACGTACGCGACAGGCACGTCATCGTCAAGCCGCAGGTTCAATGGGCACTGCGGCGCAATTTCACCGCCGTGAAGGACATGGCGCTCGGCTCGGATGGGACAATGATCGTCTGCACGCACTCGGGTCACGTTTTCGTGCGACAGCGGAGCAAGGCTGGGTCAGGACAGCTCAAATTCAAGCGCATCCCGTACTTACAGCGTATCATCAAGGTTGCCGCGAACGAGAGCGGAGCCTTTGCCGCCATCCGCGTCGACGCGCGTCCCACCCCGATCCTGCTCAAGGGCAATGTACTCGAGGAAGACATGTTCCTCCTCCAGCCGCACTTCAGGCGGTTCGAGAGCCAGATGACGGCCGAGGACTTTGAGCAGAAGATTGCCCCGAAGCACGACGAGGACGACGAAGAGGAGGCGGTCAACACGGTACAGCGCGACACCGAGGTTGCGGTGCACATGTGCCAGATTCTCGGCCGGTGGCAGGCGTCCAACAACGACAGCCTCTTTGCCTGGTCTGAATCGCTTCTCGGATCAGACATCACGGTCAATGTCGGCGACTTTGCGATCCCCGCGCACAGCGTTATTCTGTCCCTTCGCTCGCCTGCGCTCGCCAAGGTGCTGAAGGGCAAAGCTCTCCCTGGCCTGCGATTCGAGAACGGCGCACTACACATGGACGTGTGTCACCCCCTCGTCGCTTTCTTGCTTCTGCAGTACCTGTACTCGGACGACGTGGCGACGGTGTGGGACAACCGGGTCGCCACGATCATCAACACGCGGTTCAAGGATCTCGCGATTCCGGTTGGCAACGTCAAAGATGACCTGCGGCGGATAGCGGAAGTGCTCGAGCTGTCTCCTCTGCTTCCCGTGCTCTCGCTTGGCTCCAAGTCTGAGATCACGCAGCGAACTCTGGCGCGGGACCTGGCCTCGTTCTTCTCACAGACGTTCAACCCGCCGTCTCTTAAGTGCGATGTCGTCGTGGCACTCGCCGACCGCGAAGTGGCGGCGCAGAGTGTGCTGCTCCGGGCGCGTTGTCCGTTCTTCGAAGCCTTCTTCGCGGACCAGGACTGGACTCTCGCTCGTCGCGAGGATGGGAAGGTGGTCATTCACATGGAGCACTTGCGCTGGCGGCCGATGAGGCTCGTGTTTCAGTTCATGCACGAGGGGGTTGAGGACGACCTGTTCGACTACCTGCACCAGGAGACTCTGGATGAGTTCCTCGACTTTGTGTTCGAGGTCCTGGCCGCCGCGACGGAACTGCTCATGGACCGCCTCGTGCTCGTATGCTCCCGGGTTATTGCGCGGCACTGCAACCCATACAACGCGGCTGCGCTGGCGACCGAGGCTTCGTTCTACCAGGCCAACACGCTCAAGAGGAGTGTGTTCGACTACATTGTGTCTTGCATGGAGACCATGCTCGAGTCTGGGCTTCTGGACGACATGGACGAGGACGTTCTCCGTGATCTTTCGTCCGTCATTGCGACAAAGCAGGAGGATAAGAGCTTCATCCCCCGTAGCGGTATCCTTGTCTCGGAGCTCATGGCGAAACATCGCGACTGGCTGCTGCTACAGGACATCCCTCTGCCTCGGGTCCGCGCACCGCAGAAGTGGAAGCCGCGCTCGCCTGTTGTGCAGCCGATGCGGAGCCCGCAGATTGCTCCCCGCTCGCCTGGTGCGACACCAGACTTCAAGCCGCTCTCGAGCACCAACGACGAGATTTTCAGCATGGATGAGGACCAGCCGAGCCCACCGACACCGTCCACGCCAGCACGTCCCGGTACCTCTGGCAGGCCAATGACACCGTTGACGCTCCCCGCAGGGAGCAGCAAGGCGCCGGTGTGGAAGAGCCGGACTGTGCAGCAGGAGAAGGTGGATCTGCGGAACATTATGGCCGAGACAGCTGCGAGCCGGACGCCGCGCAGCATCCCCGGTACACCCGCCGTGCGGCCGGGTGCTTCGCCCCAGCTTGGCCCTACACCAGTGCGGAGCGGCGGCTCGCCATGGGCAGCTGTCCAGGCGCCGCGCACGTCGCTGTCTTCAGTTCAGGCGCAGCAATCGTCGCCCTCGAGTCCAGGGTTTGCTGGACCTGCGCGCGCCAGTCCATCCAGTTCGTCTCTCGCCCGCCCACCTGCGACACCAGCTACCCCGCGTGCAGCTCCAAAGCCCGCAAGCAACTCTCCCTCCACATCCCGCCTCATCAACCCCGTCAAGATGTCGCCTTCCGCTGCCGCGGCCTCAGCCCAACCTAGAAGGTCAGGAAACGGTCCAGCCTGGAGCACGCCGAGTTTCGCACCAGTCAGCCCGCCCACGGTCAGCAGCGCGACACAAGGTCTCTCCCTCCTCGCGATCCAACAGCAGGAGGAGCAAGCTGCGGCCGAACGCAACCTCGTCCGCGCGCCTAAGAGCTTCGCAGAGATTCAGGCTGAAGAGGCGGCCGCTCAGGCAAGAGTGGCAGCGGAGCGGGCGCAGGAGGAGGAATTCGCCCGATGGTGGGCGCAGGAACAGCAACGCATGGGTGTTCAGGATTCCAATGCCAATGGAGGAGAACGCGGCGCCGGCGCCGGTGGCCGTGGAAGGGGAAGGGGACAGCAGCGTCGCGTCCCCCGCAACCGAGGCAAGGCCAACGGAGAAAAGGCTGCAGAGGTTGACCCTAAGGACGCAAGGATCGATGGGCCGCAAGGCGGAGAGGGACCTAGCGGTAGTGGTAGAAACGCTGGAGGAGGTGGTGGAAGAGGGAAGAAGGGCAAGCGCGGCGGCGGCGGAGGCTCCGGTGCTGGTTCTGGTGCTGCACCAGCACCGGTCAACGGTGAGGCCGCTGGTCCGTCCGGAGGAGGCGGCGGCAATAGACGCCCACGCAAGCCCAGAGAGCCCAAGGAGAAGGAAGCCAAGTCATAATCTCAAACTACTGCATAGGTTCTATCTCAATGTACTCGCATTTCGCATCTTGCTAATCCTGCTCGTCGCTCGTTGGCGTTGGTGCGCCACTCATGTGCCCCGCCCCTGGTGCTGACATTCGCCACCCATCAGGCACCGGCTGGGCGGCGTGATAAGGTTGACCCCGCTTCATGAGTTGCCACGTGTGAACTATTGACATCACGCCGCGACGCGGTCATGAACGCGTCCCTCATGTTGTTGACCTCATCAACCTCCTCATCCGCCTTGCTCCGTCGCCGCTGCGCCCGACGCTCAATCCATCGCACCCCGTCTTCCTCGTTTCCTATCCCCCCTCCTCTCTTCGTCTCTACCCATCAATCCCATAACCGCACATCGGGCAGCCCATCATGGTGAGTACATCTCGGGACAAGCGCGTCCCAGACATTCCGGGGAAGACAATTGCTAACATTCACAGTCTATCGTATGTAACCAGGTGAAGGAGCTGTTTGACCTAACGTGACAGGTGAACATTCGCAACATTGAGCTCGTCAACAACCCCGCAAAGTTCGACGATGACTACCATTTCCGGATCAAATTTGAGGCCATTGCGCCGCTGGCTGAGGGTGAGCATAGGTCCGCGCGTCGCGTCAGCGCGCTCTGCTGGGGATGAGGAAGGACGTGGCGATCATCAGAGCGGAGGTTCAAAATTAGAGGAGCAGACGCAGAAAAGGAAGGATGGCTGGTCTGCTCCGCGCTGCGAGACGCCGCGCGAGGAAGACAGGGTGGATGCCCTGTCATGGCTCATGCCGCTCCGCCAATGACGACTCGCCCGTACCCAGCCCCCCGGCCCAGGCCGCCAAAACAAATCGCTGACAACAACAGACCTCGAATGGCGCCTGATCTACGTTGGTTCCGCTAAGAGCGAGGAGTATGACCAGGAACTTGACTCGTGCATGGGTGAGTGGACCGCTTCCAGAAGGAGACGCATGCTGACATAACCTCCTCCGTCACACAAACACGCGCCCTTCCGCAATTTCCACTCTACATGATCTCATCGCTACAGTCGGCCCCATTCCCGCCGGAGTCAATGCTTTCGACTTTGTCGCCCCCGCGCCCAAGCACGACTTGCTTCCCTCTGTCGACCCGGAGGAGATCCTCGGCGTCACTGTCATCATCATCACGGCCTCGTACCGCGACAAGGAGTTTGTGCGCGTCGGCTACTACGTCAACACGGACTACGAGGACGAGCAGCTCCGCCTCGAGCCGCCTCCTCAGGTCGTTTGGGACAAGCTGTACCGCAACGTGCTCATTGAGAAGCCCAAGGTGACCCGATTCCAGAACCCATGGGACAGCGGCTCGGCGGACCCATATGGCGCGCCCAACGGCGATGGACAGGCTGAGCTCGACCAGCCCCTCTCCGCCGATGCCGTGTTCAACTCGCCGCTGCCGCCGCCCGTGCAGAAGGCGCCTGCGCCGAGTAGCGGCATGGACGTGGACGGAGGCGTGGCGGCGTAAGAGCACGGAAGGAAGCAGCAAGACAAAATTCAAAATAGACAGCGCAGGCGCAGTCTGGACCGGCGTAGTCCAGAACAAAGCCAGGCAAGCACACGGGCGGTGTGCATGGGCTTTTTGTACATTTTTGTTAGTAGAACGGCAGATTAATCGGATACGGAGCTCCGCTGTATCCCTCGGTCTTGCCAACCATGTAGTCTGAAAATATGATGTACGATGCGTGCAGAAAAGCTCTCCTATCTCTATCTATAAGCTTACTAAGCCTTCTTGCCAGCGTCCTCCTTGAGGGAGACGATGCGGTTGAGGATGATCTTGTCACCGTCACGGGGGCCGGGGGTGACATCGGCAGGCTCGTCGATGCACTTGATGGTCGACTCGCGGTCGACGGCAAAGTACGCAAGACGCATGCCCTGGAAGCGGATGTTCTCCATGCCCACCAGCTGGTCGGCCGTGACGATGGGGTCGTCGGCGTGGTTCTTTCCGTCCTTAGGCGTCTCGTCCTTCTTCTCGCCCTTGTTCTCCTCATTGGCGACCTCGCACTCCTGCGCGGCCCTGGCGGTACGCTCGTGGCTCTCCTTGCGCGCGTCGGCGATGCTCTTCTTCGCGAGCTGGTAGAACGCAGGCTCGATGACGGCGCCAGTGAACACCTCGAGCGAGTCCGGGTTGACATCCGCCTCAAAGTCGGCGGGGGGCGGGTCCGACTTGAACAGCGGCTTGAAGTAGCGCACCTCGTCAATCTTGACGGCGCCGGGCGCGTTGACCCACTGGATGTACGCCTTGGGCTTGCCCGTGTTCTGGCCGCCGAGGGCGGGATCCTCGAGCCGGGCGCGGATCTCGGTGACCTCGCCCGCGTCGTTCTTGCTGAAGCTTGTGCAGGTGACGGGGAACGGCGCCTTGAAGAGACCAACCGTCTTGCCCGGCGCGAGGCGGAAGTAGTCGGGCGCATCGACCTCGCGGAAGTCGTCCCTGTCAATGTACACCTCGCGGGAGAAGGTCGTGTCGACCTCGCCCATGGCGGGGATCTTGGGGTGCAGCGGCACCTTGACCGTGACGGAGTAGTCGGCGGGCACATTCTCGAGCACAATCTTGACCGGCTTCAGGACCATCATGAGACGCGGCGCCGTGTCCTCGAGGAACTTGCGGACCGTGCTCTCAAACTTCTGCAGCTGCGTCTCGGACAGGAGCGTCGTGACGCCCAGCTCGGAGACGAACGCGAGCAGCGCGCCCGGCGGGATACCACGGCGGCGCAGGGCAATGATCGTGTACAGCCTCGGGTCGTCCCAGTCCTTGACCAGACCGGACTCTACCAATCGGCGCACCTTGCGCTTGGACAGGAAGGTGCCCTGCAGGTTGAGACGGGCAAACTCGTACTGACGCGGCTTGTAGACCTCGAGCGCATCGCAGAGCCACTCGTAGCTCTCACGCGCGGGGATGAACTCGGTCGTGCACAGCGAGTGCGTGATGTGCTCCATGCTATCGCAGAGACAGTGCGTGAAGTCGTACGTCGGGTAGATCTTCCACTTGTCGCCCGTGCGGTGGTGCGGCGCCTTCTTGACACGGTACGCGATCGCGTCCCACATGTACGGGTTGCCAGACGTCAGGTCCTGCTTCATGCGCAGGCACGCCGTCTTCTCGGCGTACTCGCCGTTCTTCATGCGCTCAAACTCGGCCAGATTCTCCTCCACCGGTCGGTCGCGGTGCTCGCACGGCTTCGGGTTGCCGTGGCCGCCGCCGCGGTCCTCCTTGATCTTCTCCGCGTCACACGTGCACACATAAGCCTTGCCGCGCTTGATCAGCTCGACGGCAAGAAGGTACAGCTTGTCAAAGTTGTCCGAGCTGTACGTGATCTTCCACGGCTCGAAGCCGAGCCATCGCACCGTCTCCAGAATCGACTGGAAGAAACGTCCCTCCTCCGCCTCCGGGTTCGTGTCGTCGTAACGCAGGTACGTCCGTCCGCCGTGGAACTTGGCGTATCCAAAGTCAACCATAATCGCCTTCACGTGTCCGATGTGAAGGTATCCGTTCGGCTCGGGCGGGAATCGCGTGTACACCTGGCCCTTCGTGTCCTTCAGGTGCTGCACCTTGAGCTCGGGCTTGATCTGGGGGTTCTCTCCGACCTTGTGGAACTCGGACAGGAAGCCCTCCTCGAAAATACGCGTCGGGAGGTCGGGGGCGGCGCCGGCAGTCGACGAGGAGGCGGTGGCGGAAGCGGCAGCCTTGGGAGCAGCCTTGGCCTTGGCGGGCTTCGCCGAAGCCTTTGCGGCCTCGGCGCGAGCCTTGGCCGCGGCAGCCTTGTCGCCGAACAGCTCAGTGAAGACCGACTCGACAGCGTTCTTCAGGTCGGCAGCAGGAGCCCACTTGAGGTCGGAAGTCGAGCCCTTGATGCCGCCCATGAACGGTCCCTGGTCAGCCCAGGAGGCAATCGGCTTCGCGAGGCTGGAGATGTACTCCTTGATCATGCCCGGGAGCTGCTCAAGGGTGAGGCTGATGCCAACACCGGCAGCCTTGTCGAACGCGGCGACATCAGGGGGAATAGCGGGGTTAGCCTCGAGGTACTTGACCGCGGCTGATGGTTAGCTCCAATCCTTATCTGGCAACTCCTCCTCGGTGCATCATCACTTACCAGCAACCTGGTCAGGGGAAACGACGCTGCCGTCCTCGATGCGCGAGACGACGTACTTGCGAGCGTCGGGGGAGAGCTTGCTTCCAGTGGCAGAGAGCTTAACAAGCGCGTTCGCCTGACCGGTCGGGAACGTCTTGCCCTCGAGTCCAGTCTCGTCGACAAGCGCACGGAACGCAGTGCCCGACTTGGGGGTGCGCACGAGCTCGGTCGCGCTGTTGGTCGTGAGTCCGAAGCGCTCGAAGCGGGCGATGAGCTCGGCGTTCTCCGGCGCGGCGGGGTCGAACTTCGCCTTCGGGGCCATCCTTCTTTTGTTGGTTGCGGGTGGCGAGGAAGTTGATTGTTGTTATCAGTCAGCCCGAGATCCGCGACTCGACTTTTGTGCGCGAGACAGGGGGACGAGGGGATCCAGCGTCATTTGGAACTTAACTGCGCCACGTCATTCATTGGCCACGTGAGACGCCTTATCAGTGAGTCTGCCTTCCCTATCAGGTACATGCCGCTGCGATTGCCGCTCGGAGTTGTTTTCGCGCCGACAACAACACCAAAAGTCACCATCCATGACCTCGGACGGTAGCGGAGCAACGACGCCCCATCTGGGGGCTCAAAAGAGGCATGGAGAGTCCATTGGTGCGTTGAGCTTCCTCCTTCAGTTCTCTCTCCTCCGCCCTTCTCGACGCTAACGCCCAGACGCCGATCGACCCCGCCAGATCCCCCGGCAATCGGGGCCCGAGGAAGGTGCGATGCAGGGCGATGTGAAGCTCGAAGCCATTGGAGAAGCCGGACCAGGACCGCAGACGGCGCGCCGCCGCTCACTTGGACCAGTGCCGCAACCAAGTCCCACAGTCTTCCATCGTATCATGGAGCAGCGAGCTGGTGCCGGCGCGAGCACGCAGGCCAGCGACATCGGCTCGTTCTCGAGCCCGCCGGATCAGGCCGAGCCGGAAGTGAAGGGAGAGTTGCGAGTTGTGGACGGAGAGGAAGCGTACGTCGCTCCCGACAGCGATAGCGACAGCACGCAGTCGATGGGTCTCAGCTCTGTTCAGCAGTCGCAACACACGTGCGCGTACGCAGGCTGCTCAGACGCATTTGAATCGGCGGAGGAGCTGGCGTCGCACATACGAGCGCACGCGGACACGATAGCTGCGCCGCAAACAGGGAAGGAAGCGGAGCTTGAGGAGCGGATATCGGCGCTGGAGGCGCAGGTGCGGGAGAAGGACGTCGAGATCGGACGACAGGCGGCTTACATTGCCGACCTGGAGCGGGATCCGCCGGAGATTCTCTCCCTGCCGACGCAAGACACCCCCGAGGCAGAAATCCACGCGCTGAAGAAGAAGCTCAAGTCCTCGCAGCTGGCGCTGAAGAGTACGCGCTCTGATCTCTCCTTCTTCCGGGATCAGTATCAGACCGCATCGACGAGCGCCGTCGCCGAGGTCGCCCGCGCGGACAAGCTCGCCTCGCAAGTCACGAGGCTAAAGGAGCAGCTCTCGCTGGGCCTGAAGCAGCGCAATCTGCACTTCCAGGCGACGCTGGCTGCGCACGCCAAGTCGGAGGAGAAGGCGAAGTACCAGCTGAACCTGCTGCTTGCGCAGAGCCGGCGCACGGACGACCGCATTCGCCACCGAGCAGCGCAGCACGAGCGCCTCGTAAAGGAGAACCGGACGTACGAGACGGAGCTGCACGAGGCTCGCTCCCGCGCCGACACGCTGCAGAAGCGAAACAACGAGCTACTCGACCAGGTCGCAACGCTCCGCGGTCGGCTCATGGGCGCGTTCGACAGCGTCTCTAACAGCGCTAGCGACAGTGACGCAGAGGGCGAGCGGGAGAATGGGGGCTTCCACAAGTTTGACGCGCAGGAGGCGAAGCTCGGTATGCCGGCGCTCACACCTACTGCGGCGCGGCCACTGACACCTGTCGTCCAGGACGTGATGCTCGGCGCATCACCGGCGGCTGGAACGCAGCAGACCGAGCTCATGTTCAAGTGCAAGTGGGAGAACTGTGCAGCCATCTTTGCCCTTCGGCCAGAACTCGAGGCGCACGCACTGGCGCACGTTCAGACTGAGCTGGACCAGTAGGTCCTGGACATCATGTAGCATCTCTTGTGTATGAATTTTTGGACCATTGGCTGTTCTTCGCTTCGCTTTCACTCCAAGCCGGCGGCTGATGATGAGCACGAAGAGATGGGCACAGAATGAGCGTCGACGCCCCTGCGCCCTCGAGGGCACGCGGGGCGCAGGGGTATCGTAACAACTCGTGGAGGGCGTCTAGCTCAGTTGGTAGAGCGCGTCATTAGCATTGTCTAACATTGACGAGGTCTTTGGTTCGATTCCTAAGTCGTCCACGCTTAACCTTTTTGCCTTCGTCTCGACGTGCAAGCTGTAGTCACTACTGACAAGCTGCGCCTCACTTCTCCTTCCCGCGTGTAGTTAGCTGCTCTTCATCGGCGCCAACAGCTCACTCTTCCCAGATTCGCTCTCTGCTGCGATGCGCGGATGCCACAGTCAGTCTTCCAATTCTGATATTACTTAGCTTTTTGAACTGTTCCCCGTTCACCTGCTCCACAACCTGGTTTATCAGCTCAGTCCGCCCACAACAACTTACACATCGGGAGCAGCGTTAACCGTTCCTCGAGTTGGAGCCCGAGGCGTCGACCGACATGACTACGAGTTAGCTTATCAATCACGCCCCACTAGCTACACGGCATAACGTCTCCGGACCTTCCAGGATGACTGGTCGGAGCGCCAGTTGCTCTGGGTGTGCTTATGTCGCCTAGACCTGACTCGGGTTGTACGTCAGCTTCGATGAGTACGGTACGAAAGCTCCCCACCCGCAACCCACATCAAGCACCCAATCGCAGAGCAGGGGCCTGGCATCAGCTTCATTAACGCCCGCGAAAGCTTACCGGTCGAGTGTGATCTTTGGCTGCGCGTGTCGTGGAATACCGCTCTTCCTGTCGAAGTCAGCTTGGAAGTTCTCCGAGTTCTAGCTCACCCCTCCGGAGGTCTGGATGTATCTCTCCCAAGTCGAAGCGAATGACCTCAGAGATTGAGTAGCGAGATAGGTCCTGCACAACTTTGTTCTGCGGGTTAGCTGGATCTCAGACGCTGACAGCTTACGCTCATTGTTGCTGACTCAGTCACCTTCCACCCTCTGCAGACAAGTACGTCTATGCCTGAAAATATCGTCAGCTCTCAGCTTACGACCGCTAAGTTAAGGCACTGCTAGTCAGCTTCATTAGGCAATACGCAGCGTACAAGTGGTGTCGTACAAGTGGTGTCTTCATGAGCCCCAGACCTATCCTGTTGTAGCGGGCGCCGTCGGTTTAGTCAAGACTGACTATAGCGTCGTAGAGCGATTCGAAACCATACATTCTCCGCTGCCATCTTGGCCTGGTGACATGGGCCACCGACTGTTGGATCAGCTTTGCCCTGCTTGTATTACAGCTCACCTGTTATACGTACGGTACTCCGACTCAATCTTGCCTCGCCGCTGCTAGTCGGGAGGATGCCGAACATCCTGAAGGTCAGCTCGCAATCAGATCCGAGGAGCTGACGAGCGAGATCTGGTGTCAGCTGTGACGCATGATCTCAATCCCAGCGCACTGCTTCCGTGCTACACTAGATGTCCCACTTTCCGCGGTATCCTTCTACGTGGACTTCGGGCGAGCTTGAAGTAATGACAAGGACGCAGTAAGAGGCGTCAGGTTGCGATGGGGACTGCTTTCAGCTATCTCACGTGTGAACTTCAGCTCACGTCTGTCGATACTAATGCCCAGCTCAGCGTCTGCCCCTAGCTCAGCGTCTGCCCCTTAGGACGGCCGACACCCGCCGCTGCTCGGATTTGAGCACCGCACAGCTGGACAGGAAGGTCTGACATCAGCTCCAATGTCCGTGACCCAGCCCACTGCACTGTCGTCAGCTTACAATACGCGATGGTGCTGCAGCTCACCGCTCGAACTTTGACAGTGCTCCATTGACGCCACGAGCACAGTCATCCTGTCGGGTCAGCTAAAGGTCACCAGCTCCGTGGAAGCTCACCTATGAGCGCTGGGATCAGCTTGCTCGTCAAGGTTCAAGCTCACCGCGGCTGCGCTGCTCATTCTTGATCGGCTAAATATGGAAAGATCGGTAGCTTGCAACCGAAGCCCAAGTGCTAACACTTGCGTCGAGCAGGCGCTCGCAACCGTTGCGCAGAACACACCTGCCAGCTGGGGCTCCAACTCCCTACTTCCACTGCGCAACAGTTCACCGCCTATCGTTCGCGTGAAAGAGTCTGCGCTTAGGTACTGCACCGCTCGCCTCGCTCTGCTAACTGGCGGGTCAGCTACTGCACGAAAAAGGTCAGACAGCTCACCGCCACCGATAGTCAGCTCATGTGGAGACTTCGAGAACTGATCGTCAGCTCAGGCATACAGGCAGAGAGCTCACCAATCGCGGTGGTGATTATAGAGGAACCAGTACACGCAGTCAGGTTTCTATGGCTCAGGTGTTTGGCTGGGTATCAGCTGAAAGTCCACCCACGCAGCTCACCCTTGCTGGTCGTCAGCTCTTCACATCCGTTTGAGCTTACCTGTGCCTTGCCACATCACCGACCCCCAGCCTCTTGCATGTCTCAGGTGCTGAACCTCCCTCCACACTCTGTAGCACCACAAAGGCTGGTGCACCTGTATATCAGCTTCCTCCGGTCGGTTAGCTCACCCAACTGCTCGTCAGCTCCGCAAGCAAGCTCCACAACTGACGCTTTCGGTGACCTGGTGTCAGCTACCATAATCACCACAGCTTCTCATGTACACGCTTACTTGTTCGACTGCAAGTTAGCTCAAAACTCGAAGGGGGTGAGCTACGACTAAGGAGCTGTGATTACTGGTTGTCAGCTCGAGGACTCAAACGGAGCATACCTTGCCAACCCACCCCTGCGCCGGCTTCCACTACTCGCTACGCCCTTGCTCTGCCGCTGCAGACGGCATCTCAGCTTCACCTCTCGATAGCTGTTCACCGCCGCACCCACACTTGATCCTGTTGTGCCGAATTGGGGACTGCTATCAGCTATCAGGAGTGACGAACCAGCTCACCTCTTCGAGCGCAGGTGCTGGTCGTCAGCTTCTTATGCCTGGATCAGCTCACCAAGACCTGTTTTCAGCTCCTACCGCAAGGTTTACAGCAGCTCACCTCTGTTGCGCCTCAATCCTTGTACTGTACTGTATACTCAGCTGCATGGGACGTCCTCAAGCTCACGCTTGTGAATCTGCGGTCAGCGAATATCCGGATCCCAGCAGCTTACAAACCTGGGGCGGTATCACTGCTTGTCAGCTCTTGCAACAAGACGCCAAAGCTCACCACCGTCGTCGTCGCAAGCGTTTGCAAACCTGGCTTCCAGTCAGTACGTGCAGTCGTGAAGTGGGCGTTGCTGATCTTGGCCTTAGCCCTCCCTCACTAGCCTCATCGTCTCCCACTTTGATACCTCCCTTGCTGCTTAACCATTTTGACTTCGCAAAGGTTCGCAGACGCGTTGTGTTTACTGTCACTGTCGATGCACCATCGGCGCCGAAGGTGTTAGTAGTTCTGATATCAGCTTGACGCGAGGCAGACGTCGCAGCTTACCTCGAGAACGTCTCCGCGACGCGCACGAGGCCCCCCACGTCTGCTCGAGACCTCGACCAATTCCCTGCGTTTCAGCTTCGCCGCATGTACAGTAGTTAGCTACTCACCCTTGGTCCCTCAAGTAGTACAGCTGGGGACCTGCCATCAGCTATCGACGGCGAAGGAAGCTCACCCTCGCTTCCTTGAAGCTCGGGAGTCAGCTCAGCCAACATTCTTCAAGCTCACGATGCAGCATTCAACGGCAAATCAGCGGTCGTCTCTGAGATTCTGCAGTCAGCTCAACCCTCCCTCTCCTTGAGCTCACTCAACATCACGCCCTACGGCCCGCCTGGGTCTCAGCTCCGAACTTCGTGGACCAGCTTACCGCCTGGAATCAGCTACAGTCAACACCCCCTTCAGCTCACCCTTCCAACCTAGCTCAAACCGACAACGTGCCCAGCATGTCCCCGTAACGCTTCCGTCAGCTCCTTGCTATCGTGGCAGCTTACATTGCCAATCTGTCCGTGTCAGCTTGCACTCATGGGTTCGTATGCGGAGCTCACCGGCTGGAAGGCTATCCGTCAGCTCATTGAACCAAATGCGGCAGCTAACTGTCATCTGTGCTGTCAGCTGGATGAGGGGCTTTAGGAGCTCACGGTCATGTCTCCGCTGTCCACGTCAGCTGTTGCAAGTAACGGAAAGCTCACAGGGGAAAGAGACTGGGGTCAGCTGTCACCCACCATCTGGCAAGCAGGTCCTTCCACTCTACGTGCTTGATACACACCTGCGCCCGCCTCCGCCCCTCCTTCTGTGCACTGCCGATCAAACCGACTGCTGGTCAGCTTCTCACGACAGTGTGTAAGCTTACCGCCCACACTTTGACGAATTGACGTGGAGTCTACCAGCAGACGCAGCAGACGCAGCAGACGCAGCAGACGCAGCAGAGCGCAACCAATCGACTACACTTAGCTTTCGGAAGTGGATTTCCAAGCTCACCTCACCACGTCTGCAGGTCAGCTGCACGAGACTCTGCATAGCTCCCAAGCTGCATGTTAGCTCATTGACAGACAGTGAGCTCACTCTGGCGGTCAGCTTCTCAACTGCATAGCCCCAGCTCACATTCACTCCGGGGTCGTCATCGCTCAGGCTGATGGCTGGAATGTCAGCTCGATCACGGGGAAGGGAGCTCACAAAGACTTTTGTCAGCTCATCAAGAGGCGTTGAGCTCACTTCTGTCCGTCAGCTTTGGCTTGCATCGCCATAGCTCACCTATGAGGTAACGTTGTGGTCCAGTTCTGGAGTTCAGCTGTCCACATCGATCGCGCAGCTTACCCATCCATCCCGGCCAGTTTCACCCTTTGGATCTTTTCTGTTTAGCTCTCCGGCACGCTTGGAGCTCACCTTGCATGTTAGCTGTGTCGATCTGCATGGAGCTTACCATTCCACTCCCTCGCCACCCAGTGCTTCCCTTGACCAGTCGCAGATCTGGAAGGTCAGCTACCTCAAGGTCCAACCCTAGCCCACCTTTGTTGTCAGCTTCCATTCCCGTCAAAGCTTACCCTTTTTCTCATTACTTCAGAACGCATCTCCCTGCATTCTATGGTTGCTCTGATGTCTTGTCGTGGGTTGGGCGGTGTTGACAACGGCTTACAAGCTTACACGCCCTAGATCGTCCATTTCATCTGACCTTTGCCTCCACCTCCACATTTCGCCACCTTGCCTTCCTCGCCTTCCTCGATCACACGTTCAGACCGCACCGACCGCGCCTGTCTCAATGAGGTCAGTTGAGTCAACTCTCGCTGCGCTCCACACGCTTCGCGTGTTCCGCTCCGCTGCTGCGCAATGTATCATCCTGCATCTCCTACAGCAAGACGCTATCACAAGGGTCTCATGAAAAATGCAAGAGAGTTTGTTTTGGGTGGTTGCCTTTGGTACTCGAGGCGAGTGGGGAAAAATATAGTAGGAAAATAAGCATGACGCGTTTCGTTTCGTCTCGGGAAAAAGTGGGTTGTATACACAGTTAAAACGATGATGTAAATGGTAGTACTAGTAAGTAAAATGGTGATTGTTTTGGAGAGGTTGTCTATGCGGGTGGATTGTGATAGGGGTGCGCTGGGTGGCACTACGCTGCGCTTCGCGCCGCTTCGCTACGCCATGCTGACCTTCTGCGCATTGACGTAGGCGCTGTTGCGGGCGTGTAACCGCGCCGTGGCGGGGACGCCGACGCGCGGCGTGGACGTGCTCTGCGGTGCGCGCGCAACGAGTGGCGTAGGCGGCGAAATAACGAGACCCTTCTTCTCGCTGCTGCCGCCGTTCGAGTACTGCGTCGTCTGCCGGCGGGACGACGTGCTCGAGCTCAACAGGGACGTGCGGCCGTCGCGCTCGGTTTGCGACGATGTCGGCGGCGGAGGCGCACGACGCCGGCCCGCCAGGATCCAAGGGTGGCGCATCGCCGGCTGGGGCTTGAGGCGCTTGTCCGGGTCCCACGTGAGGCACTTGGAGATAAAGTCGACAAACTGCTCGTCGTTGCACTTGAGCACCGACTGGAGCGACTTGGTGCCCGGCCGCCGGCGCTTGCCCTTGGCGTTGACGAATGGCCGCGCGGCACCAGTGGCGTCGAAGAACAGCTTTCGGCGCGAAGCCTTCTGCACAATGTATGAGTCGGGCACACCGAGCACCTCCATGATGCAAGCGAGCTGCTCGTGCTCGTTCTCGCCAGGGAAGATTGGGTAGCCAGTGTAGAGCTCGGCGAGGATACAGCCGAGAGACCACATGTCGATTGCCATTGCGTAGTTCATGCCGAGAATGACTTCGGGCGAGCGGTAGAAGCGCGACTGGATGTACGTGTATACCTTCTCCGACTCGTGACACGAGGAACCAAAGTCGATGACCTTGATGCCGCTCTTGCTCGGGTGCCGCAGCAAAATGTTCTCTGGCTTCAGGTCGCAGTGCACAATGCGGTGCGAGCGCATGAGCACCAGCGACGACAGCATCTGCGTCGTGAAGCGGCGGATGAGCACCGTCGAGAAACCGTTGAACTGGTTCGCCTTGATGAGCTCGTACAGGTTGATGCTGAGCAGCTCGGTGACAATGCACAGGTGGCCACGGAAGTAGAAGTGGTCCGTCATCTTGACCATGTGATGCTTGTCCTCCGGGTCCCAGTCGACAATCTGCTGCAGAATCTTGATCTCAACGAGCGCCTGGGCGTGGAAGCGCTTCTTGTTGCGGATGATTTTGACAGCGACAGAACCACCAGTCTTGTGGTCACGGCAGTGCACAACCTGGCCGAAAGAGCCCTTGCCGAGCACACCCATGACCTCGTAGCGGTAGCAGAGGTGGTCGCCCTCGACAACAAGGTAGTCTCCGCGTTCGTCGTCGTAGCCGTGGTTGTAGACCTTGCCGTCGGCACCGACGGGGCGCTTGACGCCCGTGACCGTGTAGTAGATGTGGTCAAAGTCGAGGACCTCCTTGCGCTCATAGTCCGACAGGCTGCCGAGGTTTCGCGAGATGAACTGACGCTGCGTGAGCGCCTCGGCCGGCTGAATGTCCTCGGGGAAGCCTAACAGGTCGCTAAGATCGTCCTTCTTGCTGTGGCTGGCGGCAGCACGAGCCTTGCGGCGAACGACATACTGCGCCATCTCCGCGTCGGCCATCGTCTCGTCATCGTCGGTCGGGCTGTCGTGGCTGGACGTGTCGCCGGCAGCCAGCGAAGCTCGTCGTGATGCTACGGCGGACGAGGACAGAGACATTCTCGAGTGACCGGCAGAGATACCCTTGGTGTGGAACGACTTGGACGTCTTGATCGGCTGCTTCGCGCTGTTGTCGTCCGTGTTGTCCGTCTGGCTGCTCGTCGAACCTCGGCGGGTACCAGCAGGGCGAACCTTGGCGGCAGACGAGATCGTCATCGTGGTAGCCGATGAAGGCAATTGGGGAAGCGTACGACGGGAAGGCGTGATCATGTTGGACGAAGGAGCAATGGCTAAAGTCTCACGACGAGAAACGGGCGGCGCCGGGATACCAGAGACGCTGTGCTTCCTGGCAGACATGGGCGCAAGAAGATGCGATCGGTGAGCCGCAGACGAAGAACCGACCTGGAACGATTGGCGGGATCCTATGCTGCCAAAGTCTCCAGGAGACATGTCGTTGACGCTGGTGGACGATGGCAAGTGGCCGTTACCGGATGATGACAACATGTTTGCACTCCTGCTCGTGGCCATCCCTGAAGGAAGAGCCGGAGGGGGCATGCTGGTGTGTGGGCTGGTCATGTGTAACGCCTGCGTGTTTGGCGTCACCACCGAGGGCCTGGACGTCATGCGCGGGATCTTGGTGGGGGTCGCCGACGGCGGCGGGCGGTTGCCGTCCTTGCGGAGTGACGAAGCCGAGGAAGCGGTGTGCAGACCATGCTGGCTGCTGGCCATGGGAAGTCGCGTGCCCTTCACAGGTAACCCGTTAAGTATACCCGACTCTGAGCGCTGGTGCATGATGTTCGGCTGAACGTTCATTGAAGGGTTGCGCGACAGCGAGGCGTTGTTCTGGTCACCGCCAGACGACAGCGTTAAGCGGCGCGGACGACCGCCGCTGCGGCCAATCGAGCGAACCTTGGTCAAGGAGGGCTCCTTGGTGCGGGGCTCAACAGCAGACTTTGGTGGCTCGCCAGTGTCGATCTCTTCCTGAGGTGATAATTGGTTGTGCGAGATGCCGCGCTTGGACCCGCTGACACGCAGCATGGACGGTATGTGCATGCTGCTGAGCATGGACTTGCGGGCGCTGGACGGCGTTCGCTGGGCCATCGAGTTGGTTGACGTGGACGCCGAGGAAGCTTGAACCGATAACCGAGAGGCCTGGGCGTCGGGCGGGGAAGCGAGTTTCTGCGACAGCGAGGCGGATGAAGCGGATGAGCGACGGAAGAATGGGATGGAGGAAGGCGTGAGACGCTTAGACGCCGATCGGCTGGGCGGCGCCAGATTCGATGGAGGGGCGATCGGCGTCGTACTGTGGTTCGAACGAGCATCCGAGATGGTCGAGTGAACGTCGATCGAATCGCGGGTACGCGTGGGAACCAAGGGGCTCTCCTCTGGCCACTGCACGGCACGCGGCGGTGAGTCGCCAATGTCAAACGACGAGTTCGGAGACGACATGACGTCCTTCTCTTTGTTGTGCAGCCCCTTAAGGCTAAGTGCTGATGAGAAGGACCATTTTTTGCTCATGCTTCGACGCGCCGGAGTGTCGCGAGCCGAGCCGTCACTGAGCGTCAAGGACACGGGCGTCGGTACCTCGGGCGACTCCTTGTGTGCCTGAGGCGAAGGGAAGGTCGACGAGGGAGATCTCGGGGAAGCTGTGGACTCGACAGACTGAGCCGGCTGGGCCGATTCGGCCTGCAGAGGGACATACTGCATCGGCGGCGGCGCTTGCAAAGTCGGGCTGCCAGTCGGAGAAGACTCGGTGGTCGTGGGCAACGTCGTCGTGGAGCCGGTTTGCGGTAGGTGCGTTGCTGATCCTGAGGGAGGCACCTGGGTTGCAGCGCCGGCCGTGGCCAGTCCTGAACGCATGGACATGTAGCCACGAGGGAGGGGAGGAACAGGTGGAACAAAGCTGTCGCTCGTGCGATCGTCCAGATTTCCGTCCAAGGAAGAAATGTCGCTCCCCACACTCGGTCGGCGCGCTGCCTTCTCCGCTCGAATGTCCCGGAGGCTGGTCGGAGGCGTGCCCGAGCCACGCAGCGGAATGAGCGAATCACGAGACGTCGGCGTGCCAACCACGCTCGGCGACGATTCACGCTTCTCAAACGTCAACGGCGGGACGTCACTGCTGCCTGCGGTGTACGTCTCCCGTCGAGCGCGCGCGTGGGTCGCAGTGGCCGCTAAGTCGCTGTGGCTCGCCTCGAACCAGTTGCTCAGCGGTGACTCCTTCTCCCGGCTGCTGGTGACCTGTAAGCTCAGAGTGCTGTACTAGCTGGAGCTCTTGCGAATCGTCTCGGGCGGGGTGCCAGGGTGAGGCCTTGGAGTCGCAGCAGTATTAGTGGCCTGCTTCTTAGGCGTGGTGCCTAAGCCATCCAGCTTCCTCAAGGCTTCCACGGTGGCAGCGACCTCGCCAGACTTCATCGACTGCGCTCTCGACCGCGAGCGCGTCGACTCGGAACGCTGTAACGGCGGCTTGCTGTGGCCCGACACCGACCCGGGTGGTGTTCGCACGGTCGAGAGGTTCTGCCCAGAGGATGATCCACGCAGGAACTGGTTGATTGACGCCGTCGAGGGGCTGGGAGGAAGATGCGAAAAGTCCTTGGGGGCGATGTGACGGAGGATGTCGTGGTGCGGCGCACTAGGGCTTGGTGGCGCCCGACGCTTCGCCGTGGTCTGCGAGGAGATTGACGTTTCCCTATCCCGTCCACCTCCAGAAGGGGGTGTTTTCCGATCGCGCCAAGTGAAGGAAGGCGTCGTCGAGTCCGCCGAACCTGGAGGTGAAGCCCTGTAGCTGTTGATAGGTAACGGCGGAATCTCGACTGGCTTAGGCGGCGGTAATCCCTCCGCAGCCGCAGCTGCGAGCTGGCGGGATGCACGCCGAGCGTAGATGCGCTCTCGCGCACTGCCTGGCAATGGCGGTGACGTTGGTGAATCGAACGGCTTCGTCGGTAAGGGAGGAACGGCTGGGGGGTCGGTGAAGAGCTGGTGCGTTTGTCGGCGTTGCGACTTGGGCGGAAGAGGCGGCACAGACGCCAACGACAGTGCTTGCGCAGAATAGCTCTTCGGTGCCGGCGGAGCAGAGGCGCGGACATTAACCTCGCGCGGCGGAGACGTCGGAGCCGACAGTGATCCCGGAGGCTGTTGTTGAGCTTGCGATTGATTCAAGGGAGATAACGAGCCAGCGAGGCCGCCCGTCGAGTCAATCTGCGAGTCAAAGTTGAAGTCATTTAACGATGACAGCGAAAGCAGGGAATCCAGCGCTTTCACTCCAGCCTGCGTCGAGTTCCTCTTGGTGACGGGCGGGCGCTTCGGGGTCTCATGCGAGACAGAGCGGTGACGGGCACGAGCCTGTTCTCGTTCCCTACGCGTCTGCATGACGTCGTCGCTGATGTGCTCAACATGGTTGGGGTACGCGCTCGCTGGGCCAGCCAGCTGCTCGCCTGATGGGTCCCAAACATGCCGCCCCGGTGCCGAACCCACGAACAGACCAGACGCAGACTGAGGTAAAGGCGGTGCTAAGCTGAAGTCTCCCCCGTTTCCGCCAGACATGCTAGGCGTGCGGAGATGACGGGATGACGGACCCCATCGTGGGGTGGCGAGCTCGCCGACGCCAACGAGGCCACGACGATCAATGTTCGAGGGGTCAAGAGGATCGGGAGTTGTCGGCGTGAAGGTGGATCCCATGTCGCCTGGCGATAAACCGCCGTTCGCACCAGCACCCAGGTAGTACGAATCAATTCTGTAGATGTGTCAATATCTAGTGTCGACTGCCAGCGTGTTGAACTCACGATACTCGATCTCCATTCGTCGCCACAGACTCTCGCCGGTCGATCACAGACTGCCTGCGAGTATCGATGCCAACGCTGCTGGAGAGGCTCGATGGTAAGAGACCTTGAGGTGAGGAAGACGGCGGTAACTGATGCGCTGGAAACGGAATGGAATCTCTGCGTTCACGCCCTGGAACAGAACGGAGAACAGGACTCGGGGGCTTGTATCCTTCCTCGGAGGGCGCAGTCGGTAATGGTCGTGGGACGGGCTGGAGTGTCAGTTTCATCGCAACCCGCGGTTATAGCCTAGAAAACTCACCATGTCCATTGACTTTTGCCTGCCTGGGGCCCGCGGTGGCCGCGAAGGGTTCGACTGGAAGTCGAGCAGGGGCATCGTTGTGGAGGGCGGTTCCGTACGAGTGCTCAGGTCGAGGGCCGCGGGGGCGGGCGCTCGTCGCCCCTTCAGCCCAATCGTGCTAGACCCCATTGCCGACATTGACTGTGACGCAGACACCCGTTCTCGAGCGTACGCAGAGGGCGCGGACGCAGGCGAGCTGTATGCAGAGGTCGGGGGCGAGGTCGTGGAAGTGTTTGCCGAGAACGCATAGGGGTCCGACGCACGAGGAACAAGAGGCGGGCGTGAAACAGACGATTGGGCAGATGATGATGGTCCAGCCCAAGTGCGGTCTGAGCGCATCTGGGCACCGCCGCTGTTCATCTCTGTCGCCCCCTCCGAACCGCCAGTCGGGACGCGCGACGTTTGGTCATACAGGCCGAAGCTTCCCGCCGACGGCTGGCTCGATAAACGACTGGCAGGCGACGTGTGTCGAGACTGAGCAGCAACCATCTCAGGGCCGCCCGGGCTAGAGTTCCACGAAGCGCTGCCGGGAATAGAATGTTGGGAGTAGCCAGCGGCGACCGACGGTGTGTGGGAGGGCCCGGCGCTTGGCGGGGAGCCTCGCGCAGCGGGGTAGGTCATAACGCGTGTTGTATTTACTGGCGGTCTGTCATGGAGAGGGCTGGAGAGACAAGTCAGCGCGCGCCAAAGAAGCAAGGTGGTGAGGAGGTGTGGGATCGGCTTCCTGTGTCTTTCACGACGCAGCCAGCGGGCAAGGCAGATCTGGGCTGGGCCGAAGATTGTCGCGACACGCCGTTTCGGTGGGACGGGTGGGAGGTGACACCAGAGCAGTGTTTAAGAAGCAGAGATAGGGCGAGCTGGGAACAACAGAGATGAAAGCGATACGCACTGGAACCAAAGAGCTGGTGAATGGCGAGGCGCAGAGGGAAGAGAGTGCTTGGTGTGAGAACGCGTCTAGAGGCGGTGAATTTTAGGTCGAGTGTTTGAACAAAAGGGCGAGGGAGAGGGGGGGGGTATACTTGTCGTCAATGTACGTGGATGTTGGGACTTTGGGAGCGACGGCGTTGGGAGGGGTGGTATGTGGTCGCGCGTATGAGGAGTGAATGCAGTGGATGAGAGTGTGTGGGCGGAGAGGGCGGAGAGGGCACCTTGCGACGCGTGGTAGAGGCAAGCAAGGGATGGGACCCCAGGAGGGAGAGGACCAGAGTGCGAGTGATTGGACGAAGGGAAGGACGGTGGATGCGCTGATCGAGTGGGTTTGGATTTGGCTGGGCTGGGAGGGAGTGGGTGGGAAGCGACGGTCTGTAAGAGTTGGGCGGTGACTCTGGCGGGGACGGGGGTCGTGTGTGGAGGACGGGGGACGGAGAGGAGGGAGGAGGAGGACGTTGAGAGAGTCGAGGATGGGACGGAGGTTGTGCCGGTTTGCGGTGTCAATGTCGGATACTGTAGGAGGATGACTTGCAGCGTGTGTGGGTGGGTGCAGCTGGTGCAGGATAGCGCAGGACACGGTGAGAATGAGTGGTAGCAAAGGAGGGCTGCAGGCAGCGCACGCAGGCTCAGGCCCATCCAGCCCAGGTTCAGGCTCAGCTCTGACCGCGGTACGGCCCAGGTCCAGGGAACATGCCCAGGACGGCCAGGACACGACCACTGGTGGTGGACTACTACTCTCCTCCACTCTCAAGCGTTAGCCTAGGGTCTCGCTGCCCAGGACTCGCAAGGGTTCCAGCGCACCATCTCCTTCAGTATCCCTGTCTGCGCACATTGCATCCTCCATCCATCTCTTTCTCTCGCTCCGTCTCTCCACATTCGAATCTCGCTGCACAGGCGCGCATCGCTCGTGGCTGCATGGCTGTGTCCGCTGTGTGTATCCTCCACCGCGACGGTCCGTGGGCATGGGCGCTGGGCCGTTGGCACTCTCCACGCCCGTGTCCTTCAGTGGCCCAAGCCCTCTCGTGACGCATGTTCACCCGCAGTGTCAACGAGTATGCTTGCCGACCAACTCTCCGGAGGTCTGGACACTGAAGCGGCTCACGCAGCGGGTGCTCATGTCCGATTCGCAGATCATTCCATGCATTCGTTCGAGAGTTTGTTCGCTCTCTGGTGCTCGAGACGATGCCTGGACGACGACATGAAACACTAGATTACATCTGGCGCAACGTAATGCTGCCCCTGCCGCCGCCCTGGTCCAGCTCTCAAGGCTCCTTTCTCTCCAACTACCCACTATTGAGTCATCTCTCAATCCTCCCACTCACCCAGATCTCGACCACTTACAAACCAAAATCAAGCCATGAATCTGATCTGCCGCTTTCACTACTGTGGCAGCTGTGAGAACATGGGTATCTGTCCCACCCGCATTCATTCCTCGCTTCACTCATAGACACCGTTGGAGTGACTCCCGCTCTCTCTTTCGTGTTCATTCGGGCCCATAATCACACGATATCCGAGAGGCAGACAACGAGCACTTCAGAACGTGTGAAGTAAGCGGTGAGCCCCGTGCCATCATCTCCCTTTGACACTGAATCCCTGCCCTCCCTGAGTATGAACCTGAGAGCCGGACGACTCGAAAGGTCAAGATCATGCTCGTCCTGACCAGCTGAGACTTCTAACTCGTCCTGGCAACCCGGTCGCATGTGAGTTCATCAATCCATCGGACCACTTCCATCTACCGATCCCTGTCCTGCGGCCTCTCGTTGCCGACTATGCCCCGTCCGTCACCGAATCTCGGATCTCCGAGGCGCTCTTGGGTCGTTGTGATCGCAGTTCGGAAATCTCGTCAGCATCGCTTCCACCGCGACGTGCGACCCGTCCATGCCACGTACCAACCCCGGCCGGGTGCCTGTCTGTCTGCTCCTGCATGTGACTAACGCTATGCATAGAGTTGCCTGTGATTGTCACTTTGCAGCGTTCCAGTTACGACATTGCAGCTGCGATCACCCAGACCCCCGAGCGGTTCCTCCTGGGATGCTGCGGAGCGCCGGCGTCCGCTGCGTCGTCTACCCAACGACGCTTTGAAGACAGCGGCCCTCTGGGGACTGTATCGTACCTGGGGTCCGGGTCACTTGCTCATTTTATGAGTCAAACCTAAACAGTTGAGGAGCATATGGTGAATGGAGTGATGTTGAGTCTCCAATTGACCATGTCCGGGTGACTTTGCATTCATCGACTTCTCCCGGTGGCACTGTAAAGCATGCACGACTTCAAAGCTCAGACGACCTGACTCGTGCGAGCAGTGAGAGCGACCTCTCAGCTCTTTACCTATCCTTCATCTCGACACTCATCAACCCGCAACGAGCTCGCTTCTTCTCGTGTCCAGCGAGATGCCACTGCTCGTGACGGGTCAGTGACGCCGAACCCTCGTCTGCCTCTGGTGTTCTGCCCGCACTCCCTGATCTATGACCCCACGCCTCCCAAGCCTCTCACGCGTCTCAGGTCTTTCTCAGGGTCATGCATTCACGCGCGTCTCTTTTGCCTCCGCCCTCACCGCCACTGATGATTGCGTGGGTCCATGTCTAAGCGGAGATCTCTAACTACTCCGTGTCTCACACCCACGTGGCAGCCTCCTCATCATCATTACGTAACATCTTAACAACAACAAGTTCAGGCGCTAAGCCAAGTAAACAACAGAGGAACCGATCAGCTACATCATCCTGTCTCAAACTCCAACTTGCATCACCAGCACACATCGGCCCACACTCCTGTTCGCCTGTACACACTGAGCGGACGACTGATACCGGATCACACCTCGTTCCTTGCCCGCCGTTGTCGACACCCACTCGCTCGTGATACCAGATCCACCCTGACTCCACCTGGGCCGCTGCCCCCCGCCGAAACCGACATGCCCGCCCCGGCAGCTATCGAGTCGCCGGCTCCGGCCCGCTACACAGTGCACGGCGACGATGACTCCATGGGCGACCACGCCGTAGCCGACGTGACCTTCTCGGACCTCGGGTTCTCGTCCTCGGACGACGAGGCCGGTGTCTTCTTCGGCACCCCGAAGGCGATCGAGCGCAAGATTGTGGCTTCCCTGTCCAAGACGATCCCACCTTCTCCGGCATCCCGAGATCTTGCTCTGACAGCTGCATCTGGATCGTCCCCCTCTCGCTCCCCGGCCGTGAAGCGGGTGAAGAAGCGGGACTCGCGCGAGTTCCTGCGCCGCAAGACGCTTCTTCTGGCGCACCCCGAGGTGTCGCCGGCGGAGAAGGTGTGGGAGGGCAACTTTTACGAGAAGGATCCGCCAACAACAGAGGAACAGGCTTCTCCCAGCTCGGAGGGCAGTAATCACCAGTCGCCCAATATTCTGGACATGACGACATCGCTGATCACAACGGCGGATGTCTCGCCAGCCTCATCCAGCTCAAGCCTGGACCTAGACATCTTCAACAAGAGTGATACCTCCTTAGAATCTGACTTTGACAAGGAGAACACCGACATTCCAGAACCGCTAGACTATACACCCGAACCAGAGTATATCCCCGATGAGCCCGAGCCGACCGCCGCTCTCACGCTTGGCATGCGGGAAGCCCAGCTTATCGACCTGGGTGAGAAGCTACAGTGGGGTCCGAATTAGCTGACATCATCAGACTCTTCACTGCAGCTCGATCTTGGAGGACTCAATATTCTGGACGTCGACGACCCCGAGGTCGGTCATGACCTTCGGCCGATGGAGTCGACTGCAGACCTTCTCGGAAGTAGCGACTCGGAGAGTGGTGACAGCAGCTTCCGGTCGACTACCTCGCCGATGTCCTCGGGTGCTATCGAGACCTCGCTGCAAACGCCAGCGCCGGTCGATGTGTCACAGGAGCCGGAGGAACCGGCAACGCTCCCTGACAGTGCCGAGGCTGTGGCCGCCCTTGTCAATCTCGTTGAACCTGCTGTTGAGGAGCAGAACAAGCCGCTCTCCGAATTAGCGACCCCTTTAAAGGCTCTGGGAACATTAGAGGTTGAGGATCTGCGCCGCTCGACACTGAAGCCGGGCCCTCGAGCACTTGCGCGAGTGTCGGACGCTTCCATCGTCGGCTCTGAGACATCCTTCGCTTCAGACCTTGACTCACCGAAAGCGCGTGGCCCGGTGCAAATTCCAGTCTTCTCTGTTCCCTCACCAAAACACACCCCAGTTCGTGGCTTAGCGCCTTCCAGCCACGACACGTTCTCGGTGCCAGAGCACTCCAACGATTTTGCCCTTCCCTCGATCGACAGCCCGGTACCGTCCCCGAAACCGAGACAGAAGCCTGTCCCGATCGCTGTGATCACCCCCGAGGCTCGGCAACGAGTGTATGAGGCGCTTCCGCCGAGTCAGAGACCGAGCCGCATATTGAAGTCGAGTCATATCCGCACTTCGTCCAAGTCGGAGAACCGTCCGCCGACGCCCACGAAGGAAGAGGTTGAGACGAAGGAGCGCGCCCAGATCATCCGCAGCGAGCTCGATACAATCTTCAAGGCGAAGTGTGCCGGATTCGGCTTACCGCGGCCTCAGAATGCTTCGACGTCAATGGCGAGTAGCACTACAATCGCTGCGACGCCGCGAAGACCGGTCCAGGAGCCCGTCAAGGGTCTGGCGGAGGCGACCAAGGTGTCCCCGTCGAAGAAGGTGGTTAAGAAGGCACTTACGACTTCGGGCTTACCTCGGCCAACGTCGGCGATCCCGACCGCTAAGAGACGGCCGGAATCGAGCTTGTCCCGGCCGACGGCGTCGACGGCCGCTAAGATCGCCCCGACTGCCCGGCCACCGCTTGCCGCTGCGAGGAGAACTGCGACAACTGTGCCTTCCCGAACCACCGTGCCCGTCACGGCAGTCGGCAGGTCCTCCGTTATGGTGCCTGTCCGCCCTGCCGAGACGCCCGTTCGGATGAAGCACGCCTACGAGCAGCCTGCGTCTGTCCGGACACGGCCACTCGCTGTCGGTGTCGGTACTCGTCCGACTCTCGGCCCTGCAGCGCGCCTGGTTCGTGACCCAACGTCCGGTGGCCTCGTCTACGCTACGAGCGGCGGGCAGTCGTTCAGTGCCGAGTTCTCCGTTGCCCCTCCCCGGTCGCCGGTGGCGCAGTTCGCTCCCCGCTCCCCCGCTGCTCATTTCACGCCCCGATCACCTGGCTTTTCGCTTGGGCGACCGACACGCCCCGGAGTTGGACCAACACCAACACCGCAACGCAACTTCCGTCTCGGAACCGCAAGTCGCACAGGAACGCTGATGGGAGCCCGGCGACAGCCGTCCCCGACGAAGAGCTCGAGTGTGCCGACTCTGCTCGTGCAGAGGGATTCGGATGACCCTTCTGAGGGATCGGACTCGGGTTCTGCCTCGGGCTCTAAGGACGCGCCGAAGGAGACCCAGGCTGCAAACGATACGCCCAAGGATCAGTCAACAGAAGCACCTGAATCTGCGGAAACGTCTGACGAGACCGTGCCTGCACCCGAATCTGCCCCTGGACACACAGACACAGAGCCCAACGGTTCGTCCAGCGAGCCCAACGGACATGCCGAGACGAAGCCCTCCGAGCCTGAGCCCGAGAAGCAGAAGGAGAAGACGCCCTCGCCTCCTGCCCAGCCAGCTCCCGAGCCTTCGACGCCCGTCTCCGCCTCTGGCCGACCACGCCGCACCCCGAAGCCCGTGGACCGGCTAGTCCAGGCTCCCGTTCCGACCAAGGCAGCCGTTACTCCCTCGATCGCCCCCGGTCTCTCAGAAAAGGAGCTCAAGACGCAAACACAGCGGAACACGATGCGGAACCAGGTCTACTTCTGCGCGATCGACAGGCAGATCGTGCGCGTGCCCGGCCCCCGCCCCCCGAGTCCGACGGGTAGTATCCGCACCCTGGCCGAGAAGGAGGAGGAGGAGCAGAAGGCCGAGCGGGACGCAAGGGCGAGGCGACGAAACAGGGGCAGCGGCGACCCGAGCTCGGCGACCCGAGCTCGTCCGACGACGAGCCCCCCGTCATCGAGAAGGTCACGGTCGACTCGGCACCAGGCGACGAGGAGGGGGAGACGTGGAAGACCCCCGCTAAAAAGCGGAAACGCATCACCTCAGACGAAGAGGACAACACGCGCAACGTGAGGTGGGACAGGGCGCTGACCGTCTTCCGCGGCGGGCTGGGGGAGGCGCCGCGACTCCGAGCCCGATCAACAGAAGAGGGACATGACAGCCTCGACACGCGCCGGACGGCTAGTGAGGAGCCGGCCCGCAGTGCGCTCAAGGCCGGAGCCCAGATCCAGCTGGATCGGAACGGGAACGCGGTCGACCGGCCCGTCGAAAAGCTCAAAAGGCAGAAGATCACGGTCACGGCGGTGTTTTACGATGGCGAGGAGCCGGTGCCTGAGCCGGCGAAGAATACGCGGAGTAAGAAGAAGAAGAATGCGTGAGCACGCTGCGAGCGAAGCTAGTGCGGCGGGCGCAGAAAACGTGTGCATAGACCTGACGTAGGAGTGGAGTAGGAGTGTAACACTTGGAATTGTACGAGTAGTTTTAATGCGATCAGAATTCTTGCTACTTCCTCCACGCAGTCAATGGGCATGTGTAACGTCAGCCTTCCGTTTGTCATCTGACGCAAACAGATCGATGGAGAGATCGCAGTGTGGAGTGTCACGTATACCAGTAAATGGGGCGGGTCTGTCCGCTATATCCACTACGCTGTGACTGTGATTGCGATCCATGGCTAAGAGCTCCAAGCCATCGCATGGCAATCCGGCGTGCAGCCATGCAGCCACCACAGATTCAGGTTCGCCACCGCAGCAAAACCAGTGTTTGCCACCCTAATTCTGTAACGGGTTCCCCGTGCCTGGACATGCCACCTCAGCAAGGTGAAACGGGTAACTTTGGCCCGCACTGCTTGTCTTCCTCCAACGCAACGTCAACGTCGCAGTTGACGGCGCCTTACTTCCTCTCTTCCCTTCATACTCTACACACTACATTGCACTCTTAAATCTCGACTCGACTCACGATTCGATTTCCTGCATGCGTCTATCTTGCTAAGGACACTCGCCTGCCTGCCCCCGCGAATCCGACACGACGCGACCCGTTCGCCGCCGCTCCCCGACTCAGCCTCGGCAGCTCGCAAGTTCGCCCCGCGCACCGACCACCTTCTCTCCGGCTTGTTACGAGACGACACGACTGCTTCGCTCTACGCACACGACGCCGATTTCGTTCGACGGCATACCGCCAGCTACGCCAGCTACGCTAGCCAGCTCGCTCCGGTCGCAGGCTAAGCCATGGGCATCCCCGTCGCGGCGGCCATTGTGGTCGGCTTGACGTGTTCTTTCATCCAGTCGCTTGGTACGTCCCTCAGCCACCACCCAGTTGCTTCGTCGTTGAATGTCTAAACTGACCTTTCAGGCCTCACGATCCAGCGCAAGTCACATGTGCAGGACGAGCTGAAGCCGCCCGAGGAGCGCGTGCGCGCTCTCCGTCGCCCGCTCTGGATCATCGGTTTCCTCGTCTACATCAGCTCGAACGTCTTTGGGTCCGTGTTCCAGATCGGCGCGCTACCTATCGTCGTGCTCGCGCCGCTCGGCGGAGTGTCCCTGCTCTGGAACTCTCTGCTTGCGCACTTCCTCCTTGGCGAAGGCTTCTCCAACGCCATGATGGCCGGCACGGTACTCATCGCCACTGGCGCCGTGCTCATTGCCGTATTCGGCGTTGTGCCCGACGAGAACCACAGTCTGGACGATTTGCTCCGGCTCTGGGCGCGCGAGCCGTTTGTGGTGTTCTTCACCCTCGTTTGTCTCGCTGTCACGGTCACGCTGGTTTCCGCGCATGTCGTCGCGTGGCGCACGAGAGATAGGGGCATCAAGCTCGCCGTCGAGAGCGATACGACCGAGCCCCTCATCCCGCTCGCGAGGGGGGGCGAGGCGCCGGTGCAGAAGGCGGTGCACTTTACGACCCCGACCGAGGAGCGCGTGAACCGCACACGTACGCTGGTCGGACTCGCCTTCGCCGCTGCGTCGGGTACTCTCTCGGGCCTCTGCCTCGTGCTCGCCAAGGCCGCCGTCGAGCTCGTCATCACTACCATCGAGTACTGGCGCACGGGCAAGGGATCCAACGAGTTCACGCGTCCGCAGACGTGGTTCCTCGTTCTCGGCTTGGCCAATGCTGCAGTCCTGCAGCTCGTGTACCTCAACTACTCTCTGACGTTTGCCTCGCCCGCACTAGTCTGTCCGCTGGCGTTCTGCTTCTACAACCTCGCATCAATCTTCGACGGCCTCGTGTTCTACGACCAATTCGGGCGGCTGTCGGCACACCAAATCGTCCTGGTCACTCTGGGAACCGCCGTGCTCTTAGTGGGCGTGTGGGCCGTATCCAACGCGCAGCCCGAGGGCGTCGAAGTGGGCACCTTTGCAGACGAGTGGGAGGAGGAGGCGCTCTGCGACGAGCCCGAGTGCACAGAACACGAAGAGCTCGTCCGCTCCCCCGAAACCTATGCCTATGACCCGCCGCCGTCGCCCACGCACCGCCGCCGGTCGCGCTACGGTACGCTGCATGAGTATCAGCGCGCGCCGGCCGGATTCGCGTTTGGTATCGGCGCCGCGTCCCCCGGTTTCGCGCTGCGCTCCAACTCGCTCTCGGGGGGCGAGGGCGTACAGCTGCGCAGGGCTCGGAGCCAGTCTGAGGGGCCGGAGGGACACGCCGCACACGCCGCGAGTCCCCTGTCGCCGAGGGGCGCCTCGGCGGCTGCGTCAGCGGCCGCTATTGCCGCGTCCGCTGCTGCTGCCTCAGCCGTAAGAGCAGGAGCGGTGGGAGAGGGAGTGGCGCAAGAGCCGCACCCGACGGAACAGGAACCGAGAACGCGGCACACGCGCGAACCGAGCGCGCATGGAGATGAAGTGCAGCCGTCTCCCGGGTGGAAACTGAGGCTGCCGTGGAAGAAGATCAGGCTGTAGAGAATAGATGTTGTATGATTATGCGTCGTGTATCTTGCACTGTGGAGTGGGCGAGCGGAGCGAGCGGCAGACTGACGTTTACTGATCCCCTGACTCACTCGGCGGCAAACTTCAGTATCCGCGACTTGGGTGGAGGCGAGGAAGGTGATCTGGGCGGACCAGAGGATCAGCGACGGAAGCGGGCGCAAGAACCAGTGCGTGTCCACTCAACCTCACATGCTTCGCAGTAGCGCAAGTCAACACCATCTCTTTCTCCATACCACTTGGGTAAGCTGTTATTCCTCTCCATAGCTGACGCCCAGCTTCCCAGATGTGAGCTGGCAGATGGGTCCCACGGCCCACGAGCTGATCCCGGCGCCCAGGCTCCCAGACGTGAGCTGGCGAACAGGTGGCATTAAGCTGACCCCAGATCCGGTGGATGGGCAAGGTGTGCCCGGGTGGAGGGAACGGGTAGGGCGGTGGCAGGCGTGAGCTGTTATGTTCCCCGCATGATAGCTGACACACCCAGGTATCGTGAGCTATCGTCTTCGGGTACAAGCTGACCGGCAGCACAAGAAGATGTCGCGCGTAAGCTGTGAGTTGTGCCTGGGTAGCTGACGCCAGACGCCGTCTGTTCAAACACTGGTAAGCTATCGAGCTCTCTCGGGTTGTGGGTAGCTATCGGCCTCCAGTTTTCGAAAGCTTACCGCAGAGTCCTAAATTGTGGTCAGTAGGATGGGTTTGGAGGGAGCTGGCCGAGTAGCCTTGTTTGTCTTTGTGAGCTAGCTGATCCCAGTCGCAAGCTGACCTTTCCAGAGATCGTGAGCCGTACAGCCTATTGCGAGCTGACAGGCAGGAAGGAGATGTGGCGGGTGAGCTGCGATGGTCTTTTGAGTTAGCTAACGCCAGGCGCCATCTATTTAGATACCGGTGGGTTACAGGACTCCCTGGTGAGGGTCTGCTATCAACCTCGTTCGGGTTAGCTGACCTCAGATTTCGGACCCGGCAGGTGTTCTGAGTCTGGAGGGAGCGGGCGGAGTAGCTCTGGTGGTGAGCGAGCTGCTGATCCCATATTTCGCAAGCTAACACATGCAGGAGTCGTGAGCTATACAGCCTTTTCGAGCTGACATGCAGGGAGAGATGTGGCGGGGTGAGCTGCAACTTGTGCCGAAAGCTGACGCCAGCCGCCAACTTACCAGTCATCGGTGGGTTAGGACTCTCTATCGATTGTGGGTAGCTAGCGGCCTTGTCTGACCAGAGCTGACATCCAGCCCGGGTTTGAGCATAAGTGTGAGCTCTCACCTTCGCGACTAGCTGACTCCAGACATCTAACGTGAACTACGCAGAGGACTAGGGAGCTGACATCCCAGTCTCAGTGGTGAGCTAACAAGACTACCGGCTAGCTGACCTTGCCCAGATCTCGTGAGCTGTGTCTCTTCCGTAAGCTGACTGGCAGGAAGGGGAGATGTCGCTGGTTGCGCTACATTGCCTGGCAGGAGAGATGACATCAGATGAGAGTCGGTGAGTCGGTGAGCTTCCCCGATCTCCGTTATAGCTGATAGTCAGTCCTACCTCGATCTCAGCCTCTGGATGAACATCGGGATCATGTTCCATGTGAGCTGCTACCTCAGATCGTAGCTGACTCCAAGCTTTCACGGTGAGCTCCACTAGGGATGAGAAGCCGACACCCCAGTCCCTTAGGGTGCTATGGTTTTTGCCAGCAGCTGACGGGCGCAGATATAGTGAGCTAGGGTTGCTGCACCTGAGCTGATACCCAGAGATGGGGAGAAACAGTGCAAGGTGAGCTGCCGTGGCTGCCGCGAAAGCTGACTTCAGACTCTGTGAACTTCCATTGAGCGCTCGTGAGCTGACAAACCAGCCCTGCGGTGCTGAAGCGCGAGATCCAGTTTGGTGGAGCGGCTATTCTGTGAGCTCGGCACTCACCGCAACGATAGCTAACGATCAGTTCCATGGTTTTTGCCAGCTGACAATGAGTGGCACTGTGCGTGGGTGAGCTGTGGGGCGTTTGCTGAAAGCTGACTTCAGAAACTGAGGTGAGCTTCTCCGACGACTCCAAGCTGACAGGCCAGCTTTATCCGTAAGCTGTGGACTTGTCTTCTAGCTGACATATGCAGAGATAGTGAGCCAGCCATAGGCAGCTGTAGCTGACAGGCAGGAATAGCAGATGCTGCCGAGCGTGCTAAGCGAACTGAGGAGTCTGCGGCCAATCCTCTGCACGCGGTATCGGTGAGCTGTGCGACCAGCAGAGCCGACAGACCAGCTGAGACTCTGGTGAGCTCCAGAGATCTCGGTTAGCTGACCTGCCCAGTTGTACTGTAGGTACGTGAGCTGTAACCATCTTCCCCGTTTAGCTAACTGGCAGAGACGTTCGGTGTTGCGGAGTGAGCTGCCTGATTCACGCCATGGCTGACTTCAGCAGGGGTGAGCTATGCCGCGGCGTTGAAGATGATTCTCCAGCGCGAGCCTAAGGTGCGATGGAGAATCCACAGGAAGATGTTGATCGGCCCAAGTGTAAGCCACGCAGCTCCACCGACCCACGGCTGACAACCTTCGGGTCCTTGATGAAGGGGTGAGCTTTCGGGTGAGCCCTTTGGGGTGAGCTGATTTGAACGCTGGAAGCTGATAAACCAGTTGAGATGGTGCGCTGGCTAGTTGACAGCAGAATGGCTCCACATAAGTTCGTTGTCTCTGTCCAGAACTTAGGTCATTGTTAGACGTTGGTGAGCTGCGAGATCTGTGGGGGAGCTGACGGTTCAGCGCAGACTAGTCTCTGCAAGGACCTGGAGGTTGGCCAACTTCTGGCTCTCGATTTCTCCGACTGAGCTCACTGCCAGTCCTGTCCTTTCAGTGAGCTCAGCAGACATGAACGCGGCAAACAGCGGCCGTCGGCGAAGTGAGCTAGAAGGCCATGGCTGAGGTGAACTTAGCCACAATTAGTTGTGTTTACCCCTCTGAAGCTGACGTCAGGAGCCGAGACGAGTGAGTGAACTGTCGCTCCACGTGTGTCTAGTTGATATCATGCAACTAACGCGTTGCATGTCCATCTGCGCCATGACCAGCAAGCTGATCGAAAAAGAGTCCAAGCTAACGACAGGACCGCGTGAATGTGAGCTGCAAAGAGGATCTCTGAGTTGACCGACCGACTGGTACGAGTAACATATACGGTAGACACTGTCCGCTATGCCGCCTAGGCTGGCCTTAGATCCCGCACGCATCAGTGGAAGCGTCCTTCGTTAAGAGAAACTGTTTTCGGCTCCTCGCAAAGTCAACCGCCCCAACCCAGTCAGCTGACCGGGACCTCCGGGCCGATCGAGCAGTGTGGTGAACAGCTGAGATTACATGTCCTTGAGCTGACAGTAATCAGGCAGATCCAGTGTGGGGACTATTGGGCTGGTGTTTGATAGCAGATGTCCGACAGGGGCGCAGGGTAGGCTATGATAGCATTTCAAGCTGACACTCAGATGATCGGAGCCGCATTCTTTCGGCCGACTTCGGCGTTACATGAGATCGCTGCAACCCTAATCTGTCGGCCACGCCGAAGACTGTGAGCTGTGAGCTGTGAGCATCGAATCGAAAGCTGATGTCAGATCACAACGCGCGGGAGATATCAGTAAGCTGCCCGAAGGAAGACGATGAAAGCTGACCGCAGGGCCCAGTGAACCGCTGAGGGTCTCGCTTTGACGGGCTATAGCTGTCTCGTAATTCGAATCGCATCCACGCGCAGCCCCTTGGCTCTTTCACCAATATGGCTGTGAACCTTGACGGAGGCGACGGCGCGGCCCTGGGTCGTAAGTGGAGCACACTGCCCCATAAGCTGTTGACGTTCGACCTGCAAGCTGACATCAGACGGCTGAGAGAATTATGCTTTGTGCTGCGCAGTGTCTGCAGGTCCCCAGGCGTGAATGATGGACGTCGTGCGCCAAGTCAGTGTTGCCATAGTATTTACCGACTCATGTACTTCAGATTGTCATACTGCTACAACTGTTAGTCCTTCACCCTCGCACTAGCCGATCAGATTGCCCAGACCGCGCTCATACGCGCCCAGAATTGCGGCGCACGCCTCGTCCACGATGCGCGTAACTTCGTCCTGCCCCTCGCCGGGCTCGAGAAGGGTGATGCTCTTGTCCTTCAGGGGTCCGTCGGGGGAGGGGTCGAACACGGTCTCGTGCGCCTTGATGTACGCCGGCCAGACGGACGTTGTCAAAGTACTCCGGCGGGTCGACCCAGGTTGCGCCCGTCTCGGCGTCCTTAGCATCTGATGTTAGCTCGGCAACGACACATGGGAAGCTGAGAAGCCCGTAGAGTACGATCACTCAGGCACTCCGAAGCCAAACACTCACTTTGGAGGACGTACTGCCTTCCTTCTCTGCGCTTCTTGAGCGTCTCGCGGGGCACGCGCAGGAGCAGCTTGACGTCGAGGTTGTCCTGCACCTCGGTGTCGTAGTACAGCATGAACCCATCAACGAGGACATAGGTCAAGCGCTCTCCTTTCTGTGCGGCATGCTTCTGGATTTTGGCAAACTCCCTGCGCAAGCGAATCGTCGCGTCCTCGTCAACGCCGACCTCCACCGCATCGTTCAAATGCTGGTATGACTTGTAGCCATCCTCGAAGCGGCCATTACTGCGAACGTGACGGAGAACGGAGCGCATGCGCGCCCAGTCGATTGCGGTCGGCGGGTCGTCCCAGTCCTGCACCTTGTGCACTGGGTGAATCGGGATGTCCTCTTGCGCGGGGGCAAAGTCGTCCTGGTGGACCGCGAAGGAAGGGGCGAGACGGTGCAGATGCGTCGTCAGGAGTGACTTGCCCGAGCAACTCGGGCCGCTGGGCGTCAGCTGGGAGTAACTGGACAGCTTACCCTACGCCGACCATGATGACTCTGTTTTTCATTTTGAGTGGATTGGAAGGGAGTCGTTTGGTGTGCGGATGAGAGATCGTGTGCTCGCCTTCCTTCGCGTTCCCTCGCTCTTCGTTATCTCGGCTGTCGGTCGCCAACGTCATTCAGTGGTGGGCCCCTTCTTGCCCCGGACTGTCTCGGGTGATCGGGCGGAGTTATAAAGGATGTCCGCTAGACCACGTGCCAGCACTCACATGATGTCTTGAAACTCTGTTCAATGCGCTGCGCGCACTTTTCTTGACTCGGCAGCCTCGATCAGGCGTGCACAAACACCTTTCAAAACCTCATCCTCGAGTCAATCGTCGCGGCGAACAAAACGACCCTCAGGGCCACCGTCTCGACCATTCCACGTCTGTCTCCCCTCCGACAGTTAATCGGCTGCATCCCCCGCGCCACCACTCCGCTCGTCGCTACCACCCCCCGACTGGCGATCCCCCGACCTTCCCTTATCACTCCTTCCTTCCACCCCATCGCCCGCTCCCTCGCCACTGCGATTTCCCTCACCATGGCGACCATTCCCGAGAAGCACCAGCTCCCTGAGCTCCCCGTCTTCCCCGGCTCGGACTACGAGCGCGAGCCGATTCAGCGCTTCCGTGCTGCTGCCGCCGTCCAGATCGGCGAGGCCTGGGGAGAGGACCCGGCCAAGCTGTTCGCCGGCGTCGACACCGGCAAGCGTGGATACGACCTCGCCCTCGCCATTCCCCGGTTTAAGAAGGGCAAGCCCGACGAGTGGGGCAAGAAGGTCGTCGAGGCCTTCAAGCCCGGACCTTACCTCGCCTCGGTGCAGCACGAGGGCGCGTTCCTGACGTTTGAGATGAACAAGCAGAACTTTGCTTTCGCCATGCTGAACACGATCAACGAGATGGGCAAGCGCGCGGACGCGCACCCCGAGTCCAAGACGGAGGCGTACGGTACCTCGACGGCTGAGAAGGGCAAGAAGTTCGTTTGCGACTTCTCCTCGCCCAACATCGCCAAGCCGTTCCACGCCGGCCACCTGCGTTCGACTATTATCGGCGCCGTCATCTGTAACCTCCACGAGGCCATGGGATGGGACGTTGTCCGTCTCAACTACCTTGGTGACTGGGGAACGCAGTACGGTCTCCTGTCGATCGGTTTCGACCGCTACGGAGATGAGGAGAAGCTCGCCGCCGACCCAATCCGCCACCTGTTCGAGGTCTACGTCAAGGTCAACCAGGACAACGACGCCGACAAGGCCAAGTTCAACGCTGGCGAGATCACGGACCCCGAGTCGACGACGCACGCGCAGGCCAAGAAGGTGTTCAAGGCCATGGAGGACGGTGACCCCAAGGCTCTGGCTCAGTGGAGCCGCTTCCGTGACCTCTCGATCAAGAAGCTCAAGGAGACCTACAAGGACCTGAACGTCGAGTTTGACAACTTCTGGGGAGAGTCCAAGGTTAAGCCCGAGAGCATGCAGCGCGCGATCGACATCTGTCAGGAGAAGGGCCTCACGTGCGAGGACCGGGGGGCGCTCCTTGTCGACCTGAAGAAGTGGAAGATGGACCGCGCCATCATCCGCAAGGCGGACGGCACGACGATCTACCTCACCCGTGATCTTGGTGGTGCCCACGACAAGTACGAGATGTACAACTTCGACAAGCACACCATTGTCACTGCTGCCGCTCAGCAGCTCCACTTCAAGCAGATGAACAAGACGCTCGAGCTCATGGGCGAGCCGACGGCGGGCAAGATCAACCACGTTTCGTTCGGTACCGTTCACGGCATGTCGACCCGTAAGGGTACCGTCGTCTTCCTCGACGACATCCTGACTGAGGCCAAGGAGGTCATGCACCAGACGATGCGCTCCAACGAGGCCAAGTACGCGCAGATCGAGGACCCGGAGGAGACCGCCCGCATCATCGGCTCCACCGCCGTCAAGATCCAGGATCTGACTGGCAAGCGTATCAACGACTACACCTTCGACATCAAGCGCTGCACGTCGTTTGAGGGCGACTTCGGACCCTTCATCCAGTACTCGCACGTGCGTCTGTGCTCCGTCGAGCGCAAGAACCCCAACGTCGCTGTTCGCGAGTTTGCCTCGGACATCGACGTCTCCGTCCTTGACCAGCCCAAGATCCACGAGATTCTCTACAACCTCGCCCTCTACCCCGACGTCGTCAAGAGCGCGTACAAGTTCGACGAGCCCTCCACCATTGTCACCTGGTGCTTCAAGATCTCCCATCTTGTCGGCTCCGCTTGGGAGAACGTCAAGGTCTCCGGTGCTGAGCAGAAGGAGGCCGAGGCCCGTCTCTTCCTCTACACCCAGATCCGCCGCGTCCTCAACCACGCCATGCGCCTTCTCTCCCTCACCCCGATCGAGCGTATGTAACGTGCTCTTGGGAATATCATATGCATTAGATAGTGAATCACTAAGACCGGAGGGCGAAGAATGAGTGAGCAGCAGCAACGGAACACTAACGGCACGTCGGAACTAACATTCCGTGTCGGCATGTTTGGTCGGCGTTGACCGAGATCGGCGTCCACCTGCCCAACCTCCACTTGACCCGCCCACAAAGTCTGTGCTTGTTGTTGTTCACTCACCACCAACTGCCGACAATGCGGATTCTCAGCACGGCAGACGTCGAGACGATCCTTCCCACGCTCTCCCCCTCGGACCTGCTTGCCACTCAAGCTCACGTCTTCAAGCTCTTCTCCGCTCCTCCCTCTTCCGATGCCAACTCAACCTCGACACTGCCAGTCCACGCCAAGGGACAGATCGACCCCGTCCAGCTACCTCCGCGCATGGCGACTTTCTCTCCGGAAGGAAGAACGCTGTACATGCCCTCCTACGTGGACGGTCTGGGCAGTGGCGTGAAAGTCCTCACACGGACAGCAGGGGGAATGAAGACGAACATGATGCTCATCGCGCCTGAGGGAGGCGTCGAGGCCGTCGTGGAGTCTAAGGCTCTAACAGCAGTGCGGAATGCCGCTGGTATGTCCGATGGGTAGGAATATGGAGGGCTGACAACAGGCAGCGCACTCTTCTTGCAAGCTATCGGAGCGAAACCGCGGAAGGCAGTAATCTTCGGGGCGGGTGACCAGGCTCGGGCTCATTTGAAACTGCTCAAGCAGCTCTGGCCGGAGCTGGAACGGACTGTGGTGGTCCGCCGAGATCCGGCGATGCCGATACCGACTGACCTTGCTGAGAGGGTGCTCCTCAACTCGGACGCGGGAGTAGCGCAGGCGCTGAAGGAGGCAGACGCTGTCGTAACGGCTACCCCGGCGACGGAACCGCTGTTCCCCGAGAACGCACTGAGACCTGGGACGGCTGTCGTGCTGCTCGGCTCGAGTCGGCCGGACATGTGCGAGGTGCCGCCCTTGCTTCTCCGGACTGCCAGGGTTGTGGTGGACTCGAAAGAGGCATGCCTGAGGGAAGCAGGGGAGGTTATCCAGGCTGGTCTCACGGGTGATGACTTGACTGAGCTCGGGACGTTGCTGGCATCCGATGGCGGGAGGGGGAGCGAGGAGGGAGAAATCACTGTGTTCAAGTCCGTCGGACTTGGAATGCAAGATTTGGCTATCAACCGACTCGTCCTCCAGAGAGCGGAGGAGATGGACGTTGGAACAGTTGTATAGCAGCCCGAGCAAGGGAGATGGAACGGACCGCAGCGCCGGATTCGCACTAGATACCGAGCCCCGATCAGCGTTACAACTGGGATGGACGATCGAGATTTCAGCGCTGCATGCCGAGACACAGCACCAGGCTGTTAGCGTGACTGATCGCGGGCTCCGAGGATACACGTTGCAATCGGGGTATGGGTCACGAAAGGTTGTCTCAAGATGGCTAGAGCGTGGTATGAGAGAACGATGCCGAACGCAAGCCGCGGAACGTCTGCCGATACCTAGTGCCTTTCTTCACTGCAAACGCCGATCCGCTGAAGATTTTGGGAACCCGCGACGAGCCGAATTGATGCCGGCGGAGGTGTGCGCAGCGTCCACAGCCCGATCGCGAGCCTATGACACGAAGGCGATTGGCATCGCCGGCGCGAGCGTGCAGAGCTCGGAGAGGGCATAGGCTGCTCAGACCAGCTCTCTAGGATCGAGCGGAATCGACGTGCGATCTATTATGTTAAGACACACCCTGCCGATGCAATTAGAGTTCTCAGTCTGACCTGTGGAGCCATGCTCGAGCTGGAACAGTAACCCCCACATCCGCCCCATTGACGGAGTTCCGTGATCCGCTTGGAGGTGTCCCGTGGGCGCCTGGACCACACTCCACCGGCATGGGTCTGAGATCCATGCCCTCTCGTGACGGCGCAAGGATGCACTTCTGGTCGGCCCATTGGCAGAGGTTCACCAGATCATCCTGCCATGCCGAGAGTGTCTGGGACCCCAGCAAATGTTGCACTATCGAGGACCGCGGATGTTAGGGATAAATAAGAGACGGCATTTCGGAAGACAAGGTCCATCCTTATCGCAGGCGGTCTTGTGACCAGATCTCCTGTCTCCCCTGTTCGGCGAGGCACCTCGCTGTCCCTGCTCTGCCGTCAGTTTACCCTAGAAGGTGCATGAGTTCTTCAAATAGGAACGGAATGTTGAGCTGAGCTGGGCCTACGGGAGTGGCAGCCCTAACTCCCCGCCGGATATCCGCGAGCGTGGATTGCAGGAGATCAGACTTTTGAGTTTCGTAAATGAGAATGTGAAGAAGCAAGGAGAGAATGTGGGCCTTGGCGAACGTTCCGCGCTGTCACTACTGGACGTCCGGGTTGCAGCTGTCCGCGGGTAATAAGAGCCAGTGACGTGGGGAGATCGTAGTGGGACCATCGCTGTACCTCCATGCCCACATCATGGCCAACTCCGAACTAAGCGCAACGTCAAGAGGGTGTACGCAGCCCCTCTATCTTATAAGCACCTCGTAAGACTATGAAGAAGCGCATTCCTCCTCTCAACCGATAACGGCGAAGATGGTGGCCTTGCTCTCTATCGCGACGCTGCTCCTTCCCCTGGCCGCGGTTTCGGCGACTCCCGTGCCCGGCGGCGCGGATCACGCGGCCTCCACTGCATCCTCATCCGGACCCAAAGTCACTCCTGGCTATGACGCCTTCGCCAAAGCACACAAGAAGGTTACTGCGACTCTGAATGCCGACAGCAGGAACATCAAGGTCCATGGAGTGACGGCTTCCGGTGTCGACGCCTACCTTGGCATCCCCTTCGCTGCCCCGCGTACGTCCCATGCCGGACCTTCACTAACTTCAGCCGTCAATGAGCTTCGATGGAAGCGTCCTCAGCCGTACAAGTACCGCGGCACGATCAATGCGAAGAAGCAGCCCGTCGGATGCCCCCAGCTGCCCGGTGACCCTGCTTTCGGCGGCCTCGCAGCAGCTCGCTACGGCACGTCCGAGGACTGCCTGACGCTGAGCGTACTCGTTCCGGAGGGCACGAAGCCTGGCGCCAAGCTCCCCGTTATGGTGTACGTCTACGGAGGTGGCTTCGCCGAGGGCACGGGCGCTACGTTCAACTCGCCCCTGCTCGTGGACGCGGGCACCAAGGCCGTGAGTTGCATTCCAGGAACGACCACTGATAAGATAAGGGCCAGCCGGTCATCCTCGTCAACTTCAACTACCGCCTTGGCATGCTTGGTTTCCCGTACGGGCGAGACGCGGAGGCGAACAACGCAGCCAACCTTGGTTTGCACGACATGATCGCTGCCTTCAAGTGGGTTAAGGAGCACATCGGTTCCTTTGGAGGAGACCCCGAGCGTGTGACTGCGTTCGGAGACAGCGCCGGCGCCGTGGCCATCAGCCACCTCATGCTCGACGAAGACCAGGACCTCTTCTCTGCCGCGGTTCTCATGTCCGGCGCTCCGACTACGCTTGGCGTTCCGCCCACCAATTCCAATGATGAGGGTTACGACAAGATTCTCGCCGCCGCTGGTTGCAAGGATTGGGACTGCCTCCGCAAGGTACCTGCAGACAAGCTGCTGAACCTCTCAGCGCCAACCGGCGGCTTTGGGCCGACGCAGGACGGAGAGCTCATCAAGGGATTCCCCTACGAGCTTGTTCGTGACGGCAAGTTTTCCCAGATCCCCTTCATGACCGGCAACGAACGCGACGAGGCGACGCTCTTCCTCCCCTTCGGTACCACTATGACCGACCTCCGCAGCGCACTCACGGGGACACCCCTCTCGGACGACATCTGGGACAGGATCACCTCTGCCTATCCCGCCGATGGCACGTACTACCCGCAAGGCATCGAGAACGCGACCCTGCCAAGCGGACAGCCTGTCAACGTTTCAGCTGACTGGACCCGCGCGGTGACCATCATGGAGGACAAGATGTTCCAGTCGGGCCGCCGGTGGCTTATCGAGCACGCCAAGAACAAGGACACGACGTACACCTACGAATCGCTTGCGCGGTACCAGCAGTTCTTCTCGCCCGTCTATGGAGCCGGACACGGCATGGATCTCTTCTTCTTGTTCGGGTGGGTTGGCGCCGACCCGAGCAGCAGCGAGGAGGATGTGGAGCTCGGTAAACAGTACATGAACTACTGGTGAGTGACTTGGTGCCATTCTAGTGTTGGCCGAAGCTAACCGACAGGATCAACTTCGTATACCACCGCAGTCCGAACCGCCCGGACTCCGAAGGACCGCAGCTCCCGCACTGGGCACCGTATAGCCAGGAAAAGGCGAGCCAGCTCCTCGCGCCTGGCAACACAACTCAGATCACGGACACCTTCCGCCCGCAGATGAGCCTTTTCACTGAGCCCGATGTGGCTAAGGTCATGGGCTTCTACTAAGCGCGAACCCTCCGGCTCATCGCTACTCCGCACGCCATAATGCATGAGGCAGTCATACCGGGATTCTACCGCTCGGGTGCACAACGTTTTGAACGGCCGTCCTCAACAGTCCAGCCCAACTTTCCAGAACGGCTAGAACTGGTGCGCTCAAAGCAGTATGTGAGCATACGCAGTGATTTTAGCGGGCGGGAAGAGCTCCGCCCTCGTCTCTCATCTCCAGTAACCGATCGTACATCTACTAGATCTGGCGCAAACGTTCCCGCTATCGCTGGCGTTCGATTACGGAATACCACGATCACTGACTAGACAATGACTGACGTAGGGGGCGTCGCTGGCGCCGCCGACTCCGCCATGGTACGCCACAGCGTCAATCATATCCTTAGAATCCCCTCTGATAACAAGAGCGGCACTGACCGCTCAAGTAATGGTAGCGTGGACGTTAGGAGTCAAATGGGTCGCAACACCAGGATTGAGTGCCGGAGCCTTCGAAGCCGCTTGCCGTTAGTGTGAGAGTCGTGTGAACACGAGTGCAGACGGCCCGTGCGCGATCAATCAGGAGGATGATGTTGCTTATCCCCCGAGGTGCGTCCTATCACACTCAAGGTCATCCTCGTGGGAGACCCCGATCGAGTAGTTTCCGACCGCTCACCATACTAAGCAGCTGAATCGAAGATACACGTGGTGTCCGCTGTGCGCAGCACTCATCACACCTACTGATCAATCAATCCGATACTCGACCTGCTTTATGCCGTTAACGTATTCATACTCGACGTGATCTGACAGAGCTGGTGATATCTTTATGCCTCTTGGGCGTTGCTGATCTGGGCAGGCGTTACACCCCAGTGGCCCTTTCTTTGTGTTGCGACTCCGGAGGTCACCTCGCGTCGCACCGCAGAGTGCTGGTACCTCACAACGCGTCCCCTAGACGTACCTCGCACTTGTGTGCGGTGCCTTCAGTTTTTTCCCATGTTACTTCGCGCACACCTACCACGACAGGAGTGTGTGACGGGTACTCGGCGCAGGCCCGAACTTGGGATTTCGGACCTAACAATGCGGGGCTGTGCTCTTTGCTTTTCTCTGACAGGTGCGTGGATGAAAGGAGAGGTACAATTGTGATCACTTCAGACAACGATTCACTGCGGGGTTAGCTGAAGCCGACAGCGGCCCCGCGTACTCGGTGCATGTACAGTATGCCCAAGGGACGAACGGAGTGTGCAGTAGCGAAGGCGCAGCGTCGGGCCGCTGAGGGAAAGCAGCCGCCTACGACTGGACACCGCTGTGATCCACGCGACGAGCAGCGCGTTCAGTCTCCACTTGACACTGGCGCCATTCCATCTCGGAAGCTTTATTACATGGAGCAACCTGCCGGAGCATTCCCAGCTTGAATGCAGGCTCCAATATCCGACATGCTTTTGTCGCTCTGTCAGTTACATCTGCGCCGGTTGGCGAGCTGACCGAGAAGGAGAATGTGTCCGCCGGTGTCATGGACAGTCGGACGTGTCGAATAGTAACGAGCCCTGTTCCAGCTGCATTTGCATTTGTGCCTTGCACCTGCATTTTACCTGCCGTGATGGCTCGGTATCGTTCTCGTAATCGCTCTGAACATCAATACGATCAGACGAGTGGGACTGGCATATCGCGTCGGTTGGTGGACTCAGTCCAGACACACCCACCACATGATGAGGTAGATCGTAAGGGCGCAGCATGAAGCATAAACAATGGCAAGCAGAGCGATGCCGGCAGACAGATTGTGCAAGATGTCTCGGACACCTGGGACTGACCAGACTATGCCATGAATGGGAGGGCTCACAAGTAGGTCCTGGCTACCGCATTGCAGGGTGGGTTGCACAGGGACCATCACGGTCCGCAGAAGCTGATATTCTCCTTCAGCATGTCCACCCTGCACTCCTCACCCTGCGTAAGTGTGCTTTGGCTCGGAGACTGCATTGCAGTGATCGTCCCGCGGAGTTCAACGGGCATTACAGGCCGCGCTATGTGAAGTAGAGGTTGCAATGAGTTCCAGAGAACGCCGATTCCGAGCGCGGTTCCAGCGCTTGACATCCATGGTACATGGCAAATACGATGGCCTCAATAGCCTGACCTTCCATGACCGACTCGATTGAGAGACAGCGCATGACCTCTACTAGATCAGACGACATCCGCATCCGCAGACACCCGCGTGCCTCTGAGCGGACCGCATCTCGGAGCGCAGGACGATGAGGTACATTGGATCGCATTCCGGTGCAGGCGTACACGACTGGTCGCCCGAACCCACACTACGCCCGGAGGTTACAGCTGTAACAGCAGCGCGCGCCGTGCATGCGTGATTGAATTTGAATGGACGCCACGTCCGAAAAGTGTATTCAGCCCGCGACCGGACCGGCTCGGACAACAACACCAATGCGTGCCTGGCAAGCCATTGAGTCCCGGAGTCCTGGTCCATTCTGTCGCTGTGGATGGACGACCATGGGATGGCTGCTGGAGCTGATGCAATTCAGCACTCTAGAACCTCACCGAGCACCCTCCTTTGGCTTCTCGGTCGTTTGCTTGCGCGCCGCTAGGACTCTTGGGTCAACTGGGAGCAGGGGACTAGGTGGCTGTTCAAGGTCAAGGCCTCGCGACTTGGAACGTGACTCGCGGGCTCGGGCTACATGGGTCTCGCAAGCGCGACTGCGACCCACCATTCATACGGTTCCGGCATCTCCGTTGACGGCGGTGGGGAGGCGGCAGCGAGCGCCAGACCGCCCTGACGGGTCGGGCATCGGGCGTCACCTCATGCCTCTCTCTGGCCCGAAGGTGGCTTGCTAGTCCGGGACCTACGGGTCGTCTCGAGGCATGAACGCGAAGACGGGTACTACCGCAAAGCGTTAGTTGACCGACGACACTATTGGGCTCACACCCCATCATTCACATGTTGCCCAAGCGCTCTGGTGGCTCTATGGCAGTTTTAAGGTTGCGCCGCACGTCCTGGCAGCCCACATGGAGGGCGATTGTTGTTATGCAGTCCTGTGCCTACTTGATTTACTTGATTGGGAAGGGTGCAGCGCTGACGAGATCGTAGAGGATTCAAAATTGCGCGGAAGCTTGTACGTTAAGCGAGCATGTGTAACCCGCGATCAACGACCACGGTGAAGCTTGACACTACATCCCAACACCTGCGCGAGTCAGCATGCAGACCTTCGGGCGTAACTTCGTGTAATCACGGTTACTGATAACCGGACCGCCTGCTTGTAAACAACGAATATCGTCATCCTCAGCATCGAGTTCGCCACGGGTCACCTCTACGCTGCACGTCTTCCACAGCCTTCTCTGTCGTCACAGTCGTCATGATCATGCTGATGCACGAAACGTTGTCCAAGTAGCCTATCACGCTCTTGCGCGTCAACGCTATCCTTGTCTGCGTCTGGCCAAGATGTTCGGTGAGCATGACGTCATGCGCGAAGTGGTCCAACGGCGGCGTTGAAAAGTGACTGCTCCTCATGTCGACACAAAGAGCGATCATCTTCGATCTCTTGAAAGTAACTTCACAACAAGTACAACGAGAACCATGTCCGCCCACAGCAACGCCAACGACGTCAGCAACAAGAGCTCGAACGCCGCCAACTCGCTCGCTGACGGCGTCAGCGGAGCCTGGAACGAGATCAAGGGTGAGTGACCAAGGTGGCTGGTGGCGCAAGCCCTTATTAGCCGTGAACGGCGAGATCGGCGCCTTTGATGGTCTTGGCGGTGCAGGTTCCACGACAAGAAGACGATGAGATGCTTCGTCTGTGCGCATGCGCTGGGTATCAGCGGTCGTTGTTTGTATCCGGCTCGATTCGAGGTCACTTGGCTCTTGGACCAGGGCGATCTGCGATTAGACCAGGTCCAGTTGTATGTCGCGTGGATGCCAGCATCCTCCGAGGGTTCCATGACGAGTCCGAAAGCCCGAACGGCTTTCGGCGTCGCAGCCGACAGACCCATGCCGCAAACCAAAGTCCACCCGTCCTCCCACGGCAATCTTTTCGATGCTGACACTACAGGCGCTGGCGACGAGGCTCGTGGCTCTTTCAACCAGTTCGCCGACTCGCTCGGCGATAAGATTGCCGGCCGTGACCACCCCCTTCCCTCCGGCAACGACAACACGGGCACGATTGAACAGGGCGAGAAGGAGCGCGAGCAGGGTCGCAACCAGTGGAACCGCGCCAGCGCTGAGCACCAGGCCAACAAGTCCTCGTCGACTGCTACTGGCACTGCTCCCTCCGCCACCACTGGCCAGTACTAAACGTTCCACCTGGATTTCGGCCACTTTGCTCGTCTGAGCGCCTGGTATTGATTGCATACTCGGTGATATGAGGCTCAGACGTGGCGTTAGTTAGTGACCTCGGTGATCTTCTTCGTTCATAGTTTGGCTGCTGTACCGCAGCAGCGATAGTGTTCTTATGGATCCTGTAGTCCCCTGATAGTTCTTCGTTATTTGGTTGCCCATGGAGAATGAAAGAGGCCCCTGCGTGACTGCAGGGAAGCGAGCAAGAGAAGCATCTTGCGTCATGGTCCCTTGCACTCGCTTCGGACAGGTTCGAGCAGAGGTCCGGATCAGTCGCCAGTGCAGGGACTTACTCAGAACACAAACAACCCCGCAGTTGGGACCAGTAAGCTCCTAGAGCGCCGAGAAGTGGACGCGCGCGTGGACGTACATGCTGACCAGGATCCAAACATGCATGGCAGAAGAAGTCGAAACTCACCCCCTGCGCGGCCCCTTCGGCCAGTCGTGAGGAGAACCCTATCCCCGCACTCGTGCCAAAACGTCGGAACCTTATCTCGCGACTGCCTTGTTTGGTCCTGCACAGCTACACCCGCATCTTCCGGCGTGGAGACCCCGTTTGGACCCCGTTCCGAGGACCGCGGCCGCTCACGCACCGCGCACCATGGATGCGGTCGCTTGCGCGCCATCAATCGGTGCCGCACAACGCCACACCACGAGAGAGCGACAACCGCGCACAGATGGTCCGCTCGCGCGTTGTCCCAATTCGGCCGTGAAGACTGGAGGCATTCCGGCAGCGCGCGGCGCCGCGGAGGCACTAGCCGCTGGAATCAGCTAGTGTGTGCTGGTCCATGGCCCAGCGATGTCAGGCAGGTAGTGTCTCGCAAAAAGTAGCGTGATCGGGGCAGTTTTTCCCATGCCTTGGATTCACGGGTCGCCTTTAGGCACTGTCACTCCTCGAGGCACTGTTCGCAAGGAGATATGGTGGGTGCTAGATGGATACATGTTACATTGAGTGTTGCTATGACTGCTGAATACAACGAGGTCTACGAATGTGGGTCTGAAACGGCCAGCCGTCAGGAAGCCTGAGGTTTTGTAGGGTGTCAGGAATAAGCTTAGACATATCGCCATCCGGGGCGCGATGAGCGCGATGACATGCGCTTGCTGTCCTCGAGCGAGACGTTGGGCATCGAGTAGAGCGACCCCGCCATAGGGACGACGGGCACATGCAGCGGCTCGTCCATATACGGCGTGGAGAGATTTGGCGTGCGGCTCGAGGTCGAGTTCCAGCTGTTCGAGAGCGACGGCACCTCGAAGGCGTCCTCTTCGGCATCAGTGCACGAGTCGCTCAGAGACTGCAGATATGTGTGGTCCCCAAACAGGACTGCGTTGCGGTGTTCCCTTGGCGCCTGGGCGCGAGGCGCACGCGGCGTCGGAATAGTGTACGCGATTTGCGGCGTCACAGGCGTTGTTGGCGTGACGGGGGCCGAGGCCATCGATTCGTCGTCATCCTCGGCGTCGGCGAACATTTCGTCATGACTGAACTCGTCGTACTCGCCGCACGAGGTCAAGAGCTCGCGCAGCGCAGACACGAGGTTGACGCCGTTCGGTGCCATGATGCCGAGCCCGATAGGAACTTCGGGTTCGGGCTGCTTGGCGAACTTCGGCGCGCCGGGGAGCGGTGACCTAATCGGAAGGGCGGGGAGGAGAGGGGCTTTGACGCCCGCGGGCTCGGAAGCACTGACGCGGGGGAGACGAGAAGATGATCGCGGGTACGGGGCCAGGTCGAGGGGCGGAGGGCGCTTGCGTCCGACTGCTCCTGATGGGAGCGGCGGCACCGGCGGCTCATCGCAGATGGCGCTCCAGAACTCGAATGGGTCCTCAGTCTCCGACCTAGGAGTGTGGATAGGGGCCGAAGAGTCAGAGGCGGACGAGCGGGTCGAGAGCCATGAGGGACAGCGCGAGGACGAGCGCTCAGCCGCCTCAATCTCCTCTGCCTCACTGACCGTAAAGAGGCCATACTCGTGAGGGTTGCAGAGGCGCATGTGTCGAGCGCGACTCCGGCGGAGGGGCCCGCCCATCTGTCGGGGCGACTGGCACTGCGGGGCAGCGGGGAGGAGGGGGATGGAGGGGCCGGCGACGGGCTGTGTCTTGCGCGTGGAGAGCACCGTGCGCGAGGTCCAGACCGAGCGCGCGGAGGGGGAAGGAGAGGCAGAAGGAGAAGGGGTGGTCGACATGACGAAGCGTGATGACGGGCACGGGTGGTGGCGATGAAAGAAGGAACAGTGGTAAGGAAAGAATCTGAGGTTGGGCTCTACGCTACAGCAAGAAGAGGGTCAAGCAGAGATAGAGAGAGATATGGAGGTGATGTTTGGGATAGCCTCGAAGGGGGAGACAGGGGTTGTAGGGAAAAGAGGGGTACTATCGAGCGTTCTTTATAACGATATCGACGATAGGCAGTGCGTGCGCAAGTCTACGGTATCCTGAGCGTTAGCGATGGCGAGGACGTGCATGCTGGGCTGCAGTGCCTGAGGACATGAGGTACGGAGCTCGCGCTTGGTTACTTTTTCTGTGAGAGCGTGCGAGCGCTTGATAGCGCGATAGCAAGGCAGCCGCGCAGGAGTGCACGACAGCAGCAGCGGCATGTCTGAGCCAGGCCAAGTCGGGCTAGACGCAAATGAAGTCTCATCCAAAGGGCCACTGACCCGACCCGACCCTCAGGATGGATCCTGACCCAGGAGGACGCAGGGATCCCCCAGATTGCCCAGACGCCAGGCTCGGCGGACTATCCTGGAAGCGCCAGGATAATGAAATGATAAAATGAACGTGACTGACCTTTAGGGATCCGGTGTGGCGTGGGGCGGGATTTTGGGTGATCTCGCGATCCTCGAGGCGTTACACGAAAAGTCGCTCGGAGGAAAAGCTCAGGCACCGAGCTGCTGCCTGTTGCCTGTTAGCACGCCGTGCACTTCCTGTACCTGGCTACATGCATGGCATCTCTTCGTCTGTCACACTTTCTCGTACTGGTTCCGGATAGTCTGCTTTCTGAAATTCACCCAGCGATTCAGGGCGTCCCGGTTCATGTTCGCGTTCAACGCACGGGACACTCGCTGTGTTTGTGCAAGGGAACCAATAAGCCAACACGCACGCTGGTCGAACAGGATGCAACACGGGGATATGTCCGCAAGCGGCAACTGTGCAGCGCTGAGAGCGCGCGATTACTCACTCGGTGTGTCACTACCACAATCGTGGAACCAGAGCAGACGCTTTCCGCTGTGTGCGCGTGCCGGAATCCGCGATCCAGGGCGGGAAACCACTGAGAGCAAGTGGGAAACGGGGTGCCAGTCAGGAGAGGTGGCGTCGGAGGCGCTCAATGTCTGAGCGCACGTACTGGATAAGGCGCCGCGTGTTTGATTGTCGGAGGCTGATCGGGCCGTCCGGTGGCTTCGTCGGGACGCCGTAATACTCAAATGCGCCCAACAATCTCGACTACGCGCCGATGATCAAACGGGAATGCGGATGAAAGAATCGTAGCGATGATGCAGGTGGCTGCGGCTGTTCGTCGAGCGACCGCGGTCTTGTAGCGATGTGAATAATAGTGACGAGAGCGATTCAACGGAACGGCTCTCTTTCTGTCCTTGGTGGTCGATATTTGCTGAATACCGGTTTACGTTGAAGTATTGTATTTGTAGTGCACTGGTTTGGCATTCAACAGTCGAAAGTGGAATGCGAGGGTCTTGGTGGATTGACGTAGGGAATAATTGGAGGGGATGAATGCTTGACAGGAATGGATGATTGAAAGAGCGCTCGCTGCATTTATGATGATGCGCAGCTGACGCTGGGCCGCGGACCAGCCTCATTTAATGGATGCAAGGACGTGCAGCCAGCGTGCATGTGCTCCGATGCGACGAAGCGATGCACGGATGCGATGCTGCGGGCTGGGCCGTTGGTTCCCGGGATCTCTAAGCTCGAGGTATCCAGCGAAGCAGAACCAAGAAGCACGGCAGAACAACCTTGAAGCATTCTTGGTCGTACGTACGCGCACGCGGTTTGCTCACCATGGGTGGGCTGTGGTCCCAGAAAAAGCGGGCAGCCCGCACTTACGCTGATAACGGCATAAACGCGTGCGTACCTTTGCAGGACTCGCATGCGCAGATTCGGCGCCCCAGTATTGACAGATAGAGTCGGAGCGTTTCAGCTTCTGCAGCTGAACTTTATGCATGAGGGTGCTATGTCTTGGGCCTGGGAACCTCTACGTGGTGCGTGACCTTCTGCAGCTACAGCGAAGAAGGACTATTGGTCAAACATGGAGAATAAGACGTTGCAAGAGGGGTAGGAAGCTGAACAGGAATCCTTCGATACAGCCGCGTGCAGAGCACCGTGGTCGAAGGTGTACGTAATGCTTCCCGTCCAACTGCATTTAGTTCTGCTGTGAGCTTGATTTCCAGGACACACGCGCACCGGCATCGCGTGTTCGTACCTGTCCAACTTTAATTTGCCGTGGTTGATGGTGAGGTCGTGCAGAGATCCTGTACATGTAACGGGAGGGGTGAAGTCAAGGAATCTCGATGTGGTGTACCTTTGACACAGCAGGGACTGGTCTGTGAATGCAGACGACTGAATCGCTGACCGACCTGTTGTGAGCAATGGCTTGATGGGATAGTCGGTTTGATGGTGAATGGCAGGGGGACCAGGAGCAAGGAGAGAATTGTCAAGAGTGATGGGGTGCTCTGGACTTTGAGCTGCGCCCACTTTTACAATTACTGTGAGACCTTGAATGCGATTGTCAGAGCGCACCTGAGACGAAGACGATTGAGTGCTGCCCGACGGACCAGAAGTTGAGTTGTCGTCAGCGATCAGCCACTCGTAGATCCCGCCACATGGCAGTTTGCTCCCGTGTCCCTCCTCGGACCTCCACCACGGCGACGACGAGGAATACAACGCCCTCGACAACACTCTCCCCACCGCCGCCTACTCTCCTTCACAGCATGTCACAGCAGGGCTCCAACTCTAAAGGACCCGACGCTTGCCGCCTGTTCGCCTTGATGCAGTATACCTGCGTCGCGCAGCCCGAGATCAAGTGCTGGCCGTTTGAGCGCGTTTTCAGGCAGTGAGTTACTACCCGCGAAATGACTGCCTCGTCTTCGACAGGTCTCGCAATTCAGCAATTCAGGCTGGTTACGGTGTTGCTCGGCATGTGTGAGATGACCTCGGACATCCGTGGGCCCACCTCGCAGATTGCCCGCAATCCCACCTGAAAGCAAGGGATTCTTCTAGCTTTTCACTCGCCGGTCGGCTGGCTCAAAGTCCCGGGTTGCCGAGCGGCTACTGTCCCGTACTTTATCCACAGAACTTCCACCATGCTTCTGGTGCCTGTACCTCTGGGGATCACCAGCAGCCGTATTCCGGCTTCTGTGCAAGAGGCGACTGCGATAGGCCGAGGCCTATGTCACCCCGCGGTTTGGCGTTCTTCTGGAACGAACCCGAGCACCCGGGCGACCCGAATGACGAGGGCTGCAGAGAAGGAGTGGTTTCGTAGCAGGTCTATTTCACGCCTTGAGCCTCACTCAGCTGAGCCCCCCAAACTTGACTAACTGATCTACAGATGCGGAAAGGGTCCCGCGATGGAGGTGACCAACGATGTTTACGAAAATGGCCCGGACGGCAGCCTAATCGTCCATCCCCGTGTTATGTGAGTCCTGAGTCCTGCACCGAGCTGTCGGTGCCGGCACCCTGCTCTGTTCTACTACCGCTGCCATAACCGGCCGTCCACCCTAGACTGGTCATGTCGCATACGGTCATATAGCTACCTCCGCGGACATAGTGTCTTGGCCGTACTCTTACATGACCTAATAATCCCTTATCATTCACATCTTGCACTCCCTCCGTGCGGCATTCGCATTCGGGTCACGAGAGCGGACAGTGCCGCAGGTGAAAGATGAAGAGCTCTTCGCCGAGCGAAGCAGACGAAAGGGGTCTTGGTGCCGCTCCGTTGTGTCGTTCCATGGCATGCGGGGATGCTGTGCAGTGAATGGCTTTCAGGCCAGCATGCATGGACGCGGAGACGCACGGAGCGACCGCGCGAGGCTGGGTAAAAGATACTCAGGCGCTATTTCGTAACCGTGCCGCAAACGCTGACCAACAGTGCACACCCTCCGAAGCCCAAGACCTGGATTGAGCACGCGCATAGCGAGCCCCGCTAAGTAGTTTGCGACGCGGCCAGGCCAACTTGGTCAGATCCACGAGAGGCGTCAACTATGCCTATCAGGTCGACGGTGAGACTTCCCTCACTTGTTTACGAGATGGCGCTTGCGTCCCCCGCAGCTTGGCCTTCTGTGTGCCGCTTTGAGGGCAGCTAGTCATGGTTACAGGGAACCCGACCTCGATGCTGGCTCCCCAGAACGGTAGCAAGGTTTCGTGCCACGAGCAGCCTAAGCCGCAACCGCAGATCCCCTTTGCGGCTTCCCACGGCTCGTAGCCTGAAAGGACGTGCACGCTGCCTACGGAACGGCTGTAGCTGAACTTTGAATGAATACAATGTCAGCACGCTGCACCATGTGCCTGCACTTCTGCCGTGGCTAAGTATGCTGCCTGTCGCTCCCGTAGCTCCTTCCGCAGACGTGCAGGACTGCAGGAATAGGGGAAGCAGGGATCGCCCAGGTCCCCAGGTCCCGGAAACTTGTGCAGACGATGGGTGTCACGAGGAACCCGCGGAAACCTTGCTCTCGCAGCTGAATGGTGGACCAAGGGCAACAAGGGCAGGTAAGGGAAGACGAAAATCCGCATCCCCGAAAACGACCCTGCAGACGTAGATCTTCGCGTGGTTTTCGTTCTGTTGCGTCCTGACTTCCATCCTCGGGATCCATTCTCGTAGTGCGGTTATCCGGAACCAATCCGAGCCTCACATGGTGATGGCCTCCGCCCAACAGAGTTAGGTGTGGCTTGGACAAGCGCACCCAGTGTGAACAATGCGCTCGCTTTCACTGGACACCTTCACGGAGGTGCACGGACTCAAGCACCGAGCACCGAAGTGTAAAGGACGCACGCAAGTCAAGGACGGGAAATGCACACCTGAAGAGCGGAGACTACCGAGCCGCTACCGCTGATCCGCAGGTATTGGTCTGGAAGGAATGGAGGCTACCTGAACCCCGATAGCCGGCGTAATCAGTGTGAGCGAACAGTGGGCTGCCTCACACAGATTACGGCCCCACGGCCCACTGTTCGCTCAGACTGATTAGCAATCTGATGAAGACGCGATCAGAGACATGTACGTCCATAACAACCGTCCGTCAGTACCATTCATGCTCCCGCCGTCGCCGCCGCGGCGTCGTGAGGGCGGGCAAGCATGAGCGAGCGCGGCGACACGAGACCAGCGTCGCGCAGTACCTATGTCGCGTTGAGTTCCTGCCACGCGTGTTGACGACGAGGAGAGTTCAAACGTCCCGGACCCACCGGACCTTGACCCGCCTCTGTCAGACTCCAGCAAAGCTGACCGAAGTCGTGTAAGCTCAAGCACGCGGTGAACGTGTTCGCCTTGACTCTATGCTTTGAGCTAGCTGAGCCTATCTCCTGGTTCCATTGCAAACTCCCTCGCGGATATCTGGAGCACTGAATGCCTTGGCCGTGGGGGACAAGATGGTGGAAGTGAAAGGACGTGCGCATGATGCTGACATTCATGTTGACATCTTACGCATCGACAAGGTTCATGCTCCAAACTCTAAATGAGGGTTGGACCAGAAACACGGCCCCCGTTGTTGCTCATTGTTGTTCTCCTTCGTTGACCGCGCTTCCCTCTCCGTTGCCCCTGTGCCTTGTACCCCGTTCTCCTGCTCGCTGACAGAGTTCCTACCTTCCAACTCCCACACACATTCTGCACATCGTACAGTGATGAATAGGACGCATGCGGTCGCTTCTTCGGTGTCTGCAAGCACCCGGGAGTGATCTTCTTAGAAATGTCACAAGAACAATTGGTGGCACTCGTTAGTTCCAAACGAGCCTGGAGGGTCTCGGTGTTCATTTCGGATGCAGAGTGAGGTTGGAATGACGACGCTTCGCGACATGAAAGTGCGACGCGTTTTGGCGCCAATGTGATAGAGGACGGTGAGACAACATTCCCCATCAGGTCAGCCGGTAGGCCCACCGTGCTCCACGCGCTGCTACGGATACGGACAATTAGGCGTGCGAGACAGGCTCTGATAGTATATAGTATCCACAGACCGCCAGTCAACAAGAGCAGCTTCGACAGCATCTTTGTCGAAGTGGTTAGTACACCACATCTATGGTGAAATGGTATCATGCATCGTTGCCACGTGGAAGTCGATGCGGTGGGGGTTCGATTCCCCCTGGATGTACAATCTCTTTTGCCACCCCCTGGCCCTCTTTTGCCCCCATTTTTATAACTTTTGGCGCCCGCTCGAACGCTTAGTCCGTGTTTTGCACGCCACCTCTCCACATCAGCACATGCACATGTCCCATAAGGTCCATCGAGCTGCAATACAAGAATAATCACAGAGCCCATATCTAGCTGGAGCTACCGCCTCTCTCGCTCAATCTTGTCCAGCTCCTCATCGAGCACGCGAAGGTCGCCGTTCGTGATCGCGTCATTCAGGCGATCGAGCCAATCGCACAAATTGCTGCGAGAGCTGCGGCGGTCGTGCAAGAACTTGGCGTTGCGACGCTCGCTGGTGCGCGCAACAAGACCCTTGAGCATGCGTGGCGTGATCTGCGTCGTGCCGGGCGGGATCTCGAGGAGCACTGTTGTGTCGTCGTTGAAGTCGGGCAAGGCTGGAGGGGGTGAGGGCGGCCTGTCCGAAGCTGGCGGGGTGCGGCGGTTGCGGTCCCAGTCGCGGTCACGATCACGGTCACGATTGTGTTCGCGGTCGCGGTCTCCGGCTCGTTGATCACGGTCGGAAATGTGCCTAGAGTTGGCTCGGTCCGAGTGAGGCAGCTGTTGTTTAAACTGATGAGTCGAAGTGCGAGTTAATGGAGCAAGGAACGCCGACCCGAGGGTGACCAGATGGCGCTTCTTGGCGATCTCAGCCTCATTATTCCACTGCGCCTTACGCTTCTGCACAGTGCTGAAGAGATTGCTGGATTTGCGGGTGACCAACTCACGTGAGTCGCCGCGCAACGTATCAGACGGCGACGCAAACGCAGGGAAAGCCATCGCGTCGATTTCCTGCAGCTGGCGCTCAACGTCGCTGTCTGGAACTGGTGACAATCCTTGCTTCGGCTCAGAGGTGATGTTGACCTTCTGATCTCGCTCGGTAAGCTCGGTTGGGTTGGCGGTCCCGGACGGTGAGGGTAGGGAAGGCAACTCTGGAGATGAACCGTAGCCTTTCAGGCTTGACATGCCTGCACGCCACACCTCGACGTTCGAGTTCGAACTGACAGACGAGCTGCGACGGCTGTCGGGAGTGGGTGGGAGCTCGGCGTCTCGGCGGGACGCAGCACCAGGACGGGGATCCTTTGGGCTCACGGTCATTGGAGCTGGCGTCAGTCCGCGTACTTCACCGTCGGCTCACGGAAGTCTTCTGTAGCAGTCGGAAACAATCGCCTGCTGCGGAGTGCGAGGAGAGTCACAGTGAGGTGGATGCGAAGGGAGAAGAGCGTGTGGGGGTGATATGTGAATAGGACAATAGGGAGATGATTGTTGTCATGGGAATACGGACGGCCGTAGTGGTGCGTGGCGGGCGTATGCGGACTGGTGGCGAGGGCGCAACTTGACACGCGAGCCCCAGCACACGCGCCGGCTTGCTGATCTTGCGCGCATCGTCAAGCGATACGCACAAGAGGCTTTCAATGATGCATGATCTGAAAGTCAGGGGTTAACGTGAGGCAGGTGAGAGCAGAAACGAAGGTTGAAACCTGTGCGTCGTTCATTGTCACATATGCATTAATCGTCCTGCAACGGTATCGAGAATGAGGCCTCTTCCCCGCACCGAACCTTTACTTAAGTACAAGTCGGCCGTGCTGCAGTTCCTTCCCACTTCTTCTGCTGCTTGTCCCGTTCCCCTGCGTCCAGCTGTGCGTCGAGGAAGCCCACATCGCCACGCTCGATGGCAGCGTTGATTTGCTCCAGCCAAAGCTTGAAGGAAGCCCGTTTGGACTTGTAGGCCTGGACAAAGTCATCGTCACGGCGGGCGTTGTGCTGCATCACCAAGGCAATGAATAAGCCGAGGGTGATCTCCTTGACGCCATCGGGAACGGTGAAGAGGACGTTGTTGAACTGAGACGTTGCGATGGACCCCAAGGCGGAAGTGGCCGTTGAAGGGGTCGACGGGGCTCTGGGGACCAGAGCAGTGTTCGAGACAGTGGGGACGCTGGAAGAACCTGCCTCCGGTGCTGTCTGAGGAGACGTCTTGGAAGCCCTTGCCTCCGCGTCGAAGAGTGCCTGGGAACAGTCGGCGAGGGCGGCAGCAGGGGTTTTGGAGATGTGTGCCCTGCGCGCGTTGATGGAGCTGATAGCCCACTGTCCATGGCGCCAGCGAACCAAGGCAGAAATGTCGTTGACCTTGAGACCGATGAAGCACCTCGAGTCCGGCCGCAGAGTTCCTGGGGGCTGGGACACAGGTGGGAAGGGGAGCTCGCGCTCGACCTCCTTAAGACGGAGGAGGAGTGCACTTCCGGGGCCACTCTCGATATGAGTTAGAATGTTGCGGGCTGGAGACTCGTCGATCGCAGAGGCGGCCTTGTTATTCGTGTGCTTGTCACCTTGAGGCTTCACAAAGCGCTGACCGGAACCTTCGGGTGAGGCATCGGAGATCTTGTGCGGTGACGCCTGGTAAGGCGCCACGTTGCTGCGAGCATTGGAGTGAGAAACGCGGGGTGAGGCAACAGGAGGCATGGCTGTAGTGGCCGTTGCCGAGGGTGGTCGTCAGCCGATGTGAGTTGTTGGAAGGAGAGGTCGAGGGGGCCTATGGCTACGCTTAAGTAGCATGGGGAGGCTCGGGGGACACACACACACAGCCTTCCAGCAGAGCGGCAACTCTCGTTCCATCTTCTTTGCTCGCAACACAGCAGCTCGCCCCGATGTCGCCCCCGTCGAACCAACCAGCGCAGCCATGCACAGTCAAGATCCGATGGACTGCCTCTGGGGCCAAGGCAGGGCTCGTCGCACCGAATTTATATCAATCCTCAGAGGGACTGTACTAAAGAACGCTCTGAGCCGTTTCTGGGTAAGACTACGCCTGGCGGAGGGGTGAACTGGTCCAAAGCCGCGTGTTGAACGGCCGGAAAGACGGGCGGAAAGAGGGAACGCACGCTGCGGTTTGGGGCGAGGGGTGTCACCAAGCAAGATCGGCAGCACCGCTGTACCAAAACCACCAAACCGTTCGCTGTTCTGGTACAAAGTGGATATCCTTGCCGATTGGAGAGCTCGAGAGTCATGCCAAGTGCCTGGCAATGACACAAGCTCGTGCACATCGACTTTTTTTTTTCGAGTTTTCGCAATTTTCAAAGAGGTCGTTTGGAATCTGAGGAGCTCACGCCACTAAAACGGTTCTATAGCTTAACCTATGTGAAGTGTGTACGCCTTTGCCGACCAATACAGCTCAGAAAGCAACTAAGATCTGGGTAGAATGCTTGCCGACCTATCTGTCCAGCAGCTGACTGTTTCCACTGTAGGGTCGTTGTGTCGGAGCCGCTGAGAAACAGCTCGTGAGCGGGCTCATCAGATCTGTGCGTTCTTCTGCTCGCCGATGAGCGGTTGGCCTCATTGCCGTAAGAGAACCGGCCCGGGTGCTCCTCGGGGATTCTAGATCCGTCGTCGGTGAATGAAGTATGTGGCAGGCTAGTCGGGCTGGTGCTACATGACTGTATTCCTCAACCATGTCCATGTCAGAGACTACCTTCGGATCATCATTTATCCCGTTTGGTGTCGTCTCAAGTGCATGTGCCGGTATAAACTCTGACTACGGTCTGTTTCGCCATATTCTTGAGACATAGCTCTTAGCTACTCAGAGCTCCCAAGGACGGTGTGGAGTAAGAGATTACGAACGCGCCATGGGAGTAACATTAATAAGAGGTGGGCAGAGCAGCTACAACACCTTGACTCAGGTCTCCCCGCTGGACAAAGGAAGGAGAGTCGGCACCCCTGCTGTTCACACTCCTTACGATGGAGCATAGGGCGCCTAGCCTTCGAGGACTGACGCCCACGGACACCAACACGAGGATCATTGGTCTTGTGTCAGCGTGTGCGCCGAAGCGGACGTCCGGCTCCACTGATGTCATGGACGGGAGAGAGTTAACGGCACGGCTCCGAGGATCGTCGTTGAGGATAGGGTTGCCCACGAGTTATCGGCGATTTGACGAGCTCCCGCCAGTCCCGCCTTGTCTCATGACAGATGGGTGTGCGAGCACCCCGGTCGAGCCTAGCCCTCCAAGAGACTGAGTCACATATCAACACAAGTGACTGACATTCTGAAAACTGCTGGCGCTTTTGGTATCAGTGTCTTCTGACTTACCAGTGAGCTGGACATTCAGCAAGGGGTCGCTAAGAAGTTCGTCGGAGGCACAACGACCTTGAGGCTCATGCGGATGCCCTCGGATGAGACGCCGCATGGTTAGCAGCCTGACACGAGGGCCCCGCCTCCACGCCTGGCTGGTTAGCGAATAGAGCCCGGTTCCAGCGTTTAAGCATGTCCGATACCATGGGTGTGGTTCATTGTGGCTTCGATGGTTCGACTACAGTGCCTCAATAAAGTGAACCGCGGTAGATCGCTCAACTTCATGAACGCATGGGAGGTGTGCTCAACCGGGAAACCACATCACATCGAGCTTAATGTACATGCATTCACATGTAGAACCTCGTGCTGAGTGTTTGTTGTGTCAAGACTACAGGGGTCCGGACGGCATGGAGAGCGGAAGGGACGAGTTGCTTCCTGAAACCCTGAGCGGCTGGACGGATATGGCCGGTTCCTGCATCGGCAGCAAACAACGATATCATGGCGCCCGCGGAAGCGTTAATGAATGACGAGACGGGATGTACCATGCATACGCCTCGATTGCTCTTCCCATGGCTGAAGCAAGGTGGTGCATGCTAACCTCAGTGCACTTCAGATTACATGTCCCGCCTGACTTTGTGTCTTGGGATTCGATGCGGGGTCTTGGGCGGGTCTGTGATCTATGCTTGACCAATGCTTCGATACGCTGCAGACGGGAGTCTGGCGCAGATCGTGCAATGGACTAAGGGCAGGGTTGACAAAGTGTGGCGCCAACAGTCTCACGACCTCCGGCCGATCCTCCGGCACATACCCACGAACGGTCAGACTCATAGCTTGCACTGAGTGATGAGCAGAACTCGGCGCTTGTTGCCAAGTGAAACTCTCCTATCGACGTAGCTTGGGCTGAGCACAGAGTACTCGCCCGTGCCGGCACGGCCCACTACGGACGGACAGTTTCTTGCTGCCTCTCAATTCATGCATCCCGGCTTCCGTAAATCTCGCCGGGTTCCTGGGAGAGATCAGGGCATTGTAAAGCAACCTATGTTGCAGAAACCGGTTTCGCTGCATACGGAACGTCTGCGTATCCAGTTCTGATACGAATGGAAACAGGGCGGTGTCTGCAGATCCAGAGCGGAAAGCATGTATCAGGTGTTGAGACCAATGGTTGTTTAACCTCCATTCCCGCCCGTACCGTCAGGGAAGTCACCGAGTCTCCACTCTCTGGGCTCACGGAACATGACCTCCTCCGCTCTTGAAGGCTTGGACAGGTGTTCTTCGTGTTTAGTGGGAGCGGTGGATGCTGTATATATGCGAGACGGGATTTACAGCTCCCTCCCCATCGATTTTATCCCATCCTGCCTTCGAGCAGACCGACACTCCTTCTTTCTTTCCATTTCGACTACTCCGGCAACGCGATGAAGTTCTTCGCTGTCTTCACCGCTCTCGCGGCGGTGGCCAGCGCCCACCCCTTTGAGGCCATCTTTGGCCGTGACACTTGCGTGAACCCCAACCGCGTTGTCACTTTTGTGATTGACAACTCTGCCTCCAACGGTTACGCCAAGGAGAACATCAAGGGTTCCGACCCCAACGGTCTCCGTTTCGATGGTGCTAGGAAGCTTATCGCTGCCATGACTCCCGGCAAGGACCAGGCTTCCGTCGTCACCTTCACCACCAGGTCCAAGGTCCTTGTTGGCAACACTGATGTCGGCAACATCCACTTCAGCAACCCGGACATTGGTGGTCTGACTACCATGGAGGAGGGTGTCAAGGGTGGTGCCGACCAGCTTCACGCCGCTGGCAACATCCGTGACCGCTCCGCTATGATCTTCTACTCTGACGGCCGTGACTCCGACTCGATCCTCCGCCCCAAGCTCGTTCCCGGCAAGCTCCAGGCCCTTGCCAACGAGGGTGTCCGTATCCACTGGGCTCAGCTCAACGTTGACGGCGAGAAGCGTCAGCCCCCTGGAGTCGCCGAGGTCGCCTTCCACTCTGGTGGTATCTACGCCGAGGTCAACGACGCTGCCTCCCTGACCAAGTTCATCGACCAGGTCCTCGGCAAGGGTATCACCAACGGTGACTGCCACAACAACGGCGGCAACCCGGGTGGCCCCATTGAGGAGGGTGTTATCACCCACGGCATCTGCTCCAACAACGTCCAGGCTGTCTACACCTACACTCCTCAGCGCAAGGAGAAGATTGACATTGACCTTGCTCTCCTCACCACCAAGAACAAGGTCAACCTTAACGTTGTCCTCGAGAACAAGGCTACCGGCGAGAAGAAGGAGGGCAACGTCAACAGTGGCAACGCCAAGCAGACCATCTCTGTCTCCGCCGACAAGGGCCAGCAGATCACCGTCACCGTCTCTCCCTCGAACGCCTCCAACGACGAGTGCGAGTACACTGTCAGCCTGCGCACCACCGCCGACAGCACTCCCGAGCCTTCCTCTTCCTCCACTCAGCCCGAGCCCACTCCTTCGTCCTCTTCCACTCAGCCTGAGCCTACCCCTTCGTCCTCCTCCACTCAGCCTGAGCCTACCCCTTCTTCCTCCTCCACTCAGCCTGAGCCCACTCCCTCGTCGTCTTCGTCGAAGGAGCCTGAGCCCACCCCCTCGTCTTCCTCTACTCAGCCTGAGCCCACTCCTTCCTCTTCTTCCACTCAACCGGAGCCCACCCCTTCTTCGAGCACTTCGAAGGAGCCCGAGCCTACTCCCTCTTCCTCTTCCACCCAGCCTGAGCCCACCCCCTCTTCCTCCTCCACCAGCCCCGAGCCTACTACGTCGGCCACCTCGTGCCCCGCTCCCCCCGAGCCGACCACCCAGACCGTGACCTCAACTGTCGTCACGACCGTCACCGCCCCGGCTCCCTCGTCTACGGCCTCGGTCTGTATCTGCAAGTGCGACGCCCCTGGCGCCAAGCCCATGCCCAAGTTTGAGCTCTAAGCTGAGCTGGTCTTAATCCGCCATGCGGAGGACTTTGTATCTTATTGAACAGCATATCTGATTAATGTATGCTGCTTGCTTCAAGACGGTGACGCATCGCGATAACTAACCGTCACGGCATCGTCACGCAACAGTAAAGTGGTGGCCACTCTTGAAACGCATCGCAACATGCAGCGACGACAACACTTCACCATTCACAATGCTTTGGATACGCATACTCATCGCGCTACTATTATTCCTGGGGGTGCTGTATCCAACATGGGCGCGTAAGCTCTCGCTCTGGGATCGACTTGAGGATCCCCGCCAGGTTTTTCCGTGAGTCGCCCCCAGTCCATCGTCCGTCTAATTTACCCCAGAATGACGTTTCGCCACCCAGCCCGCGGCGGAGTCTTCTACACTGTACCATTGCGCATGCGCGCTCGACATCACGAGTCGTTCGACGTCCATGTTGACACGGGCTCGGGAAAGCTGTGGCTGTACAGCAGTCATTGCGCAAGTCCCGCTTGCAAGGGTATGAAGGGGTACTCGCCGGGCGGTCCAGCCTTCAATACCGGCGAGAAGAAGACTACGCATTTCGCCGACGGCACGCGCATCGCTGGGACATGGGCAACGGACTATGTCGAGGCCGCTGGCAAGAGAATGGAGTTCTGTGAGTATGCATACTGTCGATGAGTCACGCTGCTGACGGAAGTGTTGGCGGACCGGGGCTCCGCAACCCTACCACCGGGTGTTGTCGGAGGGCTCGGACTCGGACTTCCCAAGCAGGGCAAGGCGCACCGCGTGCTCTGGGCACATAACCAGAGGCGTGTTTGCGCACTTTGCTTTGGGACCCATGGCCTCGGAGCCATGCTGGCCTTGCCTCCTGTTGCGAATGACGGCTCGCATCTGACCATCGGGTGAGTATCTGTGATCGTACGCGCTGACATCAGCGGCGTGGCAGAGTGTCCTTCACACGCCTTAGTTTGGACCCCAGTATCGAGTGACTACCGCTGGGAGGTTCGGCTGAGCGCCATAGAACACGCCGGAAGAGTGCTCATGCTGAACCGGAGGGTATTGCTGGACTCGGGGACGGTGGCCAGTGTCGCTCCTCCACCGGACGTCGAGGCATTCTTCTCGTTCTTCTACCAGAATGTCGCTGAAGCGACCGCTGGAGAATGGACCCTCGTATTCGCGGGCGGAGCGAGGGTTCATCTCCCCGAACTGTTCAGTTTCCGCCGTCATGGTCACCACGAGCGCAGCCTGCATGCCTCGCCGTCCGGGTTCAACTCGACTTGGATCTTCGGCCTCGACGTGCTGACCCACCTCCACACTGTTTTTGACGCTGACAAGCGCACGGTCGGTCTAGCCTCGAGACTGTGAATCGTTACCGTAGACAGCTTAGAGACCAGTAGATTCCGTTGTAGCATTCCATAGTTTCTTTATCAGTACATTCCGCAATGCATGTGTCTGTAACGTTCCGCGCTAGTGTATGCATGAGTAGTCGTGGAATGTGACAGTCTCGGATTCTTACGCTGGGTCACCATGTCGAACTGTGACATGCCTCTGATGCCGCCGGCAGTAACATCACATGTCGATACGATCGTAAAGCATCGTGTGAGCCTTCTGAGTGAAACCCACGCTCTGTACATTAAGTAGGCTCTCGGACCCACGCCAAGGCCAGCGCTCGACGCTCGGACGGGCTCGGACTCTGAGGCGGTGTACCGCGGCAGAAGGGGTGAGCTCGGACTCGTACGCTCCACATATATGAAGCGTTGTAGTTCGGAGTCCACTTTGGCCAACTCAAACCGTCGCCATGGGACTCCTCCGCCGCTCCAAGACCCCGACCCCGCCTGCTCCTCCCCCTCCCGCCCGTGGCGAGGGTGACTGGCGTACTCTCGTAGAGGAGGCTGTCAAGACCTCTCCGACGGCCAAGGAGCTCTCGCTGGCGACATGCACGCCTAACGGTCCTCGCAACCGTACCGTCACCTTCCAGGGATGTGAGTAGCCGTGTTGACTCTCGCTCACACTAGTCTCTCCCAGCGGCCTCGTGCAGATCGCTACCGATCCTTCGTCAGCCAAGGTGGAGCAGCTGAAGCACAATGCCCACGTCGAGATTGCCTGGTTCATTCCAAGCGGAGCGTGCCAGTTCCGCATCCGCGGCGTGGTGACCGTGATTGACGACGACTTTGCCCAAAACAAGATCCACCACCTCGCGCCCAACGCTCCCGAGCTTGAGCACGCCTACTGGGACGCGACGAAGAAGGCCATTCTCGACGCCATGCCGCCGCGCCAGCGCCATCCGCTCGTCATGCTCGCGCTCGAGCCCGAGCACGTCCAGCACCTGGACCTCATCAAGTTTGCGTACACCGAGTGGACGGAGCACGAGGACGAGCGCTGCCACCTGTAGACCTGAAGATGAATTCATACATGGTTGTACATACATAAACAATATTCGGGATGCAATGCTGTTGAATGCGGTTAGGCTGCGTTTGATTCTTTGGAGCGCCTGACGAGACGCCACAGATGCGGCGCGACATAGAGGAGACCCGAGATCAGCATCGTGCTGCCGGCAAAGATGCCGGCGTACGTGAAGCGCGATTCGCCAGCGGCCGATACAAGGTAGCCGCTGATGACCGGACCGAGGAGGACGGGGATTGCTATGCTCGTCCACATCATGCCGATTCTGCTCCCCAGCTCTTCGGGCGGGGAGATGTGAGCCGTCGCGCTGGCCGCGAGGGTGAACCAAGCGCCGGAGAAGATGCCAAAGAGGACGAGGCCGAAGCACGTCCCGACGGGGCCCGTGTTTGGCGTCCAGAAGGCGTAGTATGTGACGGAGGTTGAGAAGGCGAGGGAGCCGAAGGTGGGTCCGACGCCGAAGCGGTCTGCGAACATGCCGTACGCGATGCGGCCGACAAAAGAGCCGGCCTGCAGGATCGCAACGGAGTACGCAATGAGGTTGGGCGATAGCTTGTTTCCGGTCGCGAGCGTGGGAGCGTTAAAGTAGCCGGTAAGAAGACCAAAGCCGTACGTTGAGCACGAGAGGACAAGAAACACAAAGCGCAAGTCGTGCCATGGCTTCAGGAGCGTGCGCCAGGGCGGAGGCGTCTTGGGCGGCAACCGGGCCTTCATCCACACGCACCCCGGCGCCATGAGCACCAGGTTACAGCCCGCAATAAACAGCATTGTGTTCCGGAACGAAAGCTTGTCGAGCATGACCTTCATGCAGATCGGGTAGATGACACCGCCGAGACCGCTGCCGCCGACAATGATACCGACGGCCGTTGAGCGGCGCTTCAGGAACCAGTGACCGGCCACCGCCGTCGACGGTGCGTAGACCAGCCCACCAGCAATACCGAAGCAGAGGTGCGACAGGAGCAGCTGGTAGTACTCCTTGCTGAACGACAGGGCGACAATGGCGCCGAAAGCGATGAGCGTGCCGGAGACGGACTGGATGCGCGCACCGTGCACGTCGAAGAAGCGGCCGGTGAGCACCGCGGGCGAGAACACCATCAGCGGCTGCACGGAGCCGATCCAAGCCACCTGTGCCTTCGAGTAGCCCGGTAGAAAGTGCGTCGAGTAGTAGGGCAAAAGCTGGCCCGCGCTCGTAACTGTTGTCAGGAACGAACGGGGTAGTCACTCACTCAGACCGAAAACACAAAACAGGTGCAGGAAACATCCCGCGATGCAGAGCCACGCATCCTTGCCTCCGTCTGGGGGCGGGCCAATGTCGAGGGGCACAATCGCGGGCTCACAGGCAGCGGCATCGAGCGAGTTGCGGTCGATCGCGACGTTTCCCAGAATCACTGGCTCGCGGGAATGTCGGCTGTCGAGTCGTTCGATTTCTTTGAACTCTTTCTCAGACGGCGTCACCGCCATGGTCATATCAGACTCGGACATGTTGTTCTATGGGTCATCGATAGCAGGATGGAGCTCGACTTCTTATAGAGGATGATGACAAAGACAGATGGTTGTCGAGTTGCGGAACCGAGTCAGGTTACATATCTCGGTTATCTGTATCCGACCGGGAGTGAGTCATCAACAGCGTATAATCGCTCCATGAATAGCTATTCCTCCGGACCACATCGCTGCTCATCTAATCTCCCGAAAGCATGCATTCCTCGACCAGCTGATGCGGCTGATGCATGTGGAGGCTTGTGGAGGTCTAGATATGATTGTGGAGGTCTTTCCGATCGCTGGACCCGACGCGGATTATCTTAGCCTGTGGTTTCGGCCTCCACTTGTCGGCGATCGCCGTACGCCGTTGCGGAGTTACGTAAGGAGCCAATGCTTGGCTAGCGGTATATTCGGATTGACTATGCATCGACTTCTGCTCTGTTGACAATATCTTGACAGCGCTCGTCTGATCAGTTCGCCTAAGCTGACAAAGTCATGTAGAAGTGTCGTTTCAGCCGTGGCTCCGCGGCCGCCCCGGGTCACTTGACCCGGCGAAGCACTGACCTTGAGCAGTAGCCCGACGTTTCGGGCCAATGCAGCAGAGTCTGCAGCGCCGGATGTACAGTCAAGGCAGAATTAGATGACCGACAGGCCTCGAGTCAGGCTGCACCGCCGTTGGCTGGTGGTACCCGAATGCCGCCAGGCTTCAGACCGATACCTCCGAGGGCGGACCGGGTACCTCGCCAGCGTATACGACCAGGATGTGTCAACAACGCTTCCTGGTTCGTCGAGATGTGGTCTGTCCCTGCAGTCGGCTGTTCTGTAGCGATGCAGACCCATGGAGCCCCCTGGCCCCGCGAGCCTCGCGAGTTCCGGTAACCTGGTTCCGCGCCGGGAGGGTTTGTAGAGTATGCATTGCCATTCTTCTGCTTCAGCGACCATCGTTCAGTAGTAGGAGGAGTTGCACTGATCGCCCCGCACACAGGGGGGGTGTGGCATGTTGCCTACAGTGGGATACGCCCGCGGCCGGCTTGCGATCGTCGCTCGGATGAGGCGGCGGACTGCGATCGCGGGGGAGATGGCCCGTACCGCGCGCGTCCCGCCAGCTATACACTCGACGGCGCGGTGTTAGCTTACCCAGCATCCTGGCTAACGATTCATACCAGTTTCGTTGCGAACTGCGTCCTCCATCCCCACCTCCAAGGGTTTCTCGGCGACTGCTCAGGGTCTCTTTCCTTGGGAGTGGGTTCGCAGATCGCAAATCTTCAAAGCGTCATAACTTGCGTGCAAATGCAGTTATCGTTCTGAAAGTTGCTCCACTGGGTCCGTCTCGTCCCCAGCTATCCAGCGGTACCGTCAGAGAGCCGGTATGCGTCGAAACCACCAAAAAGCGGCGTTCCGCGAAATTGTGGCGTCAGCCGAAATTCCCATTCCAGGAGCCAAAACCAAGGTCTATCTGGGAATCGAACCCAGGTTGCCGGAACGAAGCGCTAGCGCCTCAAAATCCGGCGTCTTAACCGTTGGACGAATAGACCTACTCGAAAAACGAAAAATCATGCAGCTAGCTGTTCTGTGGCCTGAGAAAACGTCGAAAAACCATCGCCGAGAGCATGTAGAAGTTGGAATCGGCGATGAAGACTTTCGGAGGTGGAGGTGGGTGCCTGATTCAGGCGCTGTGTGTGCCTCGGACATCAGCCAAAATGTCGGCGTCGGAGGACAATAGGGCGCACGGAGGGCGTAGCGGCGCGAAAGTTGGAGCGACGGCGGCGGGGAAGGGGGACAGTCGAGATGCTCACAACGTTGAAGCAGGGGGCGCGATGAGTGCTCGGAGTTGATGAATGCGAAAAGTCCAACTGTGCTCGGCGCAATGGTGCTCTGCAAGGATTCGAATGGGCGCAGCGGCATTGTGGAGCCAGGCTGTGCAACTGGACATCGAGAACAATACTCGGCGCTTCAAGCCACTTGCTACCACTTCACCCAACCTCAGACAACCTTGATTCATTCATAACACTACTTCACAAATTGCTATACAACTAAACGCACGCGGCGAAAGCCTGGTCGAGGATATCCACGCCTTCCCTGATCTCATCGTCGGTGACCGTGAGCGGGGGCGCGATGCGGAAGGTACCTCCAAGCCCCCTAATCTGGACAATGTTACAGCTCAGGCCCAGCTCCATCGCCTTCTCTGCAACCTTTGTGCCCAGCTCGTCCGCCGGCTCCTTGGTCTCCGGGTCCTTGACTACCTCGATGCCCATCATGAGTCCCCTTCCCCTGACATCGCCAATCTGGGGATACTTCCGCTGCAAACCCAGCAGACCCTCCCTCAGAATCTCACCCTTTCGCTTCGCCTCGGCGGGAAGGTCGTCGCGCTGGATAATGTCGCACACCTTGGCGCCAACGGCACAAACAAGGGGATCGTTCATGTGCGTCGTGATCCAGAAGAGGCCCTTGCGGTGGCACTCCTCCTCGATCGCTTTGCTCGTGATGGTGGCCGCGAGGGGAAGACCGGCGCCGAGCGTCTTGCTCAGCGTGAGAATGTCGGGGACGATGCCGTCGCGCTCGAACGCGAACATGGCGCCCGTGCGGCCGAGCCCGGTCTGCGCCTCGTCGACGATGAGGAGCATGCCGCGCTCCTCGCATCCGCGCTTGAGAGCGGCCAAGTAGCCAGGCGGCAGATCGATGAGCCCGCCCGTCGAGACGATCGGCTCGACGATGACAGCGGCGAGGGCACCGCAGCTCTGCGCATCGACGAGGGACCAGCCCCATGCCAGCTCGGCCTCCCAGTCGTGGCTCCCGTCGGCGCGGCGGAAGGGGCTGCGGTAGGCGTAGGGAACGGGCAAGACGAGCTGGCCGGGCATGGGCGGACCGTGGCCTCGGCGACCAACTGCGAACGTCGCGGCGCTGGCTCCGTGCGTCATTCCGTCTGCTGTTAGAACTTCCTAAGTAGAGACTCACGGTACCCCGCGCTGAGCGAGACGATCTCGAAACCACCCGTGTACGTCTTGGCGATCTTGAGTGCGAGCTCGTTGACCTCGCTGCCGGTCGAGAGGAAGAGGCATCGGTCCAGACCCTCAGGGAGCATGGCCGTGAGCTTGTCTGCGAGCGAGAGGACTGGGTCGGTAACCATCGCGCTGAAGAGATGGTCCAGATCGCGGACGTAGGTCGACACGACCTCAGCGATCTCCTCGTTGCCACTGAAGTCAGTAGAGCATGCAAGGCCACTCACTGTCCCAGGACACTGGACATCTGGCCCGAGGTAAAGTCGAGGATACGGCGCCCACCGGCGTCATACAGGTATGTGCCCTTTGCGCGGACGACGCGGACCTTGGACCATCGTCCGCCGTAGCGGATCAGCTTGGAGTCGGCGGCCGCCCAGAAGGCAGAGTCGGGCAGGGGCTTGGTGACTGTCATGGTGGGCAGGTGGGGAAGAACAGCTCGAGGTCGGTCTTTATCTAGACACAAGAGTTGCCCGAAAGTTGCCCGATCTCGGTTTTGCCCGGTCCCATGTCAAATCGCGGCATTTGGCGTCATTTGTGAGTTGAGAGGGCCTGGAATGCATGGAATGAGCGGTTAGTGAGAGCGAGGACGCGACGGATGGATTGAATGCAGAAGGGCTGAGACTGGATGGTGGTTCGGAGGATCGTCAGGTCCCACCAGCAGTGGTAAACTTGGGTTCACCCTTTCCTTTGTTCTGGGCTGCATGCATCTATCCAACGCATGCACGTCTACTCATGCAAGCACTCATTGCACCATGTCACTGATCCATGCTTACATGCGCCGTTCCCACGATACCGTTTTCACATCGGTTGCCCGATTTCACACCGCAGAGATAAGCCTCCTCCGTTGCCCGCAATTTGACCTCTCGTCACACTCGTCAGACTCAGCCCGCACGCGGTACCAAGATATGCATGTATACGCAGGTCTATTGCACCTCCGTCAGAGCCTGGGCAAAGTCCCGCTTCAAATCCTCAATGTTCTCAATGCCCACGCTGAGACGGACGAAATTCGGCGAGATGCCCGCCGTCTTCATCTGCTCCTCGTTCATGCTCCCGCTCCACATGGCGGCGGTGTGCACCGCGAGCGTCTCGACGCCGCCGAGGGACACGGCCTGGCTCGCGAGCTTCAGCGCCGCGACAAAGCGCGAGGTCGGGTCGTACCCTCCCTTCAGCGCTAACGCAACGACCGGACCGCCGCCCTTCATCTGCTTCTTGGCAATAGCGTGCTGCGGGTGGCTAGCCAGCATGGGGTAATAGACCGCCTCGACCTGCGGCTGCTCCTCCAGCCAGGCAGCTAGAGCCAGAGCGTTCTCGTTGATTCGGCCCATACGAAGAGGCAGCGTCCGCATACCGCGGAGCAGCAGCCACGCGTCCATCGGGCTCAGCGTCGAGCCGAGCGTCAGCGACGTGTCCCACATCTGCTCCGCCAGTGCTTTGGTTGTGCAGATCGCACCGGCCGTAATATCGCTGTGGCCGCCGAGCGACTTGGTCGCACTGTGGAGCACCACGTCGACGCCGAGGTCGGCCGGGCGCGTGTTGAGCGGTCCCGCAAACGTGTTATCGGCGAGCACGACGATACCGTGCTTCTTCGCAATCGCAACGACGCCAGCCAAATCGGTCAGCACGAGGGTCGGGTTCGCCGGCGTCTCGACATAGATGATCTTCGTCTCGGGCGTAATCGCAGCCTCGAGTGCGGCCAGGTCGCTCTGCTCGACAACGCTCGTCTTGACGCCGTACCGCGGCAGGAGCTCGTCGAACAGCTTTGCGGTAGCCATGTAGTGCCGGCTTTGAGCGATAGCGTGGTCGCCCGCCTTGAGCAGCGCAATGACTGCCGTGCTGATCGCGCCCATGCCCGAGGCAGTCAGCATGGCGACTTCCGTGCCTTCCAGTCCGGCCAGGACAGCAGCGGCCTGCTCGTGGGTTGGGTTGCCGTAGCGCGTGTAGAACCCCGCGTGCCTCGGCTCGCTCGCCATTTGCGCGAATTCGGCAGCGTCGGCGGCGCGGAACGTCGAGCTGTAGTAGATCGCCGGCGCGACGGGGTCGGCGCGCATGGGCACGGCGGCGTGCCCGTGCACCGCTTGTGTCTCGGGGTGCCAGTCCATGGTGGTGAGTGTGGATGGAAGAAGTCGGGTGGAAGTGGGCGAAGTTGCCGATCACGTCAGATCCGGAATCACCGGGAGGCGTCCCATTCGTCGGGTGGTCGAAGCGGGTATCCAGAGCCGCCGGCTGTGGAATTTGGCCGCGGTGGGCAGTTGATAGGACTGAAAGTGGAGGTTGTCCATGTCGGGATGTGAAAGTGAAGGTGGTTCTGTCATCCCGGCTCGGATGGAGGCCAAGTGGAGGCCAAATGAAGGCCGAGTGAAGGTTGAGTTGGGTTTGGCTCACCCAACAAGATCACCGCAGCAGCAAGCACATGTACCAGCTGTCGCTCTCACGGGCGTTCATCAGATCTACCTTTCACTGCACTGTGCCAAATCGTTCGCGCCACTCTACTCATCTCACATTTGTCATGCTAAGCCAGCTCAGCCTTGCCCGCCGATTGTTTCTATACATCCTTGTATGCATCGAGTCTTCGTTATTGTCATTCCCAGACGTGCGCTCTGTCCCCTAACAGTATCCAGCTGCCCAGAGTCAGGGCTCACCCCTTCTAGACCTTCGGAGGCTCTTGGAAAGAATCGTTGAGGCACTTGTGGTGTACTGGGCGGTATTTGAATGATAGTGGGTGAGTAGCTCGGACAGTTCGTACGCAGCTGCCTGCGGCGCAACGCGATGTTGGGGACAAGATGCCAAATCTGAGGCGTCGAGGAGAAAGGGGACGGAGGGCCGGAAGGCCGCGGGACAGCCCCGGTAGAGCGTGAACCGAGGTGGCCGCTGTTGGAGCGGCTTCAAGAAGTTCGACATCAGCTGCAGAGACGGGGGAATCTTGCAGTGGTGAGTCTACTTCGGCCGGGAGAAAGAGTGGCTCCGCCAGTGGAGCTGTCTCGCTGAGCAATTGTGCCCCAAGGACTCGTCGGCCATTTCGGGGTTGAGCAGCTGGGTGATCGAGAATCATAGCCTGGTCTTGTTCTTGAGGCTCATCCACCGCCATAAGCTCTTCCGGAGCCTCCGAGTTGTCCACGTGTCGTGACTCGGCCTGTTGAACGTCTTCGGCGCCTTGTGACTCTAGCGCCTCGGTCGCCGCAGCTCCGACTTTGCCCCTCCGGCTCCGACCAGTCGGGTTACCAGAGCCGCCTGCCTTCTCCCGCTGGACGCCCTTAAGATCCAATGGCTGCGTATTGGCTTGAACTTTGGGCAGACGCCGAAGAGGTGCTCTTGCGTCTGGTACGCAACTCCGCAGAACTGGCACAGCCCGCTCTCGTTGTAACGAACGGTCTGATGTGGCCGGTGGGGAAGATGTGCAGCCGCGTGAGAAGTTGCGTTCGGGCAACCACCCCCTTAGGATCGCTGAAGTAGAAGTGCGGCGAGACGTGGACTGGCGTCGAGTCAGGGCCCGCCATGTGTTTCGCAGGAAGACACTGCCATTGGTACAGCCGCAGCTTCTTCTCCAGGAGCGGTCGCCAGTTGTCGGCGATGAAGCCGTACTCAGGGGACCATGCGACCACAGTGCTCATCCATCCCGTCAAGGGTGGAAGATCAACGACACCAGGGAAGCCGTGGGCCCTCTTGGCGAGTTTGTCCGCCTCTGCGTTCAGCAGAGCGTCAGGTGTCGGCTCGCCAGTATGGCTTCGAACGTGCTGAAGCTACGACACCACGCTCACGCATCTGCTCGATTTCCTGTACGAGCCAGCGCCAAACCTCGGCGGCCGGCCGCGACTTGCCAATATGCCCAGGGGAGAAGGGCCCGCCTTCCAAGAGGTCGCGAATCGTCGCGATAGTGTTCAGGCTACCTGTGACAATCACGGCCTCCTTTGCTTCGCGGAGGTGGTCACGTAGATGTTGGAGAGCGGCCACCACGGCCATCATCTCGCCGTGCAGAGGCGTCGTGAACTGCACGTTTGAGAGCTGTATGGCGCCAGTGGCTGTGCCGACGACCGCTGCCGTCGTCGAGAACTTGTTCTTGTCGAGCTGACAATGGCTGCCGTCCGTGCCATATCGAACAGGTGAGGATGGCCCATCCTGCGAGGCAGTGGATACTGACTCGGCATAGGAGGCACGCCTCGTCGAGCCATCGGCCAGAACAGAGTCGTGGGACCCATGGAGTTCTGTCAAACGGAAGTCGTTCGCCCAGCGCTTGAACGCTGCCACTTTGGCCTTGTCAAACATGACGAGTGTCTCGAACTTGGCGTTGACGGGCGGCCGAAGGGCGTTCAGGACGTTGTCCCTCCATTGAACGAAAGGCTGGCTTTCCCAATCTGGTTCGCATTGCAGCAGCTCCTGGATGAACAGGAGGTCGGGCTTGTTCTTGCTTTCCCAATCTGGTTCGCATTGCAGCAGCTCCTGGGTGAACAGGAGGTCGGGCTTGTTCTTGGCGACCCGCTTGGCTGCGTTGGCTACGCAGATAGTGGGAATGTTGTCCACCAAAGTGTCCCTCTGGGTACCAACCAGCTCAAACTCTCCCAGCGCCGCGTATTCCCTCGCTGCCTCCCACGACTGAGGTACCAGCCGCGGTCCATTAGCCCATCGTTCCTGCTGGAGAACGAGCAAGGAAGCCGAATGTCGCTGTGCCGGGGTTTGACGCAGCTCCTTAACGCTCTATCGGCCGTCCCGAAGAGTGTGGAACGGGTTTACGCAGTCGTTGCTACAGCATCCCCAGTTGAGCGACGTGATATGGGCTATCTGTTTGAAAGGCCAGAGGGGGTGGTTGCAGGCCCTGAGAATCGCGTCCAAGACGAGCTGGCCGTTGATGCGGAGAGCGGAGGGGAGGCCAAACCCCAGCTGATCTAGGGGCAGGAACAGCATGGCGCTCCTCCTGAACTCAACACCGAGCGCTGCGCTGATCTTGGCCGCAAGAACGAGGTCGATCTCTTCTGCCATATGCAGGGGCAGGGGATGTACGCTCAACAGCCCTCGGATCTTGGGCATGAGGACCCCTGAAACAACCCGGCGGATGAGAGAGATGGGAAGGCGGTCCATGTGCGCCAGCGGAAAGTTGTTTATGATATCAACGATCCGAGTCATGGCCGCCCCTGGGTCCAAGAACGTCGTCCTCAGGAACGTTGGCTCACCGTACGAGTCGAGGAAACGTCGATCTCGATGCTCTGCGGAGCATCTGGAGGAGCCTTTCCCAATGTAAAGGCGACCGTCTTTTCGGCGTTCCCCCAATTGGTCACGATGTTGTACGCATATTGGAACGCCTCCGCCAGCTTTGTCAGCTCGCCGAGGGAATTCCACGACCTGGCGACGATCAAACTGTCGTCGGTCGCCTCGAGCAGTCTCAAAACGACCTTTGAGAACTTGGGATCGTCATGAATGGTTTGCAATGCCGAGCTCATCGTCCCGATTGGCGGGAAGTGCCGTGCAGCTCCGGTGAACGCTTTCACCAGAAGTAGAGCTATGCTGAACGCGTAACGTAACGAGGGGCAGGCGTCGCCTTGCCGGGTTTGCCCGGAGGTGAGGAACGACTCTTCGCAAATGCCATCTTGACTCTTCACGCGAATGCGGCAATCTCTCAGCCTTGCTCGTTCGAATTCAATGATATCTGGATCGAATCCGAAGTACGCCAAGGCGTCCTCAAAAGCGGATTGGTCCAGTCGGTCGAATCCTTGGACGTGGTCCCGTTTCAGCACGAACAGCGTCCGGCCTGTCGCAGAGCAGGTCCATTGCCAGGAGGAGCTGGATGAGGTCCCCCGTCTGCACACCCTCTTGGCAGGCTGCCTGAGTTGGGGACAGCAGGCCCTTCTCATGGATGTGGCTCTGGAGCGAAGAACCAAACCAAGAAGAGATTGCTTGGTACAGGACGTTGGACAAGCATATGCCCCTGTAGTTCTTCGGGTCGACAACAACACCCCTCTTATGCAGTGGGGTAATGTAAGCCTCCTTGAGAGCAGGGGGGAAGTATTTCAGGCGCACAATGCTGTTGGCGAGACTGACCACAATCTCGAGGAACTCGTCGCAAGCGTGAGCTAAAGCCCACTTCTCCCAGCCGGACCGAGGAAGGGCGGGCATTGCCTTGCGAGAGGATATGTCGCAGGTCCGCCACAGTCATACGCCTGGGCCACCCGGAATCCTCACCTCCTTGTCAGTAGACACGTTGGGGTCCAGCGGGGCGCTCGAGTTGAGCCAAGGCTTGGGGACATTGGGCGGCGGCGGCTGCTGAAGGAGCGCCCTGAAGTGGTCCGTCCAGATCTCGAGTTTGGCCTCGGGATGGTGCTCCAAAGTCGGCTCGGAGCCGTCGGCACCCGTCTTGAGGAGGAAGGGAGGGTTTGTGATGGTTGACGGCTCGAACACGTCCTTGAGCTTCCCTCCGTCCATGACACGCTCTCGCTCGGCGATCTGCGCGGCTATGACGACGGAGTTGGTGCGCCGTTCCTCGCGGCAGGTCGGCCTGGTTCTCGCGGCGCATATGCTCGAGCTCGGAGAGGGCACTCGAGTTGTCCCAGAAGATGTCGAAGTGCTCTGGGGGGAAGAGCTCGCGAAGCTCTTGATCGTCTTCGCTGTCTTCGATGAGATCCAGGAGACGCTCTTCTTTCGCCGCTCTGATTGCCTTTCCGAGCAGGCTGTGGGGTCTTGTAGGACAATGCTAGTGGCCTTTCAAGAACACGGGTTGAAAGGCGCATCCGTCTAGGGCTTCTTGAAGGACGCATGGCAGGCCGCTATGAACTTCTCGCAGCACCACTGGCAAACCTCGTCAACACTGCTATGGTGTTGATGGGTCTGTCGTCGGGGGAGCCGAATTCTCGAGGCTTGCCGTCAGATGATCGTTCATGCAACGGTATGCCGTCGCTTCTCCTTCCGGTTGTCGAACAGGAACGCAACTGCTTTGTTTGGTCATCGGAATCAGACAACCGAGGCGGGACGATGATCGGTGTCTGGGATGGGCATTGGCGGGCGCACCCCAGATTCACTTGCTTCTTGACGCGCTCGATTGAGGCAAACGAGCGTGCTGGGCGTTAATGGCGAGCCGGGGGTACCGTTGGAGAACGTTTCGGTCTTGACGATTGAGATGTTCTTGCTGACCACGAAGCGGTCGAGGTTGCGTCGAGCTCTTGCGCTTGGAGCAGCGTCCAGTCCCGCTCCCAAGTGACGTCAAGTTGAGCATCCCACGTGTCGATGCCGAAAAGTGATTGGTACGCGAGCTGCTGCGCGGACCGGGAGCTATCTTCTTGCCTGTTCAGACTATGCGACTCCGACGCGTTCAGATGGGCGTTGTCGTCCCCACCGAGAACCCAAAGCTCGGGCGCGTGGCGGATGACCTGAGCAACGGCGGCCCAGAAGGCTGGAGATCTGCGCTGGCCTCGTCCGACGCTTGCTGTTCGCCCTTTCAGCTTTGAGGCCGGTGGGCGCGTAGACGCCAATAACGCGCAGCTTCTTAGGGCGCTTGGCCTCGTCGGGCAATGTCAGGTCTACAGCCCAGATGCGGTCGCCATTGCGAGTTGGTCACGGATGCGACATCCACCTGGCGAGCGTGTGGCCGCAGTTTCTCCTGCACGAAGATCGCAACGCCTGCCGCCACGGCGAGACTTGTGAAGGGATCCGGGTACGTCCTCTTAGCACCCCAGTTGCCAACTGACGGCAGAGTCGGCAGGCCTTCGTTTGGTCGTTGGGCCGTCTCTGAGACAATGAAGACGTGCGGAAGAGCTGCCTTCAATATGCGAGAAGTTGCCGCTTGCTTCACGTCATTACTACGCCAATTGTGAACGTTGGCCGTCACGACCTTGAAGGGGGCTCGGCGGTCACTTCGCCGTTGAAGCCGGCCATGATGGGGGAGACGCGCTGAAGACGTGGGACGGCTGTGCGAGGTAGAGGCGTTGAAGCGGTGTAATTGTTGGGGGTGTAGATCTCAGAGCTGCGCCTCTGCGGGCGTGCACGTGTTGTACAGGGTGTGACTTGTGATGCGTGCGCGCGCAGAGGTTGCCAAGGTCAGGTAATGGTGTCTGGATGAGCAGATGAGCTGGTGGTGTGTAGACAAAAAGTGTCACAGCAGCCTGGCCGTTCAGAAGGGGCTTGGCGGGGGGAGGAGCGGTGGGGTCGTAGAGCTCGCATATGCCGTTGACACTGCCCACGATGTCGGAGAACCGCTGGAGAGAGAGTTGCTCCATGGAGAGATGAGAGGCTGTGCTGAGGGTGCAACCTGTGTAGGTATCGTGATGGACGGGTTAGTGTTCAAAGCGGATGGGAGTTGATATACGGCGAACTACGCAGGCAAACGTGCGTGAGAAGGTGAAGAAGAACGTACAAGAAGGGAGTGCAAGGGATGGGCGGAAGAGAAGCAAGTGTCAGTGCGCAGTCTGCGCCCACCCCCGCCCGTCATACTTCCTGTGCACTGCCCGAGCTGCGAGACGCCCCTTACGCCCCTCGACGGCCTCGACCCCCAATTCCTGCTGTGCATGCTGAGGGCGTGTGTGATCCGCGAATCTCGTTGACCTGATGACAGCTTCTGTCGATGAAACGGGCTGCGGCCGTGCGCGCAGGGACGGTTCCGCAGGATCCGCACCTCATGCCGTTCGGACGGTACACAGAAGCGCATAGTGAGCAACGAGACACAGATGCATAGTGTAGAGACTGCTGGATGTACATATCTAGTTCTAGCGCGCATGCATTGAACTTCGACGTGCTGTGGGCACGGCGCAGCGACGAGCGGTGTGAGGGTGGTTCAAGCGTGAAGTGCATGAAGAGTGTGATGTGCAATGGAGGTGGTTGGGGTGGCTAAAGTATGCTGGGTCGGTGTGTGACGAGGAGACCCGCGGGCTCCGAGCGCGGCTACGACGGAGTTTGAGGCCTGTCAGGCTCTGCGACCGCCGGGGGCCGAGTGAGACCCAGACCGGTGTGGTCGGCGAGTGCAATCACTGTGTCCCGGTGCACACCCTGCGTGCGGCGCAGGTACTCGAGGGTTTCCAGCTGGCGCTTCAGCTCCTCCTTGTCCTTCTTGGACCGCTCGACCCGTGGCTGGAGCTGCTGCGCGGCCGCAGACTCGGCTCCGCAAATGGCCACAACCTCATCGTAGATGGCAATCTCGCGGTCGAGATACCTGAGCTCCGCCTCGATGAGGTCGATCCGCATGGTGAAGACGAGACGGTCTTGGTCGGCAGAGTCCCTGCGGAACAGGTTCCTGAACATCTGCTGCAGGTTCGAGTACAGGTCGGAAGTGAAGGTGCGAAGGTTGATGGTGTGCGTGGACATTGTCTTCGCTGCATCTTCAACCTCGTGCTGAACGACGTCCAGCTTGACCGTGGCTCGGTGAACTGCGCCAGCAAGCTTCTGCTGAGTCGCGACAGCCTCCTCCTCGTTGACTGCGCGGTCACGGCGTGGCACAAGCTTGAAGTCGTTCAGGTCGAACGCCAGCTCCCACGCGTGCCCGGCGTACATCGGCTGGCTGGCGATGTACTCGGCAAGACCGACCGAGGAAGGCACAGCTACGACGTGCCGGTCGTGCACGCGAGACAACAGGTTGCCACCATGGTCCACGGGCTTCAGGAACTCTTGCATGCCGTGCTGCGCGTTGAATGCCGCGACCCAGCCGCGCAGATCTTCCAACAGGTAAGTGTCGCTGACGCTACCCTGATCGATGCTGACGATGGTCGTGGGCTCGTCGGTTGGAATGCACGTTGCCGAACGCGAAAAGTAGACGGAGTGATCCATCAGCTTGGGCTTTTGCTGGGTGAAGTGGTCCAGCAAATCTTGAACAGCAGCCGGACTGTGCACGACCACCAACGCGCTGCCGACCTCACCGGCATTGTTGCGGTGGAAGCCTGCAGTCTTCATCGTCTTCAGGCAGTGCCCACGCTGCTTCACCAGCTGCTCGACCCACCTCTCTGCCTCCGACTGGGTGAGAGGATACATTCTCCTACCCTCGCCCGGACCCGGAGCGACAAACGTGAACTTGACGTGGCAGCGCTGGTCCACCTTGGCGCCACATGCCCAGTAGGCCGCCACTCGCTTGGCGACAAGCTGAACGCGCACTTCCTCCATCTCCTCTTGCAGGTCGATGCCATTCTCGCGGGCCTTGTACCAAGCGTTCAGGCTCCAGCGCAAGCGTAGGCAGCTAATGCGGCCATTCTCGAGCGAGCCGGACGGCCCAGCAGACACCTCAAGATCCTTGGGAGTGAGGTTCGGCAGGGTGAGGTCGGCCAGTGCATTCTTCTGCAGGGTCTCAATCGCCCCGCGCGCGTGGTACCTGCCGTGGCAGAAGAGCGTGAGCTGAAGGGGTGAGTCCAAGAAGCGGCCGTTCTTCAGCATTGCGTTGAGATGGGAGTTGGCGGGTTCCGAGAGGGTCGCTGGAGGGGTCAAGCCCTGTGCAGGGGGTGTGAAAGCGGAGAAGGAGGACACTTGAGAGGGGGGCCTCTCAATACTGGCGAAAGGAGGGGAGGAAGTTGTTGATGGAGAGAACTGAGGTGGCGAGGAAAAGGGGATGGATGTCAGCTGGTGGCGGGCTTAGCTGAAGGATCCTTGCGTGTGGTCGCTATGCAACGTCGTGGGAACGTGCTAGCTCGTGACGGGCGCACTTGCTCCCCTCGCTGATCAGTCCTTTGCGCTGCAACGTCATGGGCGGGTGTGTCTGACTCACGTTGGGACGTTTGCGTGTGGACACAGTCCGCTGGCTGTTGGGTGGTGCGGAACTCTGATCCCCCGGGGCAGGTTAAGAGTGCAAGGTGGAACGGGCTGTATGTGGTGGGAGCATAGGGTGTTGAGGCTGCAGACTCGCATTACGATCTCGCTGATTAGGAATTTCGACATGTGCAGCAGTTGAAGAAAAGTCCGCCGAAGCTGCAGAGTGTGGTTCCAATTGGTTTCAGAGCCCCATGACGACGACCAGGCAACGAAAGCGCAGCACTCGGCCGCTCCTGAACAATCACTGACCGTAACATGCGTGACCTGTAGGTTGAGATTGCTTCATCAACAGTCTGATCACCCTTCCTTGGCGAGACAGTGGCCGTCGACGCGCAAGCCAGTTCCCGCATGTGCGAGGGGCAGGTCTGCTGTATGGATGTCTTCACCGCTACAAGGACCTTCAAAAGCTTTTGGGCAGCAAGCATGCATACGCTTTGTCCACCAGCTGCCAGAGCGATCTATGACGCATGCATCGCCCTACGCGCCGCGTATTCGACAACCGTCTCACGCTAAATGCGATATTCAGGGTCGATCAGATCAAGCCGACGCGACTGACTTTGCACTGGCGCAATGTCTGAGGACGAGTGCCCGCCGAAATGCATCGTCGCGCGCACCATGGTTCTTCCACTGCTGGTCCGGTGGCCCTGGGTCTATACGCATCATGCGGCGCCAAATTATGTGCACGCAGCTTGGTAGCAACTCGGCTTACGCATGGACCAGATCTGCTGGTTGCACGTCGCCTTGGGTGTGGGAGGGGCGAGGGGAACGCAAGGGATGTGTGATACACAGGCAAGGCAACGGGGGCTGCAGCGGCCTTGAGCGCGTCGAGGAACCTGGGCTAAGCGTCGCCACCCCACCGCGAGCACTCCACGGAGGTGCACGTCTTGCTTCACTCGGCACACTGTATTCACCGCTGCCTTCCTCGCTGACTCTCTCCCTCCGTTCACACCCAACACATCAGCATATTCGACCCGCGTCCGTGTTCTCATATCACTCACGTGCGCATCGTCTCCCGTTCTCGCACCCCGCAAGTCGCTCCGTTTTTCAGCTACTTGCCCAGCACACACCACCACCCTCTCACAGCAAGCAACTTCCTCCGAGTCGGTCATGCCTATGATCTAGCTTTAGCCCGTCACGCCTGAATCGTTCAACAAGATCTTCGGGCCTGTTCGCTTAAGAAGACATTCACGCCTCGGCATTCTCTTCCTCCCCCTCTCGTCCCGGCACTTCAAGTCAAACCTTTTAACAAGGTAAGGCATGAGCTCTCGACCTTTTCTGACTTCAGAGCATCATGTCCGCGTCGAGCGCTGCGGACGGCGAGCACCCGTTCTCGGTCATTACTCTTAACGTCAAGAAACTGAGTTAAACAACACCGACAAGCCCACAGCGATCGCCCGTATCATCAAGAATGCACGGCCACACGTTGTAGTTTTGAGCGAAACAGGTCAGCCTCGACGCACCAAGCTTCCGCCACTGCAGACCGGGACCACCTACAAAGTGTCTGACGACTACAACGTCCTCTCTTCCCCTGCTTCAGGGATGAACCAATCCACCGGTGTGGCTTTGTACGTGGACAAGGGCATCCACGCCGTCAAGGTCGCCATCAAGGACAGGCTGTGATTGCTGCGATTCACCATGCGCGCATGGTGGACGGCAGTGAGCGCGAGATCGAGATCATCAGCGACAGATGGAACACACTTCGCGCCGTCGCCGAGCCCCTTGAACCGGTTGAACCCGCGCCCGGCCGCGGAAGCTTACCGCTGGCTGTTCAGCGAGATCGACCTCGCCCGCGAGAACGGTCTCAGCTTCCGCCTGACTCATGTCAAGGCTCACACCGACTCTGACTGATCCAGGCATGCTGGAACGAGCAGGCCGTGCTTGGTACTGCCGCCGCCGTGGTCGGACACGAATGACAATTATGTTGCATTCCATCGCTGTAATGTACAAACTGTTGCGGCTCAACTATAACACTACTTACCGTATTCTCTACATTCTACTGCCCTTATCAGCCTTCTTCATGGGTTGCCTATTCTTGCTTGAGCCCAGCCGTGCGGTCGAAGGTGGCGCAGTGACGGTGAGTCCCGTGCGGTCAACTAAAGCCACTTTGGTTTTGCGCTGTAAGGCGTGCTGCGCTCGCTGTTGTGTGGTGTTGCGCTTATCCGCCTCGAGCTGACTCTTCGCCTTGATCAGCAGATCTCGGCGGGCATTGTGCTTCTTGCTGCTCTCCTCCTTGATCTCCCCCTCCACAAGGATGATCTCACGGTTCACCTCCGCTAGCTGACCCTCAATCAGCTTGAGCTTGATTGTGAGCACCAGCACATCACGGTCGATGCAGCCTTGATTATCGAGCTCGCCAAACAGCGTCTGGAGGTTGTCGTACAGATCGCGGCCGAAGGTCTGGAGGTTGATGGTCTGCCGACCCATCTCGGAGACGCTGTCGTCGACGGAAGCGTGGATGCCCTTCAGCCTGACTGCAAGCTTGTTGAACTCGGTGCGCAGCTCGCGCACTTCAGCGGCTAGGGATGCCGCCTGGGCCTGCTGCCTGTCCTTCAGGATGCGCTGCGAGACAAGCTTGTTCGCGTTGAGGTTGTAGGCGAGCTCCCACGGGTCGCTGCAGTGGGGCGTCTGCGCGGCAATGAACTCGGCCAGCCCAACCGACGAAGGGACGGCGTAGGCGTGACGAACAAGCACCTGTCCGACGGTTCGGTCTCCCGCGCTGGAGAGGACGTGCAGGAAGTCGTTCGTGCCGTTCTTGGCGTTGAACTCAACCACCCATCGCTGGAGCTCGTCTTCGAGATAGTGTGCTTGAACCTCGCCCTGGTCGGGACCGATGATCGTCGCTGGGGAATCCATCGTCACCACGGTGTCCGAGGCGGAGAAGGTGACGGCGTGACCGTCAAAGGTCGGCGCCTGGCGTCGCACAACCTCTGAGACCTTCTCGACAGCAGTGGGAGTGTTCAGGATGACAGTCAAGCCCTTCACCTCTCCGACCTTGAGCGTGCCCTGGAAGCCCTTCGGCGTGATGTCGATGAGACGGTAGCCCAACTTCATCACAAAGATCCGAGCCCACTCCATAGCATCGTTCGCGTTGACCTCAATGCCCTCTTCCTGCACGACGAACTGGAATCGACCATGACATCGCTGATCGACTCCGGGCGCGCTAGCCCATTGGGCACAAAACCGCTCGCTCAGCTGGGTCCGAACGTTCTCCATCTCGGCCACGAGGTCAATCGGTCGCTCAAGAGTTTCGTACCAAGCGTTGCCTGACCAGGAGATGCGAACGCTACTCGGCCGACCTCCATCTTCAGCTCCAGCGGGTCCGGCAGTGAGCTTAAGCATGGTCGGATCGAGATTCGGAAAGGTGATGCTCTGCAGAGCGCGATAGAGCACCTCTTTGGCGGTGGTCATGTGGTGGTGCGGCAGACCAAAGACCATCAGTTCAATCGGCGAGTTCATGCCACGCCCATTGCGGGCGACAACGGCGTCGTGGGACAGACCCTGGATCGTGTTCGTAGTGGGCAGGGGCAGAGGCAGGCTCGCTGCAGATGACACAGCGGCTGGCCTATGAGCACTAGTGGAGGCTGAGATGGCGAAGGGTGGCGCGGATGGAGTGTGCGCGGTGTCCTGCGACGCGGGACTCATCTCGGAAGAAGGTGGCGGGTGTGCGTTCTTGTGGACGAGAGCTAGCAAGGGTGGGAGTGGAGGGCTGATGGGCAGGCAAGCTGAGCTGTAAACCGAGGTGGTCGTACAGAGGGAGACAGACGGAGTGATGGAGAAAGGGAATGGTGGTGGAAAGAGTGATGGCGGAAGGAGTGGAAGACGAGGGAGTGATGAAAGGAGGGAGTGATATAGGAGAGAGGTAAGTTGTGGGCGCCAGATGGACGACAGCACATGAAGCAAGCCCCAGGAGTGCGGCGTGCGTCAACTGTGGTGACTCGGCGCCCCCGTCGCACCGTCGCCCTCTTGCCCCAGTCACCTCGGTTGTCTGGGCGAGACATCGTTCACAGCACGCTACCGCATTGTGACACTGTCGCCAGATCGTTTGGATCGCACAATGTGTCGGGCGCCGCTCGACCGACGGCCGACCGCATTGTTGTCTAGTCCATCACCACCGCCCCTCAACCGTCGCAACCCAGCTGCGCAGCACACCGCCCCGCGACGTCCCCCTTGCGCCCCTCGCTTTACGCGCGCCAGCGTTATACGTTGTCCTCTGTCCCTCGGCCCTTGCGGCGTACCCCCTTGGAGCAGGAGCCTCATGTTGGTGAACCGTACGACTCTGCGTTCAGCTATCGCAGTAGAGGGTATAGCAAAGTAGGGTGGAGGTGTCCGATCCTCTCATCGATCTCATCGCTGCTCCTCTTTCTTTCCCCCGCCACCCGTTCTTACCCATCTACGTCATCTACCTCAGCATCAAATCCCTTTCGTGAACAACTTCCACTCTCTCCGGCTTCTTCACCCCCATTGTGACCAACGCCTCAGCCGGTTAGAACGCATACCTTCCCTCCATCTGCATCTTTGATCCACTGGTAGAGCTCTTCGCTAGCGCCGGGAGAACCTCACAACATCGCCTCCATCAGGTCCTTCCCCCGCCCGCCCAAGTTCATGATGGCCCTCAACAGCCCCCATCCCCGCACAGCCGCCTCAGCCAGCAGTCAAGTGATTTCCCCCGCCACGACGCTCTCAAGACGGCCACCTCCAACTCCTGACGATGGACCTACGCGGCTTGCCAGGATACCATCGCCGCCGCAGCAAACATCGTGCCCTTCCCCTAAACACAGATTCTAAAACTGCGCGACGGGCATTTGTCAGAGTCTCCCATCCTGTTGACCGTTTTTGGGCTCTCCAATTCCATCAAACTACGGCCGTTGAGCAGGTCAAAAGGACGTTGCGTAACCTGTCTCCGAGCACAATCACACACGAACACCTGAGGGTGTCACCGTCAAAAGTCGATTCTGACGGCGTCGCCGAAACGGCGCAAGTCTCGTGGAGGCCCAAAGCATGGGTTAAGAATGTCGACCTGGTCGTCGAAATGGATCGCGTGGGGCAGTGTCGTTGCAGGGTATCGACCAACCATCGCAGTTGGAGGCGGCGGTTGAGCGACGAGGTGGACCAAGAAAGTGGAGGCAGGGTCCTGGGGCCCCGAGAACAGCAGCGATTCCCGGCGGCAGTCGTTCGAGCAGTGGTGATAGCATGCGGTAACCAATCTTCGGTCCATCTCTTCTCGTAGTAGTGAACCAGTTCGACGAATCTCGGGGCAGCATTAGTCCAATGCACGATAACAGTGTTCATGGATCATCGTCAATAATGTAGCCGATACTGCACGAAAGTAATCACTGCATGAATCTCCCAGCCTGGCCCCGGTATGCGCCATGGTGCTAGTCACCGATACAGTCCTGCCCTAGAGGCCTCAGAGGCTCACACAGACGTAGAGGTCAGAGGTCAGAGATCAGAGAGATCGATGCTCAAGGCAGACTGCGCCGCTGCCGCAACCTCGGGGGAGCCAGAGTACTGCGTCAGCAGACTATCGAGACGGTGACGCAGGACGCTCATCTGCTCGACTGTACGCACGCGCGCATTATCGGCGACCTCGGCCTGGGCGGTCAGTGTTCTGGCCAGCGCGGCCTCAGCCGAGTCGGACCAGATGCTAGCCTGCCTGCGCTGGCTGCGGAAATGCTTTGCTTGCAGCTCCAGCTCCATGATCTCTGCTGCGACGCTCAGAATCTTGACCTCGAGGTCGATGGCCGACTCGGGGCAGCTGTCGGGGAGCCGCGACACGTTCTGGAACGCCGCCTTGCCCATGTTGCGCACCGTCTTGCGGATGATCTTGGGCTCAAGCTTGCCGTCGTTGAGGTGGAAGGCAAGCTCATAGGGTTGCCCCTCGGATGGCAATTGACGCTGGATAAACTCAGCAAGGCCGACCGAGCTCGGAATGGCGACGGCGACGTGATCGTGGACACGGCCGAGACGCTTGCCATCCTCGACATCCCACAGCGACTCATCCGCGCCATGCATCTCGTTGAAGGCGTTAACCCATCCGTCTAGCTCTTGCAGAAGGTCGGCGTCTGAGAGGTGACGACGGTGCGGGCTGGCGATCAGGCTCGGATACTTGATGTCAACGACAGGAGCACTGGGAGTGAAGCTGACGAGCACCGAATGCATGGCAAAGTAGTCGCTGGAGTCTGTCACCTGTTGCTGGAGAAGTCCTGGTGGCTCGGCGAACGTGGCTTTGACACGGATCCCGGTGCGCATAGTCTCGACCTCGTGGTGAATTATGTGGAGACCGTGGCAGATGCAGAAGTCGAGGACGGCTCGAACAGCGTGGGCTTCGGGTGCCGCAATGCGGACCGTCGGGACAACGGTGAAGACGCCGGCTCGACGACGGTCCCAGCCCGACGAGTTAGCCCAGGCGACGTTGATGTCTTTGCTGATTAGAACCTGGCGGATGTCATCCAGGCTCCTGGCCATGTCCACGTTGTGTCCCCAAGCGGCCGTAGACCATGAGATGGTGACGACGCTCGTGTCCCGACTCTCGCCCACCTTGAGCTCCAACAGGCTGGAAGGCAGCCCTCCGGACGAGACCCCGCTGAGCGCATGGCAGATAACGTCGAGCTTGTCTTGCTTCGTTCCTTCGGAGATGTAAGCCGTAAGCTGGACGGGAGAACCGGATGGCTTCCCGTTCAGCACACGTTGGAGAGCTGCAGTGGTCATGCCCGGTAAACTTGAGGTGGGAGTCGACTCGGGACGCAACGCGCAGGATGGATGTACGGATACGAAGGTTAGATTGGCGCAATTGAGGCATCCGTCGACGAGAACGAGCACCTGCCCGGTGTGACGAGTGAAAGGTCCAAGGAAGCAATCGACATCATCTGCACGATCTGCATGCAATCGAGGACGTCCGAGAGCGGAAAGGGGCGGAGGTGCAGCAGCGCAGTGGAGAGCGGGGTGCGAGTTAGCTCCCGCATGGGCTTGCTGTCTGATTCTGACGCCCTTCCCTTGATCGCATGCCCCAGCTGGGATCGCGAAGGAGGGCGCAGATCCCAAACCCGTGTGCGTGATTCGGGCGCAACGGCGCAACGCTGGATGGCTGCGCAAGCGTGCAAGAGGAGAGGTTGTCGGGCTCGCCGGCAAGAGATGTCGTATGAACCCATGCATGATACTGTATGCACTTGCACAAGCTGCCTCCTCATCTCTCGCGGGATACAGCACCGGACCAAAGATGCACTCTCGGAGGCTCCTCTCGAAAGCAGGGTCAGGGACGGTGACAGGTCAAACGCGAGTGATTTCTTTTCGCCACCGACTCTGGGAGGCGCAATGTCTGCGAGGGAAGGCGCAAGTGACTGTCGCCATGCTTGCTTGCGCCCCAGACGATGCCCACCTCCAGCTCGGACCACCGGATTAGCGTGCGTCAAGATCTCCCCAGTGCTGGTCAAGCGGCAGTGGATCCGTTGCAGCACCCTCTGTCAATGGCGATTGAAACAAGGAGTAGCCGTCGACGGGCAATACCAAGGAGACTGTTGCCTGATTGTTAGGGCGAGCCAGTTCTTCAGGTCGCACTGGGCCCTCAGCAGGGGCTCAGGCGATGAAACCAAGACGCGGTGCGAGAGGAGAGCGAGTACGCAGCGTCTCCTAGCTGACAGGCGGTACGACTAGCGGAAGACGTGGCCAAGGTGAGAACTGGGCAGACACACTCTGCTCCTCACATCCCTCCATTCCCTCCTACACCTCTACACTCCTCCACCACACTCCGCACCACTGCACTTCTCTCGACAACACCAGACACTACCCCTCATTAAGCTCCCCTCCAGCACGCACCAACCTCTCCGCCAAGCCCCAGCCAACTTCTCCCGCTTGATCTGTGAGTGGAACTTCCGTGATCCTGTGTTGACTTCGGAAGCCGTTCAGCATGACCAGCCAGCTCGACGCTGCGACGCCGTTCACTGTTGTCACTTTGAACATCAACAACCTCAGCGGCAATGAGAACAAGACCAATGGTTTGAAGAACCTGTTCGACCGCTGCAAGCCGCATGTCCTCATCCTTTCGGAAACATGGGAGACTCCTGATGGCCTTCCGGACGTACACGACCCCGCTACCTACACGAGGTTTTCCGTACCGGCAAGTCGGGCCAATCGCGCCACAGGGGTAGCTGTCTACGTAGACAGTCGCATCAAGGCTACGCTCGTCAATCTGGACAGTACCGCCGAGACCATGGGACGAATCTGCGCCGTTGATCTTGTGCTTCCCGACGAGACGAAGCGTCGCAAGGTCGTACGCGTGATCGGGGTGTACGCATCGCCCGACATGGACGACTATGTCAGCAGCTCTGCCATGACTCCATTTTGGTCGGCAGTGCATTCTCTCACCTCCGACCGTCACGACTGGATCGTCGGTGGCGACTTCAACGCCCACCTGCACCCCCAGGAGTCGTTCACCCTGAGACAGTCTAGGTACGAGCTCCACCGCGAGAAGCAGCAGGTCGCGTACCGAGCCTTCCTCAACGCTTCCAACGGCGTCGACACCTGGGAGGCACAGGAGGATGTCACCTGGGAGCGCTGTTGGTCTATGAAGGCCGACGACGACCCGAGTACGCGTCGGATCTTGGACCGCTTCGTTGTGTCGCGCAGCGCTTCCATAATTAAGACCGATACGCTCTCAGGAGATGGTGTCACTGCCACTCTGACCCCAACGTCCCCTCCGACTGTCCTCGAGATTCGCCAGGCCGTTCGCCAGATGCCGTTCATGCCGATTCCCAAGACGAACCACCGGCCGGTACGAGTAACGCTTCGTCTCGGATGCCTCGTACCGAAAACGCGTCGAGGCTGGACGAGCTCGGCGCCCCGTCGTCTCCGCCAACCTGAAGGCGAGGCCGCCAAAGAAGCGTATGGCAAGCTGAACGAGAGTCTCAAGAAGACCTTGACCGAGTCGCCGCCGCCGTGCCTCACCCCGCGGTCCAACGCTGAGTGCGACGCACTCTACGAGTGGTGTAGCAAGGCCTTTGTTGCGGCTTCAGAACACTCATTCAGTCGGCCCCGTTCCGGCAGTCGAGTCAACAAAGGGTTCCAGGCTCCGACAAGCCCTGCGCTTGAGCTGCTTCTGAAGGAGAAGAAGCAAATTGGGCGGGCAATGCGCGCGGCCAAGGAAGACCGCCTAGCTGCTCTCTTCGCAGGGGACCGCAAGATCCGCGAGGTTCTGAACGGCCTTTTCAGTTCCAGCTCGTTTGGTCGGGACTTCGACAAAGCTGATGCCATTGAGAAGATCAGCTCTAAATGCAAGCAGAACAATGCCGCTCGCCGCAAGGAAGAACGTCGTCTGGACTCGGTCGTGTCGTGCGCCTCGGAGCAGACTGCCTGGGACAAGGTCATGGCCGGCGGTAAACTCAAGCACCTCTTCGTCCCCCCAACCGTCACCAACCCGCCATGGCTGCTGCGCCGCGACGAGACGGGCGGGTCGACCACTCTTGAGCATGAGCCTGAGGCCAAGCTGCGCGTCTGGACGAGCCACTTCCGGGACCTGCTCCAGCACCCCGCACCTCCGGCCGTCCAGAAACCGTGGATGGCGACGAGCCAGCCTCTTCATCCCGGCTCGGAGGACAAGGGAGGCGAGCAGTTTGACTGGCCCAGGGCCATGACCGTGGACGATGTACGACGGACCCTTCTTCACGGCAACCCTCGCCCTTCTCCCGGCCCTGATGGCTGGGAGAAGTGGGCCCTCGTCCACGCCGACAACGAGTTCCTGATGGTTGTCACCAACCTGGCCAACTACGTCATCCTGAGCTCGTACTTCCCCGACCCAATGAAGTCGGCGTACATCACGCCCGTGTACAAGAGGGGCGACACCACGGACCCGGCCAATTACCGTGGCGTCTGCCACTCCAACCTCATGTACAATCTAGTCTCCACGTGGTTCAACAGCAACTTCCGCGACTACCTGTGGCAGAAGGGCCTGGTGTCACCCACGCAGGTAGCAGGGCAAGCTGGGGTCCAACCAGGGGATATGATCTCTCTCCTGCAGCAGGTCGACAGCTGCGCATCGGTGAATGAAGAGACTGTGTTCGTCTTGAAGCGCGATCATCGACAGGGATTCGATCGAGTCGATGCGTCTGGTTTCGAAGACGCTCTCCGCTACTTCGGTTTCAACGAGAACGTTGTCGACTTTGAGCGGGCGCGAATCGGGCGCTGCAGCATGATGGTCAAGTGCCAGGACGGCGTGGCTTCGGACGTTTTCGTGACCTCGGGTCAAACGAAGCAAGGTGACGCGGTTTCCTCAACCCGGTACACCCTCTGGCACTCGCTGTTGTACTGGTGGCTCCTGCGAACTCCGTCGCTCACAAAGCACTTCCCAGAGGTGCGAACGCGGAACGCGAGGACGGGCGACATCCACCTGGACATCGACAGCCAGCCGGGACAGGTACTCCGGTGCCTGGAGGCAACAGATGACAACTTGTTGATGGCAACATCTTGGAAAGCGTTGAGGGTCATCACTCGCATGGCCGAAACATTCCAAGAGGCATATCTGGCGGAGACGAACTGGGACAAGTCCGAGGTGTTCACCTTGGGAAGACGCCTGAACGAACCTCCGAGTGTCGTCAGCGTACCTTCCTCAACTGGTGACAAGCGCGACGTCCGGTTTGCCAAGGAACCAACCTTCCTCAACACGTCCATCATCAATCCGGCAGACACCTTGGCTAAGGTCATCGCCGCCATTGACGAGTTCCCGATACCTCGAAGCCGCCGCATCCCTCTTGCCGTCATTCGCAAGGCTGTCACGAGCCTCCTGCTGCCCAAGATTCGCGGCATCCTCAGCCTCCACCCGATGCCCCTCTACATGGCTGACGAGGTTGATCAAGTTCTGGCCCGCAAAATCCACGACGCTCTCGGAGTTCCCTACCGCAACACCACTGCGCTGTTCCTCCCGGTCACACAGCTAGGCTTTGATCTGCCATCGATCTACCGCCTGAATGCTGAGATCGTCATCGACAGGGTGATGCGCTCGCTGAACCATCCATTGGAGCCGTTCTCCAAGGTGGCGTGGACCACTTGGCACAACATCAATTGCCAAGCCCACAATTGCGCCAACGCATTCTTCCTGCCGCCGCAGGAGCAGCCGCTGTTGCAGCAGCGTACAGCGCCGGCCCGGCGCCTCGACTCTGTCGCGATCGCGAAGGCCCAGGAGAAGTGGGAAAGAGCGCCGCGTCTCGTTCCCCAATCATGGAGCGCCGCTCGCAACGCATGCGCTCTCGGGGCATTTCACATTGTGCCGACCACCGACCAAGGGCTGGCCCAGGCTCGACCGATCCATGTCGTCAATGCGGCAGAGTATTCAACTGAGCAACCGCCCCCTGCACCGTTCATAAGGGACAACATGTTCCCCCGAACTGGTGATTGGAATGACCTCCCATTCACCGAATGGGCTCCAAAGGTCATTGCCGCCATTGCCTCCGACTGGCGCAGGTTCGGTGGACGTTGGGGAGAAGAGCTGACCAACGTGGTCGGCATCGACAGGTTCCGCGTTTGGATGGAGAAGTTCAGCATCGACCAGCTTGTCGGCCCAGATCCGAGCTGTATGGATCCTCGCTCTCTCCGACGGGAGACGTACACAAGCCTCGTCTCTCGCGCATTCGATGATATCCTTCCGGTCGACGACATCGAGACCGCTGATGGAACCTATGCTACGGACGGGAGCTGCCACCAGTCCGAGATCGTTCCGGAGTCAACGACCGCTGCCGTTGTAGGGAGCGGCGTGGCCGTCGTGAAGCTCTCCAAGCAGCAGAAGACCTCCTCTTACGACGGAGAACTGCTTGCCGTCGCTCTCGCTCTCCAGCATGCCCGTGAACAGACGCCCGCTCTGAAGACTGTCCACATCATCTCAGACAGTCTCAACACTATCAGCGCGGTGAATTCACGCATGGAACGCGGACCCACACCTCCAGGTCACACTTGGAAGTCGAGACCAGCGGCAGAAGCCTACAGATGGCTGATGTCCGAAGTCGATCTCGCGCGCCAGCGCGGAGTGACAATCGTGATGACGCATGTTCGAGCGCACACCAACTCGAACACGACCGCCCACCGACTGAACGCATCAGCTGATCAACTGGCGACGCATGGCCACAGCGCAGCAGTCGGCAAAAAGCTTCCTCCTCTGACTGCTTGGATGCCTCGCGTAGTTGCATGGTCGGGGGAGAGTGGTTACATTCCCGGCACGTGGAAGAAGGTGCTCCGTGGCAATCTCAGGAAGCATCAATGGCTCTGGCTGCCCGAGAAGGAGCAGCAGGTGTTCCTCGCCGAGAACGATCCTTCCTCGCCTATCTCCTCCTACTGGTACACGCGCGACACCAAGGGGGTAGTGGCGCGCACGCAACTGCTCACACGCCTGCGCGAGTTCCCCACGGGTCATCATCAACACACTCGCAAACTTGGCAGTGCGAACTGTCCGTTTTGCCCCGAGCCAGAGCAAACCGACTCCCACTTGTTTGCGCAGTGTCCCCATTTTGCCACAGCTCGCACGAAGGCGATCGAGGGAGCAGTGGCGAAGGAGACCAAGCTGAAGCGGAAGAAGATGCGCAAGGGCCCTCAGTCCGAACACGGTTCTGGCGTTGCCTCGCAGCAGGACGCCACTCTCCCGAGCTCCGGTACACGGCAACAGTCGCAGTCGCAGGTTGGCGACCCCCAGATCCAGAGCAGCGGCGGAGCTGTTGATCCCCAGGACTCGCAGACCACCCCCGAGAGCGCGACAGAGAAGGAGCGCCAGACTCACGAGCCCGACACTGAGACTGAGTCGCCGGACGACGAGAACATGGCCGAGTTCCGCCGCTACCTCACCGACATGTTCGCCGCAGACAGCGGCGTGGCGTGGTGGCAGGGGCGAACTCTCAGCCCGACCGGGTATGCCGTCGCGCCGTCGCAAGTATCAACCGCGCACGACTGCGCCGCCATCCTGACTGCCGATATAGGACGCGTTGCTTTCCAGGAGTTAGCTGAGCGGAAGAAGAAGAACAAGGAGACGACGGTCGCGAAGCAGGTGGAGGAGACCAGCGATCAAGAGGAAGAAGGGTAGCCGCAGCGGCGTCGAGGTTTGCTGTGATTGTAGTTCGAGACCAAGCTGTTCCGTTCGCTTTGATTCAGTACAACGTTGACTAGAGCATGTCACTTCTGTTGCATACGCCGCTTCGGTGCCCCAGGAGCATCTAACGAGATGGTATTGCACTGTTGTGAGTGAAAGAGGTGGTCGGGGTGCGCCAAGGATGGAGTGAACGAAGGCCGGGAATCTGAATCTGGTCCCATGTCTCTCCAGCGATAGAATCCGCAGATAAGGGCTAAGGCCCCGCCCAAATCCAACCAGGTCGCACGCCCGCGTCGTTCACCGATCATAGTGCTCCTTCTGATTCTCAACATACTGCCCAATGCACACACGGGCCAAGAATGTTCGAATCTCCCCCAATCTTTGGCGCCTCCATCACAGGTGAAACACACAAACTTTTTTGTCACACGACAAGCCGTCCCATCATGTACTGGTTCCTGTGGGTTGCCTGCACCTATCACGCGGCGACATTGAACGCACTTGGTGTCCGGGGAGCCCGTTACCCGCTGTTGGGTTCATTTAGGGGCAGGCAGTGTTAGTGGGGCACAGCGCTGTGAGCACGCCATCGAACTGGATCTGGATACATAGTAGACAACATGGATGAGCGTCGCTCATTGAACTGGAACAGAATCGGGTACACATCGTGGATCAACGTTCGTAAGATTGCCGCGAGGCGAATAGGGATGATGGTCGCGTTCGCGCTGGGAAATGATGTCCTCCTTCTGTCATGCCACAGTGTCGAGCAACGAGTTCACGGACGGAACGGCAGCTGGCAGGTCAAGCGCTGCGATGCTTCTTGATTGGGGAGCCGGGAAGCGGACTGGGCTCATCTCGGCTAGGGGAGCGAGTCGTGAGATCGACAGCGGGCAACTGGGCGGGTGGCTGCCCTGGTTCGGCTAATGGCGGCGAAGGCAGCTGGGTTGTACTTGTAGCTGAGGCAGCTCTTGCGGCTCCTCCTGCGAGCGCGCCAGCGACGCCCCCGTCAGCTGTTCCGACCGCGCTAGACGAGCCAAAGGCGAGGCTTTCACTCATTTGGGTAGTCGGCATAGTCAATCCGAGACCAGTGTGATCGTTGAGGGAGATCTTGCTGTTGCGCTGCTTCTCGAGCATGCTGAGCGTGCCATGGATACCTTTGACGGTCTCGAGCAACTTGGACTTTTGCTGCTTAGCGACCGCAATGCGCTCCTTGAGCTCAGCGACGAGAGGAGAGTCACTCGGCAACGCGGCAACGACACGCTGTGAGAAGTCCACCTCGCGTTGTATCGACCGAATTTCCATCTCGGTGCCGACCATGCGCAAGGTTTCAGCTGTAACCTCGGCGTCACAATCGACTGCGTGCCGTGCCTGAGCGAAGAATTGCCGCATGTTGCCGTACAGGTCCCTGGCGAACGTACAGAAGTTGTTGACCATGCGATTGACATTGGACGAGACATGCTCCACGCGAACTTGAAGCTTACCGAACGCTGCCGAAAGACCGTCGATGGCGTCCTTGATCTGCAGGAGCTGGCCGTCGCGCTCCTCCTCTTTAGCCTTAGCCAAGAGACACGCGGACGCCGCCAGAGCAACCGCGTTTGCGTGATACGCGAATTCCCACGGGTCGCCGCTCAGTGGTTTTTGTGCGGTCATCCACTTCGCCAGGCCCATAGAACTGGGTACGGCGAACGCGTTGCCATGCAAGGTGCCCACCTTGACGCCAGGTCGAATATCAAGCAGCGTTTCCGTCATCTTGTAGTACCCGTTGTACTGGCCCACCCAGTACATGAGCTCGTTCTTCAAGAGGTCGGCGGGGACCCCTCCTTGACCAAGAGCGACCAGGGTCGCTGGATGGTCGATCGGCAGGACCCTTGGAGACGGGCGGAACGTGACGCGGAACGGCATGCCAAAAAACTTTTGACCGCCGGCTTGCTTCATTGTCTGCTCGACCTCGGTCTTCAGCAGCGCAATCGTCGCGGGGTCGTGGAACGTAACGGTGACGCATCTAGGGCCAGCTTGGACGCCCTTCCCGAACCCTGATGTCCTGATATCCAGGAACTTGGTTTTCCGACCATCTACAACTGACCCGCACAGTGCGCACGTGGCCCTTCTCGTTGAACGTCACAGGCGTGATCTCCAACTCCGACACCGACAAGCGTCCATCCTCTTGCTTCAGCGTCTTGAGTCGGCTCTTGACCTGTTCGATGCCAGTGTCCTTCTTGTTCTCGGACTGGGAGAAAACGGTCAGGGCTATGGGCGTGTCCCTTTCCCACACTCCATTCCTCATCCGCGACGGAGTGGAGTACTGAATCGGGGTGGGCGGCTTGCCCTTCACGAGGGAGCCCGGTTGGGCACCTGAAGCTGGTACCCTGGACATGTCCGTGGGGGCGAGGAGGCAGCGTCAGTGAAGTTGAGACTGAGACGAGCTGATGGGACAAGCGAGCGGTGACTGCGTTGAGGAAGGCGAGGAAGACCAGGAGTAAGTGCGACGGTGGCGGACAGTGGGTGGCGTTTTGTACGTTAGCGCGCGGAGAGATTGTCGAAGTGAGAGGCTTTGCGCGCTGCTGTGGGAGCGAGTGAGAGAGAAACGCGTGGGGTGAGGCGAAAGTTCAGATGTTGAATCCTCGTCCTGCTGCTTTCCTGTACTGCTGTCAACGATACCGTTGAGCGGATGCCTGCGGGTGATGTAAGCTGTAGGTGCACTGCCTGATCTGAGCTCTGGTCGCGAGGGACGAAGGCCACTGGCGTGCATCGCGTGAGCTAGGCCGCAGACCCTAGTACAGGGCGGCCGCGGACGATGAGCCCACGCTCCCGGCGATCAAATGCACCTCCGGTACACTAAACACACTAACGCTCCTTGAATTGTTGATACGGTTCCATTCCGACCAGCATGTGCTTTGGTCAGGGCACTAGTGATTGAGTACTGCAATTGGTATCGGCGTCCTCAGGCTGTGGAGGGAAGCCAGGGAAATCTGACAGGACGCCTCGTACACAGACCTGCTGTCAAATCGTATGCATCCTAGGCATCCCCCGCAAGCGCTGCACCATGAGCTCTGGCAGACAGCATGGGGTGCAATGCGGTGAGCCATGGATCGCGCCCAGCGTGCTTGTTTGTTTGGTTCCTCAGCCCCTGAGCTGCCCTGAGCTGCCCTGACCACCTGGTAGCAGCCACCTACGTCACTCTCAGCACTGCGCCCTCCTGAGCTCGCCGACGCGGACGACAGCTCAGCCTGGCCGTCGTGCCTCCGCTCGGCTCGCAGATCATCAAGCCCCAAGGTCCCAAGATCTGCGATTGCCAGGTTCGCCGTAACCGACGGCACAAGTCAGGGACTGAATGCTCTCGAACCCTAAGTCCCGGCGGAAGAGATGTCTAAAGTCGATCTGATTACAGCGATAACTCGGCAAATATTCATAGCGACCTGATCAGAGCAGCAGCATAAACGGAGTGCGCTTGAGGTAGCTTTCAGATGCTTTCCCGCAACAATGGTTGAGCAAAGAGCGGTTGGATTTCATTCACTGCAGTGGCTTCCGACTTCCGTCGTACCAAGTCCAGCATCATCTGAAACTTGAGGTACGATCCACAACAAAGACTCTACGCATTTCACTGATCAACGCCATAACAGCTCTAGACGGGCAGTGCATAGAGCCGGGCCAGAAGAATGCATATTGAGATCTGTGCTGAGCCGAAACTGAGAGTTCGGGCGAGTTGAGAATGTGAACGAAGAAACGAAGTGTGTGGGCGTCAAGCTCATCCGGCTAGCTCGTAGGGGGAGTCCGACCGTTGTATGTACATGTCTAGTTGAGGCCTGCAGACGCGCGGTACCGTCATGCAGTTCCTGCGCGGGGCGGCTGCAAGCGGTATGCGGAAAAGGCTCAGCCCAATTGCACACTGCTTGCACGTCGCGCGGAATTCGTGTGAGTACTTGTCAAAGGGCACCGAGTGGTAAAGGTTTGCCGGTGAGTGGGATTCGAGTGTCAGTTTAGAACTCGGCAGGGACGTCGGTGACTATGGGGGTGAGATGCTTGGAGGGACGAAGAGAATCAGAGCTTTTGCAGATGACGGCCATTGTGTCCACGATAAAACTCTACCCCTACGAGATGAGAGCGGTCTTATGCATGTGGGAGAGGTATCGAGGGTGCTGGAGGTACGTTTCATGACCTGGTCATGACTAACGCCAGCCAATCTCCGCACCCTCCTCGGGCGTTCCCGACGACTACTCGATTCTCTTCCCTCAGGCCGGTGGTACGACCCAGTTCGCCTCGGTTTTCCTGGGTCTGCTCGCCTACCGCCGCCTCAAGCATGCAGGTGACGTCCTACAAGCCCCCCCTCCCC